CAACATTGCAAAGAAGTGCTTAAGAGTAAAAGGAGAGGAAAGACCTAACATGAAGGAAGTAGCCATGCAACTAGAGGGGCTAAGAACATCTGCGAAACATCCTTGGACTAACGATGAGTCAAATTTAGAAGAGAAAGAGTACTTGCTTGGAAATCAATGGAAACTGTTCGTTTTGAGGACATGGCTCGTACAAGTGCTGGATATGACAGTTTACAGCATCACGGATTGTCATCAGTACGTGATGGCAGATGAAAATTTGATTCTAGTGTTACAGCTTCAAGTGATATTTGATAATTTGCTGTGGATAATACCCTGCCAGCCGTGTATAGCAGCTTCCTCCTTAAGCTTGTTTCTAGTCATGCTATTGCTTTCCCTTTTCTTTTCTATATTTCAGTTCAGTTCCGTTTTTGCTGTAATGCTCTAAAAAGATGAAAGGTTTTCTTTCTTTCTTTCTTTCAATATTTAGCTCGCATTAAAATCCTTATCCTATCTCCATCTTGCAGTGTAATCTTCCTGGTGATCTCCTGTCGAAAATAAAGCTGGACACACATTCTGAACTGTAGTGGTGTATACCATTTGACAATTAAAAAACATATTGTAAATAGACTGCATGTTAAATCACGCTCCTTTCTTCTTCAGAACATGTTTAGAATCATCAGGAGCTATATATTAATACTGATTTTTTTTCCCCAACATATTCTTTGTTTATTGGATATTACCTCTATATTCAGCCTGAGATTGTAAATAATGGCTAATAACTTCAGCATAATAATATTTTGCGGACAATATCAACTTATATAGTCTAATACAACCATAAGCTTCCCTCCCCCATACAAAATCTATTGCTCATGCTCATTAATAAGGACTACGATTATATATCTCTTAGCAAGGGGATTTTTATGATGCTTTCAATGTTGGAATAATGAGAATTTATTTGCGAATGCCTAGTTTAAAGTCCTCTGGAATTTAAGTGGAGAATATTGCGCCATTTCAAAGCTAGCATTTCGTGAGGTTATCCTTAAACCCCATTTGATAACATCACAAAACGGTGGCAAAGTTTGGGCCTTGAATCCATGGACTTTTTCTGGCTTCGGATTGATTTACAAGTCACAGCGTAAAAAGGAAAAAACAGAGTGCAGGTACTGTGCATTGCTTTGTAGGCACGGGCGCCGCGCGTGATAGTAGCCTCCGCCTTCTGAAAGATTATATATTATATATCGGTTTTGAAATTCATGGAAAGTTTGGAGGGCCGTTTTGTCAGAAAAAAATAGCTTAGAAAACTTTGCTGCTATGAGTTGTATTTAAAATGGAGTAATGCATCGTAAAAACGAAAAAAAAAGAAAAAAAGGAATACGAATGGAGACATAAATAAATGACAAAAAAAATTGAATTGAATCACCAGCATTGTCATTGCATCTATTCTTTTATATATTTGTTATACCGTTGCCTATAAAATGACCCTCCTGTCATCCTCGCTTTGCTCCTTATGAGTGCCTGGCAGTCACAAATCTGAAAGATTTTATGGTTCACTTTGGCTATTCTCTTGATAGCTTTTTGCAGATTTGTGACTGCGCTGCCCCTGGAAAACAGATCCTCTCTCTTTGCTAATTATATGGGGACAGTTTTCTTGCTTAACCAGTTTTTACGTTTCTTACCTCATATACCCAAAAATAAACAGGTCCTCTCTCCTGGAGTAAAAATTATGATGGTTGTCAATTTAAATCTCTTTGACATTTGTCTGAACAAGAATCCAATATACTGTAAAAAAAAAATCCCGGTTAAATTCTAGTTACCGTTCTCTTTTACAGATAAGCTTATAGTTTTAGAGATTATTATAAATTTAGGGTGCAACTTTTCATTTTTTCTATTTGAGTGTTTTTACTATTATTTTTATTCTTTGAGTGTGTGGATTTTTTTTTTTTTTTTAAATCAAGTGTTTCTGTTATATTTTTGTCAAATGCATACTGCATGCTAACATATATTTTTAAATGTGAATGAACTTTATATTTTTTTATTATAAAATTATAAAAATATAGACAATCAAATACAAATAATAAAATTATGTATATTTAAATAGAAAAGGAAATACAAACACACAATTAAAAAAGAAAGAGAAGAGAGTAACATTCATGTATGTTTGGCGTACACATTAGTATGCTGATGTGTTTGTTTAATAATCACATCAACATGTATTTGACATAAATTAACAAAAATATTTAATTATAAAAAAAATTAAAAATTTACACATTCAAATAACAAAAACAAACATAAAAACATTCAAATAAAACAAATGAAAAAGTTCGCAAATAATAATATCGTATTTTTATGTCAGTGAAAAGACACATATGCCCCCAACTTCATTCTTGATTGAGTCTTCTAACAAATGAGCTTTTCAATCGAACCTCTCATTTAAATCTACATGCATCTTCCAATTAATATGGTTGCAAATTTATTTTAGATTTCGATGGTTGGTGAAATTCCAATTGGAAGCGCGGGAGATTCGATTTGATTTGTCCTTTTATCTACCCGTGTCAATATTTTAATTTTAATCTGCCTAGGTCATCTTAATTTTTGTAATTGATCGATTTCATACAAATAAAATAAATGTCATGTCAAATGAAATATGTAAATTATGAATGCACATGTCTCTATTAAGCTGATATGATTAAAAAAAAAAAAGCTGTCTAGTTAGATGTTCAAATGTCAACTTTTGGAAGCCATATGTTTCATTATTTTTGTATAAATTCATATGCTGAAAACTACACTTGATTTATTATTATTCGAATTTGGTGGGAGTGAACTCTTTACAATAAATTTGATCAAATCAAACTTTCTAGTTTTTAATTTTCGGTCCACTTAATCCTATATCACTCATGTTTTTCATTTGATTAACCATAAAACATTATTTGAATAAATCAACTCCGCATATATGTTTCAAAATAAGAATAAATAAAAACTAGAAATCATCTTAAAGAATCAATTTTGTCTAATAATTAACCAACAAGTCAAAATATTTTTTGCAAAATAAAATCTAAATATTAAATTAAAACAGGAAAAAAATCATTGAAATAAAAAAATAAAATTGAAATCAACCTATCTTTGTCCATTGTAATTCACTGTCTTTGTTGTTCAAACAAGTATGGCCATATTTGATTGACTTTATTAATAGTCACGCTACGTAATGTACATAATTTTCTTCCTGCCACTTTGTTAATTTCTATTCTGTTAACTTTTTTTTTGTTTTACCACTTTCGAACCAACATTAATTTCTCAATACCAATCGGTACAATAACAGCGAGAACTCTATGGTGCTGGACTAACTGATGAAGTAATAAATTTAGTTTTAATTGATGAAAAATTGATTTGAGAATGAACATTACTTATAAATATCAGGAAAAAAAAAAAGAACTCCAACCAAAGAGAGTGAATTAGGAACTAAAGTACTAAACCATATTTTGTCATCCAGTAAAACGATTTTATTGTATATTTACCTGTGAATTGCTATAAATCATAAAACAGTTTATATCTACGATGGTTTGACCTGTTGCTATAAATAAAACAATTTAATCTTTTTAATACTTTTTTATTTCCAATCCAACAACATATAATCTATTTCAATTGTAAATTTGATGATCTAATCTTAAATATCAGTAATATAGTCGTCTGTATATGTGTGTGTATATATATATATAACAACTACACATAATGTTATCATACAACTTTTCAAAATATAAAGAATTATAATGAAAAATCGTAAAAAAAAAAGAGGGGTCGGGGGGGTTAAATTACTGTTAAGGTATCATGAAACTATAGGAATAATCTAAAAATTTTGATAGAAACTCTCTATTATCCCTAAAATGACCTTAAATAATATTTTTTAAAATATTTTCAAATATCGAGTACAAGTTTGTCTGCGGTTATATTCTGCAAGCATGACTAATGAGAGAATGCTCTAAAGGCTCACATAGCTTGATTTGCAAAAATCAACCCTGCAAGAGTTTTCCACCAAGAACATTCCTATTAATTGACACGAGCCTATTGTTGGTTTGAAGCCACCAAATAGGGAATGATGTAGTAGAAATCGTAACATCTGGAAACACATGACTACCACTTAAATCTGCAGATAATCTGTCCTTCCTGTTCTTTATTAAGTTCTGCCATCTATAGACTTTTGTGATTACGTAACATAAATTGTTGGACTCATTTCATTTCATGCTGTTGAGTTTGGACCGTCAAACACAACAGTGCAGGAATGTTCAATCGCATGCACTTGGAGAAGTTTGAACTGCTATCTACATTTGGTCTCTGACTCTGGATCCTCTATATGGCTGACATCTCCTCTAATTCCAGTGCAAATGCATCCCAAAAAAGATAATTGAATAAATAAAAAGGTCTAATGCAACTGACATCACTGGTCTGAAAGCAGAAAATTAAATAAAACAAATGAATGAAAAACAATAAATAGAACAAATTCTGGAATCTGTTTGTAAAATTTGTGAGAAACTTTATTTCTCGGGGATATTGGTTTCAGAAATTCAAGATATATTTGCTTCGTAACGTTTTGAGTTGTGATTATGCTGAAGGAAACATCCAAATTACAAGAGCTATTAGTTACATGAAAGAAAATCTACAAAAAATGCTATAGTAAGTTATTTCTCTGCAGTAACACGATCCATGCTTCTCTGGTAACAAATTAAACCAAGCTCAGTTGTGAAATCCAAACTCCTAAGAAGAATCTTTCCATCTTGAGCTCAGTAACCATTATTTCATCCTGCTGATTCATGATCAATATCTCTACTCGATCACCTTTACAATGTTTTCGCGGACCAAGCCGAGAAAATCTACAAGAGTTTGCTTCTGTTTAAAGCAAATGTATATAACCGTCATCATGTAGACTAGTTTACAAAACTCTGCATATGCTTTCTTTTGTATCAGTGCGAATTTCACGACTGCATATATTACAGTTAGAGAGAGAAGATTAAGAGTTCTTGAAACTGCAACTAGACTTTTCCATCCGATGGAGAAGGACTACTATCCGCTGTCACCATTGTAGAAGATGATTTGGAGACTGAATTGGTGCCTTTAGAGGGAGATGAGGAAGGAGCAGGCAGCTTCTTGGGCAACATTTCTTCCCAGTAAGCCTTAGGCAATCTTGATGCTTCTGATGAAAGAACAATGAAAGCAAGAAGAGTAAAGAGCAAGCACTTTTGCCTCCAAGAAACTAACATTTTGAATACTATCGACAGGAGATGCCTTGAGAGCTCTCCTTTAACATTCCGAAGTAGCAGCTTTAGAGAGTTTGTGCCAGCAGACATGTTGAGTAATGTAAGGGGAGTGCCAACTCGTTTGTTTGAGGAAAGATGAGTCAATGGCAGACAATGGATAATTTGATAATACTAAACTGCTAAGTAGTTCATGTTGTTGCTCTCATTGTCTAATAGGAAGTAGAATCTGAGCGTATGAGTGAGGAATTTGAGGGATTTTAATATTCACCAGGGACCACCGATTAGTTGGGGTGAGCATGGGTGCTTACTAATACATGAATGCAAATTCTGATTAAAATATATCATTACAGTAAACCTAATATTGAAGCATTTGTTATTACTAAGATAATGGCTATCGCCTCAGGTCTATGGTTGAAAAGACCCACCTAAACAGACCAAGTGTCATAATTATTCCTTAATTTCAATCATGCAATCAAGAGGATAGTGCTCTTTTCATTATTTTCAGATAGCTCTAGAGCCAAACAAGCCTAACTAATAAAAGAAGTTCACTAAGAAAATTTCAAAAGGAGTCCAAAAGAAGCATCTTGACACTTTTGTACACTGCTTTCCCAACAAAGGTAAGTTCTAACAATATAAAATATGGATTGTCTGTAAGATATCAAAGTACTTGTTGTTAAAAGTGCAGTGATCAAGGCACTCCATGTCTTGAAATGAATTCAGGAGGCCTCGTCGTCCAGCTAGCATAAAGACGGAAAGGGGCATTTTCTGCTACCAAATGGGGCATTGATACGATTGCCCCGCTACCTCAAGGGCAAGTTGAGCCATTTCTCTGCCTTTGCAAAAAGGAAGAGGTGCCCATTGTATCAAATATTTAGACCTCTAAGTGTTGCTTGGAATTAAATTATAGTAGGAAGTTGAACGAACGTCGGATAAAAGATATCTTATGTTTGTGCAGGCTTATTTGTGACAAGAGGAGTTGGACGGAGGTGTACAGTGCGCCCCTCTCCAAGTGGTAGGGTCCGATTTTTACTCACCGTGGTCTGTGCGTCAGAGTGTGTTATTGGCCACTGTTGGTTTTGAACGCGCATATTAAACTACCAGTACTTAGAGAATGTACAGAGGATTAATTTTGATACTGAACTCTTCAATGGATTCTATGGGCAGTATGCAAAATATAGGTGCATACGAGTTCTAATGAACGTTAAAGGGTTATATAATGGAGATGGTTCTATCTCAAATTCTTAAAATTTCCATCCCATTCTGGTCATTTGATAAATTGTAGTGAAATTTTTAAATTTTAATCTTTTCAGCATTCAATTTGAGACTCCTGAATTATTCATTTATCAAGTATTTAAATGTCTCTGCTATCGCAAAATGACACAGTTCATCAAATTATTTCACAACTGCTTAATTATCCCAGTTTTTAAGTTATTTATTTATTTATTTAGAATTCCCGATAAACATGTATGGAACTTTGTTCTGTGTCGTCAAGATAACAGCATTAAGTTTCAGAATATGACTGTACAGCTTTGTTCTCTTTCATAAGGGTTGATTACATTGAGAAAACAAAGGGCCAATTTGTTATCACATGACCCTGGAGTTTTCTTATGATTCAATGGCATAATTTACCCTCAAATTATTAGAGTTATAGTATCAATTTGATTATTTGGATTTTAAGCTATTATTTTTAGAGAAATTTTATATTTTTCGTTTTATCTAATGGTCAAAGTGTTCCATTAACACAAATAATTAAAATTTTTTTTTAAGAATTAAAATTATTTTTTTGAAAAAAGAATAATAATTAATTTTAAAAAAGTTTATATGATTTTGTTACTTATAGATCTGATTTTTATTGTTGGATAATTAATAATTTGTAATGAATACATATAGGAAAACAAAATTATTAATTGTTTTTATAATTAAAATTAATTTTGAAAAAAAATACATTTAATAATAATTATCTTTAAGTAAATTTAGATAATGTTACTGTTTGTGGATCTAACTGTGTCCAAAATTGATACTAAATAGTCAAAATTGATAATATAAATTTTATTTTAACATAATCTCAAAAGTTTGAAAATAAATTATAACATTAAACCAATTTCTTACTTGGTACCTTAATCATATTTAGAATCTCCCGAAATCCGTAAAGATCCTCAATTTTTTTTCCGACTCGGAAAAGGGGGTGCCCTCTTTATCGAAATAAGATCACCGTCACACTCGTATCTTCCTCGAAGTTTAGGTGTACTCTTTCACGCAGGTTTATATCCTTACCCCAGCTTTATTTGACATTGGTATTATTATTAACCACCACATCATCAAACATGCATAGATGTATGTGCAACAATTCACATGCTACTATTGAACAACTGAGACATTCAGACTTTGGTGTCTGTGGTCCTCTGGAAAAGCTCCTAATTAAACTGAATTTTAATGTACTTTTGGGTTGCATACAGTTATCATTGAGATGGCTTCTTCTTCTTTTTTGCCCTTTTCTCTTTCTGATCGGAAATTACATGCTTCAATAGTAATCAAGATCGAAGGAACATTCTTCAATTAGTATGCAGTTCTTGTACTTCGTCAAATATGCTGGTATTTTCCTTGCACGGGCATCGTTTACGGTATACGAAATCAATATATGATTTCAACAAAATTAGTAAACTCATTGAATTTGTTAAACTTATAAAGCTAAATTTTATGAATATTATAACATATGTTTTTTAAAATTTATGGTCTGAAAAGGAGTTATTTAAACCTAGCTTCTTTTATCTATAGATAAATTTAGTACTATCTATTCAAATAATTTATAATTTTCTTTTTATCTATTCTGGAACATTATAAAACTAGGTTTCATCCGCTTCTTAACTAAGACGATTGCATAACTAGTACTGCATGTTTATTAACTTTAATTGGTTCGAAATTTAGCTTTCAATTAAGAAAGAATCTACGAATTTATTCAGGATTAATTGTAACTTTAATTGTGTGTGTGTGTGTGTGTGTGTGGGGGGGGGGGGGGGGGGGGTGGGGTTGTTGGTGTGGGGGTGTGTGTGGGTGGGGAATAAACTCCAAATGAAGCTCATTGTCCATGATCTGTTTTCGTCGCTCTTTTATCGTGGAGCTAATATTTTTCCGTTCAGCGCGGCATTTGGGTTTTATGATTTTGGGTTCTCCAAACTTGGATAAATTGTGGAATCAAGTATTATTCTTGAATGGGTTTTCTGATTTTGAGTTATGCAGAGTAGAACTGATTGTGGAATGTGTTCGAGCTGACGGAAAATAAAGAACAATTTATAAAGGTCTTAGGTTTTGAATTGAAAGGTTTAGAGATAGGCTCGTAGAAAAAATAATTCGTTTTATTTTCAAGTGGCAGAGCACTGGGCTCTTGGAGGGAAAATCAGAGACCCTGGTGGAGACACCGTGCTGATAACAATTAATAAACCATTACGAAACAAAGGTAGTTTGGTCATTTTGAGTACAAAAAAAATTAAAGAGGATGTGCCAATAGACTCTCGCCCCCTCTCATACATGGACGGTAATTGAAATTTAATTTTTTCAATAATTGTAGCCTCACAGCAAGTGCACCATACATCTCACAGCCCAAACAACATTGGGCAAACCTCAATTTAGTGCCTAAAATATGAACAATATCTCAATTATCTCTGAGGAATTATTTCCAATTTAGAATCCAAAGTTAAGAAATTCTCAATAGAATCCTTCTACCCATATCCAAAAATTAAGAAATAGAGGGTCTGATTGAAAATAAAAAACTTTCCAAGACTCGTTGAAATTCAATAAATATTTGAGGACTAATTTGAGATTTGTCTAAAATGTTTCAACAGCCAGACTCAAAACCATAACAATACCACATTTACTGAAAAAAGCAGCAGCAGCAGCATTATCAAGCACACCATACAGCAAAAATAGGAATGGCAATAAACAAGCCATCAGGTCAATACTAATTTATCCACCTATTTAATATCCATTAAATTTAATTTATCAAAAACATTCATTTTAATCCTCATAATTTTTAAGAAAAGTTTTTCATCCTTAAATTTTAATTATCATTTATTTATAATTTTTTAGTCCTCAAAGTTTTTTTATAAAATATTTTTATCCTTAATTTTTAAATTTTATACAATTAGATCCTTTTATAATAATAAAAAAAATCTAAATAAATTAGTAAGCATTAAGAGGATAAAAATTAAGCACTCATACCCTGAACCATATTAATGGGTATGTATTTTTTTACCCTTCCTCACTTCAATATCTATTTAGCATTCTTAATAAATATTTGTTGAATCGGATAAAACAAATAACCATTTTATACTTGATCCATTGTCATCCCTAAGCAAAAATAGTATTCATATGGTGCGAATTGACTGGGAACAAACTGAATCTACTATTAAGGAATTTGTCGGTGATATAATCAAATATACACTTAACAAATTTGGAATTTATGTTGTTAAAATTGACGCATTTAAAAATTATATTTGATTAATCTCAATAACATTAATGACAAGTAGATAACCAAAATCCCTAGCCAAAGACCTCTCATTGAAAGAGGGTTGATTAAAATGGCATTAAAATGTTAATAACATAAGGAGAACTATAGAATAACTAACTAATTAACGATAATTTTACAATTGCGAGTGGAGAAACACAACTATTTATACCTGTAAGGCTCAGAAAGCAGAACAGTACCTGTAAGGCTAATACAAGTTTTATATAATGGCTGACATTATTGCTTCCGATTCTGTAGGACGCCACATTGTCTTGCGAACACAAAGCAGTCCCTCGCTGTCTTTTGAGTAGATCATCTGGATTTTCCATTTCAGAGATTTGGCCAGGCTCTCAATCTCACCAATGATTTCAACTTTGTCCCGCACAATCAGGTTTCCTTCTGGCCTCAGGATCCTATCAACTTCTGCTATTACTGCTACTAAGTTGCACCTGTGGTCAGAAAAAGAACAGAACATCAAGCCAGAGAAACTATCAGGATCTGTTTCTTTAGAAAACGGCAATGCGATGAACAAACCTCTTTTTGAGACTGGAGAAGAGATGATCAGCATGGAGAAGATCGTAAGTTCTAGGATAGGTATTGAATGATTCACACCAATCATGATACATTCCAAATAAACCACGCTCGTAAATTATTGGAAGTGTGTCTGCAGAGTCGATTGGGACTACATTCATAACCCACACTTTCAAGTCTTTCAGTGCTGCAGCGAACCTAATACAATTACAAAAAAGCATAAGAAAATAAAAAGGCACAAGGCTGTATGCGTCTTGCCATGGAAAATGGAAAACATAGTAACAATAATGACAGTGAGATAAAGAGGGGAAATCTCCATCAATCATTAAAGACGAATAACATGCCAGCCCATCAACACAAAGGCACAAACCAAAAGACATGATCCACTCCTATACCCAGCAGAACAAATCAAAAGAATGTAGCTCAAGCCTCTTCAAAAGCTCAGATTCAACTTTATGGGATCATCATCTATACCCCAATCAGATCTATCAAAAATGCATATTTTCAATTGGATAGCACACAGACGAGAGAAACAAACAAAGCATGCTTTTACCATACATAACAAACACAAGTTTGCTTAGATAACTAGCATAAGATAAAATTGTTAAATTGCTTACCCTCCATATACAGCTCTCATGTCCATGATATTTCTCACAGAAGACCAGTTGATTCCCATCCCATTCAAATAAGATTGGGAGACAACATTTTTCCAATGGTTATAGTCAGCAACAAAATCCTCCAGTGCAGCTTTACCATAAACTCCAACCTGAGAATTCAACCAGTATGGTGGTTTCTCCAGCCTTTGTGGCCATTGCTCAGGCCAACGAGACCCACGCACTGATGCCTCTTCGGGAACTTTATGCATGCATGCCTCAAGTGGGACATTCCTGAAGACAAACATCCATAATAACTTCAAGTTTCTTTGAGCTTATAATAAAATCGGTAGCATTTTTGCATCATTTCAATTAATTCTGATTTTTCCATACTTTGTTTTGAGTTATTAACCATTTCCTAACCAAGTTATAAAGAAAACTCGGAACAGGTACTTGTGGAAGATAAAAAAAGGTAAAACACCATGGGATAAAGAAAAAAATACCATGCTGCATTTGGATCATCCGATTCTTTGCAAAGTGGAGGCTCATTTTGGGGTCTGTTACTGTAACAGTTATTGGAAGTTGGCTTTCTATATATTGCAGCACTAACACCATCTAGTGTGTCCTCCTTAATCACCACTAGATCCCAGCACATTGACTTTGTTAGTTTGGACATAGCTGCCATCAAAACAAGAAATGGTTATGTGAAGCCAAGCCACATATTATCCTCTTGGAAGGAATGCAAGTGTTGGAAAATATTTCACCTTTCCAAATGCCCACATCTTCTGGAACCTTTCGATAAACTGGGGTGGCAGACCAGATAAAGTAACCACCAGGTCGCAAAACTCGATTCAGCTCCAAAAGAAGTTTACCACCTGCAAGAAGACTCAAAATACATCTCTGAAATAGAAAAACAAGCATAAAGAAATTTTTACTTCTGTAGAATATATACAAATATATCACCTTCAATATGCCAAGGAACCCTACAGCGTGCGCAGTGAACAACATCAAAAACAGAACTAGGGAAGGGTAATCTCTTGGTGCCCATAACAGCCAACATTGCAGGGATACCCCTTTCAAGTGCAAATTGAACCTGGGCTTCATGTTCATCCTTGGGAGCAAATGACATTGCAAGAACATCTCTTTCAAAAAGATAACCTCCAAAACTCGCCACCCCACACCCAACATCCAATATCACTCTGGTTCTTTTTCCCCATGCAATATCAGGATGAGACTGCATCATTCATAGAAAAAATCCATATCACATTACTCTTCAGCATACACAATCATATTTACACACAATCTAGATCAATTAAATAGTGTCTCATGCTCAATCTGTTGACTTAGTGATTATACAAAATAAAGGACAGGAAATGCAATAATAATAATAATAATAAAGTGGATAAAAAAACTCACATCCTGGATGAAATCTATATAATGAAGCGCACCATGCTTGAACTGAGTTCCTCCACCTGGAAAAGTAAGATATTCACCAGAAACTTTAACCCAATTTTGATGTCCCTTAATCTTAGCAAGTTTGGTGTGGGGAACATTATAGTACCAGATCTGCGATGTGAGCCAGAAGAAAAAAATCAGCCTAAGTAATCAGGAAAGCTTTTTCATTGATTAAGCAGATCACTGTTTACCTTCTCCCTGCTTTTAGGCCACTTAATTGAGCGTTTATATCCTTCAGGTACGGATACCAGACAAGTCGGAGCTTCTTGAGGGCAGTGCCTCTCTCGATGTTCATAGTGCTTTGTGCTTGGGAGCCTTCTTATAACATACCAATTATCAAGGCAAGGAACATAGTCTGGTCCAGCAGTGACATTACAAAGTTTCCATTCATGACCATATTGATCCTTAGATATTGAAGATTTTTGTGATATCTTTTCATTTTGGGACTCCACTGCTTGAGTTGACCAAGCCCCCTTTTGAGTATCAGTTTCATTTAAAAGTTCTGACTGTGCACCGGCAGGTAAAATATCAATGGAAGTTTGATCATTCTCTTGAGTATCCACGTTATTCTCAGTAGCACCTTCCTGGTTATTTTCGTTTGCATTCTCCCCTGAGTCTGAGTTCTTCTCCCCTCATCCAACTCAGATTTAACTTCACCTGAGCTCTCCTCTGATTCCGTTTGCTCACTTTTATTTGTTTCATAACCTTGAGCTTGCATCTCTCTAGCTTCTGAATTTGACTCTCTATCCTCTGTTTTTCCATCCTCATTATTTTCAGTCTCCGTCTTTTGTTCCTCTTGAGATTCAGTCTTCTCATGATTTTCTTCAACCATATTCTTAGACTCAGTCTTCTCATCGTTGTTATCCTCAACAGTACTTTCACTCTCTTTTTCAGTCACATTTTGGTCATCGTGGACATCAGATTGGCTATCACTTTGAGAATCAACAGTACTGTTGCTGTCTCCTTTTGTTGCATCCTCCGGTAAATCACCAGGACTGTCTTCAAATTGCTTAGAATTATTTTCACTGGCCACTCGTTTCAAGTCATTCACAATCTCTTGGGACGGTGAGTCTGAATTTTGAACTGGCACAGATGATGACATAAACATCCAAGCCCCAACTAAAGACAACGCAACAAACACAACCACGGTGACTATAGAACAGTAGTTGGATGACTTCCTCCCATCAACACGAGAATATTTTCCCATAGCCATGCTTGCTTTAATATGATGCTGCTTGTTATATAGACCTAGAAGGGAAAATAACAAAAATTAGCAAGACTACAAAACCCCCACAACTTAAATTACAACTAACATTTTAATAAGCTATCACCACAAAACTAATGGGGAACAGTCGGGGAAAAGAAAGATAAAAGTAAGAAACCCACACAACAACTGGCATGTGCTCCCTTATTGACAATCCTTCTTATCTATATCGAAATCTTATGATCAAGCACATTACTACCTTAGCCTCAGGGTGGTCTACACTTCTTCGCTTAGAAATTGTGTTTCATGAATAAAGTCCACTTCCCTTTTTAACTTAAATTATTGAAAAAACTTATCCTTTCTGGACTCAAATTACATCTTTAGTTTCATTCTCTTCCTGTATTCTTTCTCATCGGGGTGAAGTTTATTTAAATCACTTGGCCAGCTTGAATGCTACTATAAAAAAGAACTGTTTCGTGAGGGTGATATATATATATAGTGACAACGCGAGCGTTCTTTTATCCCTTTCCTGCATTCCTTTGATCTAATTTTTCCAAAACTAGTGATACATTAAACCACCTATTATTAATGACTGATTCAAACAACCAAAAAGTCACAAATCACAAACAGATAAGAACTTTCAAGGAAAACAATAAAGATCAACATCAAGAGTAAAAAGTGCCAAAAAAAAAAGTATAAAATCCTCAATAAAATTACCCATGGTATCAAACATTTAACATACTTCTTATAAAGGAACGGTTTTTGGTGATAAAAGGCAAAATGTTAAATAAGAAAGACCTTTTTTTGGTGTTGGGTTAAAGAAAGAGAGCTAGATCCACTAGTTAAGAACCAAAAAAATCTCTTTTTGCACTGGAGTTTCAATAAGAAACTTCGAAGTATTAAATGAAGAAGAATCAAACGAGTAAACAATCTCAGGAACATGATTGATTACAAGTCCTAATACATGCCATAGTCAAAGCAGATAAGCAAACTTTTCTACCACACACACAGGCACACACCATTATCTTGAACTAAATCAGGAACGTATGAAGTTAGATCACAACTCAGCTTAAAGTAAAAAACCACATTCAGAAAGTGAAGAAATGATTAACTTACAAGAAAATCTCGAATCTTGTCAAGGTTTTAATCATGTCTTTTTAAAACAACATTGTAGTGGTTTTAAGTAGAAGTTTGAAATCCTGCTTCGCAAGAAGTAGAAGTAGCAACTGAGAGTGAGAAATGAGGCAAGTTACCTGTCTTTACTTAAAAAGGGTATAACATTTGCCTGCAGTGTTTGGATCTGAACGGAAAACCGAAAAAAGAAAAAAAGCAAAGCAACAAGCTTTTGGTTCCGCTCTGTTCTGTGAAGAATAAAAGAGAAGAAGGCAAGATTTTTAAGCAGAGAGCCCAGTGGTAGATTAAATAGCAGAGCTTTTTTATTCTTCTTCCTTTTTCTTTTTTTTTGTGGTTAAAATTTAGAAAAAAAAACCTGGAGGGCTGTTAATTAATATAAGAGGTATGAGTGAGACTTGAAAAAGTATTGAAGCCAAAATCAAAATTTGCAACTGGAAAGCACTCGGCTGTCAGCTCTTGTGTGTATATTATTGGGACGGTGGGGCCATAACTATAATTTGACTGTTATTTTCAATAACAGCATCTAGTAATTGAGAAGGTCCATTTTAAGGGAAACCTCAGTATAGTCCTAAAATATACAAATCTTATCAATTTGGTCTTAAATATTATCTATATTTCAATTTCATGCATGTTTCAATTTAGTTTGACATTTTAAGCCTACTTTCCATGCGTTATGCACTAAAATGATGTTGATGTGAATAAATTTTTACAAAAATATTGATGAACACTTACAAAAAAAAAAACTCGATTAGGAATACTTTGAAATGCTCAGGACCAAATTGATAAATATAAAAACCACGTCACAATATATATTATTTTACAAATTTATTGAACTAGCATCAACTATTAGTATGGCTGTCTAAAAAGGCTTCGTAAAAAGGAAACTATAATTTATTTGATTTTAATTGTAATTCTAAGAAAATCAGAACCTCAAGTTGAATGAAATTTACGAAAGCAAAGCGTTAATTAAGATCGAGAGTTTGTGTAAGATGTGCTTCCGTAGCACATATTGACAATAAATATCCTATTTTACGCGTATGTCCTTGGACCACATGTTAACAGCTGGAGTTTAGTTATGGTCGGAGCAAAAGAAAATGTGTGTTGATGCTGAAAGGTTATGGCTCTTAGTTCACCGGACGCACCAATTGGCAATACTAACAAACTGTCAGTGCAAAAAGCATGACATTTGGTATTTAATTATTCATTTTTTGTTTGAAAGCTAGTGTCGGTTGCGAGAAAATGAAATATAATTTATCAATACTTATTTTGTAAAAGAAATATAAATAAAAAATATATAGATGAAAATATTTTTATAATCCAGATGTAATTTTTTTTTTTATCTATCTATCTCTATTTGAAATAAACACATAAAGTATATTTTATTGATAGTTATTGATATAGGGAAAATTTTATAAATTCTCCCTCAGTCACGGCAATTCACCAGGAGCAAGCCTATTAATTGAAGCCTTATAAGCATCCACTTGGAGGATAGAGACAAGGCATGGGCTGGATGAGGCAATAGCGATGTTACGGTATATTACATATATGCACCGCAGCCTCCATTCTCCGTTCACTTAATTGGAGCTGAAGTGCATAGTGAGAAAACATGGGAATCTCTGGTCTGGATCGAATCTACGTAACCATCTCCTTAGAATAAATAGCGACACAGAACAGAGAATTCTGTCTCCCTCATAGGTCCCACAATAAATAAATAAAGAAGCCTTTAGAAGCCCTAAAACCACCGCATTCTTATTTAATCATTTCATCCCTTCCAATGTGAATGTGCTGTCTCTCAATTACAACGGGAGACTTGTTAACGGTAAAATAAATGCGCGTTGGCATTTACTTTCAAATGTTCAACTGAGCCGTCAATTCAACTACGGTCCATGGCAAAGCCTGGCCAGATTATCCAACCCTGAAGGTAAACAAGTCGGGCTTAATGGGACCTCTCATATTGTTGTGTGGGTCAATGGACATTCATGATTTTTTTATATGAAAAGGATCTTATTTAGCCTCCAAGTGAAGTGAAGGATCCAAAAGGTAACATTTAAACCGAATTGGAAGGGTGAATATTGAACCCAATTAACTCCCAACCAAATACAACCCAATAATCTTTGCTTTTATGCACAACGCAAATCCATCTTCCATGCATGTTCACATTCTTCCAAGAGAGAACACAAACACCATTACTATGCATTGTCCGAGGGTTCTCCAACCTCTAACGCTTTCAAGTATGCAAGAGCCTTCACAAGAAGCGACTTGCCTTGTTTTATAAAGGTGAAGGGTCGAGATTTGTTTAATTTCTAGCTGCTAGACGGCTCTCGGCAACATTACTTTCAAAGGAATCGGGTGGAACTAGCTAGGGGGCCGACACTGCTCATGCCTAACGAAAATACCTAGGCTATTTTGATGCAACAAGAAATTTATAGTACATGTCGTTTTGCCCAAAGGAAATCTAAAATGTCAATGTCGTGTATAGGCTCGTATTGTATTTCGAAAGAAACAAAAGGAATATTCTACGTCGTCATGAGCGGCAATAGCAAATGCTATAGACAAACACGCCAAAATTTTAATACAAAAATTCATTGTATGTTCAATTGGTGGGTTATTTAGAAAAGAGAAAAGCTAGTAATACTCTCTTTAGCATTTTTTTTAAATAATTATTCAATAAAAATATTTATGTCAATTTTTTTAACTATTCATAACGTTCAAGCAAAAAATAATAAATAAAGAATAATTCATGCTCCATATTTTTAGAAAAATTTTAAATTACAAATAATTTTATATTATCTAAAAGACTAATGCTCGTCTTTTAATTTATTTAGTGTTAAAATTATCTAAAAAACTATTGAATTGAATTGAATTGAAATTAAGAGTTAAGATTTATTTTTTCTTCTCTTTCTTGAAAGCAAACATCAAGTATTTTATCTTTATAACAAATTTATATTTGTTCATTATACTAGTTCTTTATGCAAAAGAATAAAATAATAGTATTTTAATGGTTTAGATAATATGAAATTAACTGTAATTTAAAACTAGTTTTAAAAAATGAAGTATCAGTTATTTTCTAATTGTTAATTTTTTTCTTGAATGTTAGGGATAGTTAAAAAAGTTTATCATGAACATTTTTATTAAGAAATTGTTTAAGATAGTATTAAAAAAAGTGTTGCTACCGTTTCTTTTTAAAAAATTCTTAATTATCAACTACTTTCAAAATTCAAACAGGTTGAGTTTTAGTCCCTCTTAAAAATAACATCTGAATTATTTTATTTTATTTATGATTCAGGTGACTTGAAAATTGACTTGAACTTATGCTTGTCTCTTAATTATAAAACGTTAATCAAGGACAAATAGAAGCTTATGTATTCATATGTATACATCTTGATTTGTCTTCTTATTTTCACAGATTTTATCAGGAAAAAAAATAATATGCAAATTAAAGGACAGTCGTTGAGCTATTTGCTAATTTCCCACAAAACATATATAAGGAAAAATATATTGCTGTCAATATTTTCTATTTCCTTTTTTTTTATTATTATTTAACAATAGAGATGTCATTTTCAACCAATGAGATTGTAAGGAGAGAATTAGACGGATCCGTTTATTTGAGGCCCAGGCTAATTTGAGACCCAAATCCGACAAAGCTGCTGCTTATATTAACCTCCTTTCTTCACCAAAAACCCCATTCAAGAAACTGTGATCATGGACAAAAAACAAGAGGAGATGCAATTTCTTGGTCTCTTTGGCATCTGTAAAGAATCCTATAATATTATCTTCAAATGGAGAAAAATCTTCTCCCAGATAACCCTTGCCTTGATCCTCCCTACAGCTTTTGTCTTCATAGCAAACATGAAGGTATCAAATGCTCTCTTTGCAAAAATCACTGATGCAATACAAGTGTCTTGGATGCAATCAGTAGCGGGTACTCCAGATCAAATCGAACTCTCTCTCCCTAATTCCATCTCATGGACCCAACTTTTGTTTTTCAAGGCTTTATACATCACTTTCCTTCTCTTTTTCTCTTCCCTATCAACTGCTGCAGTTGTTTACACCATAGCTTGTATTTATACAGGGCAAGATGTGGGTTTCAAGATGGTGATGCGTGTTGTGCCTAAGGTTTGGAAGAGGCTCGTAATCACTTCCACGTGTGCTTTAGCTGCAATATTTGCTTCCACCATTGCTACACTGCTAACAATTGCAGTTATTAGAATCATGATTAGTCGTTATATTCCTGCTATTGTTTTTGTTTTACTAGTGTTATTCTTCATGGGGTTTGTCTATATTACCCTTGTTTGGCAAACGGCTAATGTTGTATCTGTTTTAGAAGAAGCATATGGGATCAAGGCCATGATCAAGAGCAAGGCACTAGTAAAAGGGAAGACAAAGGTCACGGGAACTATAATTTTGATGATGACCATATCTTTTGTAATCATGAAAACAGCATTTAGCAGGCTGGTTGATGGATCGTCGCTAGGCATGGTGAATAGGGTGTCATATGGGATTGTTTGTTTCTTGTTGCTTGTCCTGTTGATTTTGTTCGAGCTTGTTATTCAAACAGTGGCCTACTTTGTTTGCAAGTCATACCACCATGAAAACATCGACAAGTCCACCATATTGGATCACCTCGATGCAGGCTATCATGGTTATGCTCCTTTGAAGGCAGAGGATGCTCAGCCGGAGAAATAATTTTATGTTTCGGTAACTTTTATGTATATGTATGGCATCAACAAGGATCATTGTTATATAGTTTTTCTCGCAAAACAATATCCAGTCTCTTGGTCCAAAAAAAAAAAAAAAGGGGAATTTCCTTATTGCTTTTTGGTTAGGGGTTGATTGAGAAGTTCAAAAGACCTTAACTGCAAGTGTGTATAGCTAGGATTTTGTTATTTGAGGGTTTTTTTTTTTTTTTTTCCCGTCAAGAAAGGGGGCCAAACTGTTAATGTTACAAGGGGTATAATTAAAAGTCAAGGGAATGAAACTTTTATTCCCACATTATAACTGTTTGGTTAAAAAGAATGAAGTGATAATGAGAATGAAGACCGAGAATGGGAATGAAAATTTACACACAACTTCATTCTCACATAATATGTAGGAATAAAAAACAAGGAATGGGAATGAATTTTTTTTCTTTAAAATAATAATATATTTTATTTATTTATTATCTATTAACTACTTTTACTACCATCATCATCATTACAACAACCACCACTACCATCACAACAACCACCACTGCTATTACCATCACCACAACCACTACCATTACAACCATCACCACTACCACCACTAATAGCATCATCATAACCACAACCATCACTACCACTATCATTATCAAAATCATAAACACCACTACCATTACCACTCGGCAATCATTACGCCACTATCACTCGACAATCATTACCGCTGTTACCATCACCACTAGAATCACCACTATCATAACAACAATCACCTTTATTATTTTTACAACCATATAGTTTAATAAAATTATTTTTTAATCATTATTTTTATTTGTATAAAAAATCGGATATTAAAAAATTTAAATTGTATTTCGATTTTTTATTAGTATTCTAAACACGGTATTGGAATACAAATATTATTTTGATTCCTTAATTTTCATTCCAATGCTTGTATTCTCATTCCCATCATTCTATTCCCGATTATCAAACAACACCTAAGGATTCTTCCATCGTAATACCATAAGTTCATACGCCCGCATGACATCTTTATATTAGAATAACTCTTTCAATTGTTGAAAAAAAAAAGTTAATTTACTTTAATAAGTTAAGTCCACTTATGTTATTTTTTTTCCTTAGTTAATTTTTTTTTAATTATTGATATTATTTTTTCTGAATATTCAAGACTTCTGCGAGTGCGAGTGATTGTTATTAAAAAAAAAAAACTCCTGATCACCTTGTCTAAATTGGGCCTGAATTTTACTGGACTCAAGTTTGAAGAATAGCGATCTTCTGCTTCTCCATGTGCTGTAAGTTGTGACGCTATGACTAAAAAAAAAAAAAACCTTAAATCTCGTAGGTTGGTACTCGGCAAGTAGATTATGCTAATGGGCCAAACTTTCTTGGGGATCAAAAAATTCATCAGAAGCTCAATGGGTAAAGCAAAACAATTCAGATCTGAGAATGCGGCCATGAGTCATGAGTACCATAACCAAACATGCCACATCATCGCATTATCCACAACATCTTATCAAATATTCAATCGGTTACGATGACCTGTCACGACATCCAATTTCATCACCAATCATAATTTTTCTTTTTCTTTTTCTTTTTTTGAAGTCCCAGTGCCACCACCATTCACCAAAAAAATTCTCGTTACTAGTATTTTCCTTTTTGAGAAATATTAAATTCAATTTAAAAATGTGTGTGTATGTGAGCGCGTGTTAGGAGACGTGGGGTCTGAGAATCACAGTCCACAGGACCAAAACTATGAACCTCAATTCTCCACATACTCCATCCCTCTCTCTTTCAAGCTAAGCTTGGAGAGAAGACAATGGCGAGAAGTGAAAGATGAAGAAAAGACAGAACTTGTTATGCATGTCCCATGGCCTGTCACTGTGCTCGCTACGCTTTTTCACCAACGCCACACAGCCAGTATTTCTCCATCAACAACAGCAATAACGGCACCAGGCTATCATCTAAAGGATCCAAACCTGCTGTTCTTTCCTCCTTTGGCAACAACACGGCTTCCTACAATACATTAGTCTCTGAGGTATTCTCTCTTCTCCTTTGTCTCCGCACTAGCGCTATTTGCAGTATGCGTAGTGGCATTGTCTTGTAATGTATAATTAATTACTTTGTTTTGATGTGCTAGCATTATTGGGCTAGCTACTGGCTATATTTATACTTTCATGATTTCGCCTTTTTTTTTTTCCCTTTTATCTCGTGCATTCACTTGATCTTGGAAAATATGAGGTGAGCGATATCTGTGTCAAAGGTTTACTTTGATTCATAGCCGCATCTGAGATCTCTGTAATTCTTACACCAATAATTTCACATGTTGTTTATTTGTAAGAAAAATGATTCTTTTTTTGGACGATAAAAGTTATACTCCGAACGAGTTTGTATCTCAATCGAGATTAAGTTGTCTCCCTGGGGATCTTAACTATTCAGTTATGTCCACTCTGATGAACAAATTATGAATTTTAAACAGTTTTTAATTCATTTCTAAGGAAACGTTGGTGCGAGGCTGCGAGCAGACTGATCAAGTAGCTTAGTGAAGCAGACCCTATTCTTACAATTGATTAGTGCAATAAGCTTAAATAATTGATTGGTTTGGTCTAACAAGATTGAGTCTACAATTACTTCATTTCAAGTCATGTTTGTTTCCAAGCCAAGATTATTTTTTTGCTAGAGGTTACAAGGGCACATTCTTCCTATCATTGGTGTTGACTAACTGCCTATTTGGTTTCATTAGGCAGTTAGACTTTTGGGTCCTCCAGCAAAATTTGAAGCTTCAAAGCTGAAAGTTGTTTTAATGGGCAAAGAGATGAATCAATACTCTGCAATTATCCCTAAAACTTACATCCTGTCTCATTGTGACTTCACAGCAGACCTAACCTTAACCATCTCCAATGTCATCAACCTAGATCAGGTGTGTTCCTACGATTTTCTTTTCTTGTCTTGTTTTTGTCTTTTGGGGTGCTTGAGAAAAATCTTATTTGCAACTCTTGTGTAAGAAGAGGAAATTGCTTACATAGTCTGACAAACTACCTGGTGGTGATCATGGGCTGTCCATCATGTATTTGCAGCTAAGAGGTTGGTATAGCAAGGATGATGTGGTTGCTGAATGGAAGAAGCTAGAAGGACAATTGGCGCTGCATGTCCATTGCTATGTGAGCGGTCCCAATCTCATGCTAGACCTTGCTGCTGAGTTGAGATACCACATATTCTCTAAGGAAATGCCTTTGGTAAGTGTTATCTTGTGCAATTCCATGTACTTTCGGACAAATTTTTGGGCTATTGCCTACACTAGTATGCTCCACCGTTTGTATAGTCATGTTCAGAATTTTGATTTGATGCAAGTCAGGTACTCGAAGCTGTGTTACATGGAGATGCGGCACTTTTCACTGAGCACCCCGAGCTAGAGGAATCCTTAGTTTGGGTATATTTCCATTCTAGCTTACCCAAGTACAACCGGCTGGAATGTTGGGGGCCACTCAAGGATGCTGCTCAGGTAAAATCTGAACTACCTAACCATGAACTATTCATAATTATGCACACATAACGCAGGATCAGCTTTACATCAATGCCTAATTTTCTGTCTGAGAACGAGAAACTCTCTTACTACTGTAATCTTCTTTTACGAACAACAACCCCCACAAGTAACCCCAAAAGCTGGAAATCACATTTGATTTAATCCAGACAATTTAGTTGGAACCAGATGATTTAAGTTTTTTGGAATTATTGGACATTAGGGGCTGTACTAGAATTGCACATGATAAGTAAAAGTGATTTTACCGGTTGAGTTAACAGGGGCGACCAGGGGACCATCGAGGTTTTTTTCTGCGAGCCCGGTTGCTTCCCGTCCTACGAGAAAGTGGGAAGGACCAAAGTCCATTTTCCAAGCTCTTTTTGCATTCCTTCTTTGACGCTCTTGCAATAAGCAGTATAAGCTCAAAGGCGAATTTTCGTGGCTAGAGCTGAAAGGAAGACTCTGCTTACATAACACAAACACCAAAAAGCTCCATGGTAAGACATAAAAAGCCAAAGTTGAAGTTGCACAAAACAGGGATTGTTTAAGGAACAGTTGATTCTTTTGCAATTAACTCATCTGTTTCGTTGGAAATATTGATTGACGATTCTTGTGCTACTAAGAACATTTGTTAATTGGTTACGAAACGATTGGCTGATGTCTTAGTTGCTTTGTTATTAAAACACTAAAGTTCGAGTCCTATTCTGTCCTCTCTCACTCTCTCCCAATAAAGTCTTGGTCCTGAATGCATTTCTATAACAACGCAGGAGATGAGTGATTAACATAAGACAGTTGCAGAATTATTTAGACCTTTTAAATTTGGGCCTTTGAGGAACCGACAATGAGATGAAGGATATAAATGAAAACCAAAATGAAAGGACAGGGACAAAACTAAAAGTAAGATAAATTTAAGGAGGCTGCCATATATATTCTTTCCACAAAATCATGAAACTTGGGGGTAAGTTTTGAATGTTTGAAGCTTTTTGAGGAGCTATTTGAGAATAAGCCTTAAAACTTTGGCCGCGTTTTGGATTTCTGAAAAACTTACAGAAGTTCGGAATTGCCAGGTACTGGTCATTAAGGCATAATATTGCAGTACTGTACATAGGTTAAAAATAAAAAATAAAAAAATTTGGAGGACGCGTTATATTAAATTATCTTGAGATGACCAAAATAAAGTTAAATAAACAAAAACATCAATTCATTTTCTTGTTAATTGTTTTTTATTATAAGATAATGGAATAACAGAAATCTTGCCGCCGGCTGAGACTGTGACACAATGGACACGATAGCATATATTATCTGCATCAATTTACTTCCATCAACGCGTATTTCTTGCGTGTATCTCGCGAGGATCTTGGGGCTGTACATATTATGTTATAATTTAAGAGACGGTTAAGTCCTTTTCAGTTGATTTAACAGATCGGTACAACCAGAATTTCTTTGAATGGAAAAGAAAGGATTCACGATTTTATAGTTTTCCCCTTGGCGAAATACCATAATATAGTCGATTCATGTTTTGGAATGTTCCAACGTTAAAAGTCACATCCTCTTCACTTCACACGACTTCGATGAAACCAATGTCGGAAATGGATCGAGGGAGACAATCAATGAAATATATCACCAATTGTTATTGTATAATTTGAATCATATATAAATGATGATTATGATTCGGACGCGCATGTCATTGATGGAGACCCTCCATTAACTAATTATATCCCATTATATAAATATAATAAGCGGAAAAACATTATACATACAAGAAATAAGACATCATGCATGCGACGACAATATAAATAATTTGCTCCTCAGACTCACCAGTTGTTTACACTAACCCTTTTGGCACCCATATATCTAAAACTGAACGGGGGAGACGTGTATATATATATATATATATGGAGAATGACATGATGATTGAGTGCGATAGCATTACTGTAGAGCTTAGAGCCAGAGGGAGCAACATGAAGAGGAACAGGGTCCTACTCCCACCTGCTAGAGGAAGCATCAAGCGGAAGATTTTTAGCAGTCTCTTTCAAGGCCTTAAAGTTACAGCAAGAGAGATAAGTCGTCTTCTTGTCACGCATAACATAGGCATTTGTCCTCTTTAAGTTTCTTGCAAAACAAGTTTGGTTTTGGGTCAGTGACATGTGCCTTTAGAATTGTCCTATCCCGCACCGAAATTTAAAGGATTAGCAAACTTCTAATTTCCTCTTAACCAATAATTAACTTTCCGTTAATCCTTATAGTTTATGGACTTGTATATCCCTAATTTGTTTCCAGAATACTATAGTCCTTTTCGATATGTATGCGTCGACTTCCCTGAATATTAGTACTTAGCTACCTATCCCTACTCTAATGTGAGAGAATTAGACTGATTATATATAAATATTAATTAGTTTAATTTGCCTTTAATTTTATGATCCACATGCATTCTTGTTAGTGAACGTATCAACACATTAGATACAAGAATATAAAGTAGCATAAAAAAAAATTGAATGAATTACCTACTATAAGATTTTAAATTAATATTTTAGATAGAATCTAAATAAACCATCTAATTTGATATGGTATCAAAAATTTAAGAATCCTAAAATACAAGTCATTTGATAGATTTTAAAAAGTGTGTTTCAAGTGAGGAAAAGTATTAAAGATTTTTAAATTTAAATTAATAGACTTCAAATGATGAATTGAAAAGTATTAATAAATATATTTTATATTGAACATATACCACATAATATTAACAAATTTTTAAGTAAAAGATGAGTGATGGAAGCCCGCAAAATATTACCATTTATAGTTAGTTGTTTTTACAATGCATGGGATGGGTGTCTAGCTAGCTAGAATTTTTATGAAATCTGATTGCTCATATTAAACCATGCATATATATTGTGGATACATGGATGTGGTCGTAATATCGATTCTGTTGGTGGGCTTGAGAAGTGCACTACGGTACCATATGCATGAGATATTGGCCTTAAAAATTAAATGCAACGCTGTGACAACAAAACGGTGTTTTGGCAGCTATGTATCTGAACTGTTAATGAATTGAAGTGTGAAAGAGGCAGGAAGGTTCCTTCTCTAGCTACCATTTTGTTGCATATTGCCTGTGAGAGAAATGAATAAATAACTAATGCAATCTCTTCCTCTCTACCTCCTCCCTCCCCCCACCACCCCCCCCCCCCCCCCTCTCTCTCTCTCTCTCACACACACACACACGCACAATCAAAAGAATGGATAAAAGGATAATAATAACTGAGATCGTGGGATTGCAAAATCTATCCCAAAGAGCAGTAGTTGCCAGATGGAATGACAAGAAGAGGATCCATTTGCCGCCCGTCAGAGGAAGCATTAAACGCAAAATTTTTAGCCTTTTTTACAAAAAATTGAAGCATGCAGGCCATAGTACTTCTCCTTGCCTTCTCAAGACCTGCAGCCAGAGTTAGCCATGCATCTTTAGCTTCCGTAACGTTTCGTTGTTTCTTTTTCTTAAAATCTTCATAATTGTTGTTTCTTCCTCAGTGAAATTACGATGCAGAAACGAAGGGTTTTATGATCAATTTCATTAGTGCTATAGTAGATGCATGATTAATTATGGGAAGGAGTCGATTACTTCAATCAATTTCTTCCTGTAAAATTACATTTGATAAATCTCCGAGTTTTTTATAACTACTCCAAGAAATGAAAGCTCCATCTAATTACATAAATCACTGAATCTCATACATTTATGCTTATTTATGTCTGAGCATGTGTCAGATAATACCTGAAGGGAGGTCTAGATTTCTGTGGAAACCTCATTTGGGAGATTTATTCTTGCTACATCCCAAAAATATCTTCTTTCTGCTGCTGGTCTTATAGGGATATAGTACTACATTCCATCAAAAAAATCTATATATAGTACTTCCCAGCTTGATTTTTTTTTCCCTTTTCATGCATGAGAGCAAAGGAAGCTTTATTGATCGGCATGATAATTAATGAACCAAAAAGGCATCTTTCATCATCATGAATGAAAAGCCTCCAAAACACCTAATTAACTACACCCCAAAGAAGAAAAATAACATAACAAAGCCTTAAAATTTGTCTTTAATTGGTTATAATATTTCTCTGTTGTGTAATCTAATTAATGTAAGTCTCGATATGATCATGAACTAGTGAAAAAGTATTGGTGTCTATATATACACACACACATTGAAAGAAAGGTTAGTTAAAATGATTTTAGCTAGGAAATTTTTAATTATTTGACCCCCAGCTAATCCTTGATTGCTTAATTAATTGTCTTAATGTGGATATTGCACTCACATAAATCATAATCCCATAAATGTATCTGATACATCCACAAATGTGTCCGTATATATACTTTGTGTGTGTGTGTGTTAAATCTAAGGTTTCTTGCTAATCTATTCGTGGTGCGTTTCGCCCTTGCAGGTTAAGTTGGAAATTATCATAACAGTTCTCTCCCCATCGGAAAGTTGGTGAAGAAGTACTAGAAATATTCGTGAACGGGATCAAGGCCCCGGCAGTGGTTTGATATGTGTAAAGATAGCAATATTTTTTAATAGTCTAACCTACAGGTGTGATTTGTTATGTATACACTTCATTTGAAGTTGATTTGGTGAAGCACACGGTTGTAAACTTGTACTAGCTATACCGTCATGTTCTTGCCGAATGCATCCAATTAGTACCTTTTTTTATAGTAAGAGAAAGGCTTGTTTGTGTTTGGTGTCGCTTTTTCATCACCTTTGCAAGTATTTTTGGCCGGTTTAAAGAAGCATCAATTGAATATTTTTTTTTATTTTTTGCTTTTCATTAGTTTTCATTTGTTTGGGTGTGTTTGGTAATATGCTTACAGTGTTTTTCTAAAAGGTTTGCTGGGAGCCTTTCATCCAAAGGCTTCCCTTCGAGATCACAAGACCTCTCTCTGGCCATAGACTTTTGGACTCTTTTCGGATCACGTACACAACCTCTGGCATGTGGCTGCATGTTGTACTGTGTTTGGGCTATACATACACATACATATATATACATACATACATGCATATATATACATACATACATACACACACATACACACACATACATACATACATACATATATATATATATATATGGAGTGGATAGAATAGAAGATATATCAAATGGAAACCCGTGGTGAACAGGCCGAAGCAACTTGAATGAGTAGTTTTTTTTTTTTTTTTTTTGGTGAAAAACATTTCAGTTTGATTGATTAATAACAAAAGCTTGGTTTTAGGACTGGTTTTAGTTGTGGCTAAGTAATAACCGACCTGAAGTAATAATCATTTATGTTTTTTGTTTATTTTAATATTTACGGAAGTACAAACCTTAGTAAAACATGAAAATATGCAAATGAAAATTTTCTATTACTTTTATAGTTTACAAACAAATTTTTCTGTTGTTATTATGGTTTCAATATCGATGATGTTATTAATGTGGTTTTCAAACTTTTTAGAAGTATTTATTTAATTAGGCCTCTTTGAACATAAAATGTTTGCGTATTAATGAATCAAATGGATAACCAATAATCAAAAGTTCGGTAATTATATATAATCCAAAACCCTTAACCATCTGGTAAGGATATGGTATATGGTTGGATAACCACTGTAATTATAACACACACACACAAAAAGGGGGCAGAAAGAAAATCAGCCAACCAGTGTCTAAATGGGGCGCTGCTTGCTGACTTCCCAGTTATTTCGTTAGCCACTGCGTAAGAGCAAATGGTAGATAGCCACCACCCAAGCTGTATGGCTGAGAGATGAAGAAATGAGGAGTGTGTGGCTCCCGAAATACATAAATGATTGCTGGTGCATTTTACTTCATCCAAATTAAGATCACAATATATTAGTAAAACATTATGATTGCCTACGACTCCAGTCCACAACCACCGCATAGAACCACCCACACTCTCCCCTCCCCATGGTGATGATAGATTATAACAACGCTGTACATCGAAAACTGCTACATGTGAGAAGTATCTACTACTGTATACAAGACGGTGGGAAAAAAATACAACAAAGAATGGGGGTAAACTTCTAAAAAATAAAATAAAATAAAATAACAACACAAGCTGCTAGTATGTGAGTGCAATAATATGATACAACCACATTCTAAATATTTATGTACTAAAATTAATTCAATAAGCATCTCAACATAAACCTCTGCTAAACAGAATAGATGACATAACCCAAAGTTTAAACCAGACTTTTATTCAGTAACAGGCAATCAATCCCACGATCTGATGCAAAACCTGATGATCTAAAAGTAATCAGAAGCTGTACCAACATGGATGAACTATACCAACTACTCAAGTCCCTCAAAATGACCTGTTGTTGGGTTTGGAAGATGGAGATGACTTGGATTTTGCAAAATCAACCAGATCTTTGAAGAGTGCATCTTCTGGTTTTGCTTGTTTTGGAGGGGTAGATGGATTAAGAGAGAGACTTTGAGTTTGACCAACTAAGCTGTCATAAGAGGAACCAGAGCCGCTGCTTGAATTAGAAGCACCGCCTGGAACGCTGTGATGCTGATCAAAGAACTGCTGTCTTTGATTATACCTGGAGGGCGGTGGTGGAAGGGATGAAGGAGGCTGAGCATCCCAAGGAGCTGGGGGCAGCCGATCACCAGATTGGCTTAATGGAGCTGGTTCATCATACATGGGCTGTCCAGTTAGCACAGGAGAGGAGTTCACAGCATTGGAGGGAGGAGATGAGGCCGATGGTGTTGGAGAATATGGTGGTGATGAGCTTACGTTGGAATGAATTGGGATTTTAAAGGGTGTAGGTTCTGATGTTTGAGGAGATCCTTCAGACTTGTAGACATCACCACTGAGATAATCAATCATGCCTGAGTCCCCGCTGACTGGCTTCTTTGATGAGGGAGGAGGAGGAGGAAGAAATGGGCTGACTCGTCCTGGTTGAGTCCTAACACTGACAGGTTTCCGGCCCAGTCCTTGTGAATTATCTCTTGATGACCTGTGGTAGCATGATTACACCAACTTGTTAGAATGGGCCATTTCCCTCCTTTTGGAAGTCACTATGTTTTAAGATCACAAATTTTATGGTTCCATAATAATAAGATTCATGCCCACTATCCCGATATAAACTTCCCAGCCAAAATAAGAAAGGTCAAATAAATCATGAAATAAAATGATAGTCAGATTCCCGGAGCTTTTTTAATTGCAGAATAAAGTTAAGCAGTCGCATATAGTAAAAAGGAAAAAAGTCCAGAGTGGACATTCACATATATGCAAAGGTGGATGTATCGCCACAACTTTTTGTTTCGTCGAAACACACCCTTGGTGAAATGTTTTGACGATCCATCCAATGGTAAGAGCTTGCATCTTAAATTTGTTAATGCATGTTCCATTGGTAAACCCAGTGAGAATCCCCCGTGACACCACACAGAACAATGAGTGTAACATAAGTGAATACAGTAAATGGCATGGGAGAGAGAGCGAGGGAAAACCATTGCAAAAGCCTTTAGTATGGTTACCTGTGAGCCAGCTCGGAAAAATCATCTTCTGACTCATCATCCTCATGGTTAATATTCGTAAGAGGCATGAGTGGAGTTTCCATTTCCCTTTCTCCCACAGCGGGGGTTCCTTTTGCAATATCATCATGCCGACGAAGCACACGCTGCAGGCTGTCATTCAGTCCTAATCCCTGACACAGAAGCTCCTCATCTCTGAAAGAGCACTATATTTGTCAGAATTATTGATAGCAGAAATCAGGAAGAAAAAAAACATGTAAGGTCTAATTCTTACATTGTATCATTAACAAGAAGCATGACACGCTTTTGGTAAGATCGGCACTGGTCAACAAGGTCAACAATCACTTCTTGCTTAACACCCTGCCATAACATCCAACAATATAAGTACATAAATATTATCCAATTGTTGCACAAATTACATTTTTATGCTATCCAGATAAGAAGTTGCAGCCTTGATATGCGCAACTTCTACCTTAAACAGAGAGCATGACAGAAAACAAAACAGGACAAGATTTCTACATCTATTGTTTGCTTTTGTACATTTACTTGACTGATCAGCATGTAATTTAATTTCATTATTTTAAAATTTTAGTTTTATCCTATTTATCTAATTGTCAAAAGTAACTCTTGTTAACAATACAGTTCTATCCTAACCTACTTCAGGATACCCATACCCAAGTTTTTTGGCATTTTATTAGTGTTTTCTGAGCAGCCTACTCCAAATAACAGTGAAACTGATTCCAGTTTTGACAATTAAATGAAACTATCCATGGTCCCTCGTATTTCAAAATTTGGTCAAATCAACCCCTCTATTTTATTTTTGGTCAAATTAAACCTCCAATTTTCAATTTACAACAAATTACGTCCCCATCCAACTCATGTATATGATGACAGCCACAGGTTGCTATGTGTACACATGTAAGTTGATAAGGGGATGGGACACAACCATTGGTTAATTGGAAGGAAAAGGTTCAATTTGATCGGAAATAAAGTAGAGAGTTGGTTTGACCAAATTTTAATACTTGAGGGACCGGGGATTATTTTTATCCTTCGGTAATTAATCATCAAGTATTGAAGGTGTATTCTTCCTGTCTTCATAATTATGTAGTTTTTTTCCGTCCCCTTTCTTTCAATCCAGAACTCCATATACAGTAGTGTGCAATAAGGTTTAACATCTCTATCCATGAAGACAGCACTGAGATCCTGTTTGTGCTCTGAATCAGGGAAATTTCCCCCAGCACTTAACTGCTGAACTTGGCAACATGCTTTGCTAGAACAATGAGAGAAATTTCCACAGGATAAAAACCATTTACCTCAGGATTCTTAGGATCCAAGGCACTAAGCATTTCCATTAACACATCTGCTATTCCACGAGCACTTTGAATCTCAAGCAAGCTGCAAAATAAACAAATCTCCAATGTAAAAAGTTATTCCATCAATCAATCATTAATCCCCAGCACCAGAAAGACCAACTAGAACAATGAGAGGTCAAAGCAAAACACAGATGAAAAAATGTGACATCAATGAGACTTTTATCATCTAGGACAGAATTGCATAATCAGAAGCATCCTAACACAAAGCAGTTTTAGTTAGTTCCTTTGTGATTACTGCCGCTTGTATCTATTGCTTATGCATTGGTCATGCAAGCACACTTATGATCCATTGTAGCAATCTTAAAGAATGATTACAAACTAAATTCCAACTAAATCATATAGGAATACATGAGCAAGCTTGAAATTAAAATGTAAGCGAGTAGACTGGGAAAGAAAGAACATAACAGCTGATGTAGTAGTCAGTCAATATTATGCAAGAATCCTGATGTACTCGCACACCTATTTATGGAACAAATAAATGGAAAACACAAGTACCTTTTTTAATAGACCTATTTAACCCTAAGCTGGGGAATGCACTGAAGAAAAGAAAGCCAGTTTTGTCCAATTACTACCTGAGGCCAGAGGCATCAGACTGGAGAGAGGCTTGAATAGCAGCATCTTCATATGCTGAAGGTGCATCAGCTATGGGCTGTGTTTGGGGAGGAGTAAAGAATGGCACGCTGTTCTCTGCTCGAGGCGGAAATTCAACTCCTGCAGCCTGTCAGTATCCAACATTTAGTCTCGTCAAATAGGGCTTCATGAACACATTAATAAAGTAAAGGTCCATAATATGATTTCTGATATAAATCAGCCACCTAAAGTTGATCAGCTTCAAAAGGAATGGAGTGTAAAATCAACGGCAAATCTCACGCACTCTAACTAATGGAATCATAAGTAAGAATAATAAAATTATTAAGACATTGACACATAATGGCAATTTAGAACTATCTTTAACTTTCCAGTCAACAAAACCATAAGTTATAACCATCATTCTCAAATCATTCACTTGCATGTATTGATCTAAGAAGGAAACATGAAACAAAAGGTATTAGACTCCTGGAATTCCAACTATAACAATTCTCAGTAGAACAGCTGGCACCAAAATAAGGAAACTGATTAGAACTAAAATAGGTAGAGAAACCAATTACCCTTAATTCATTATATGCAGCATAATATTGAGGATACCTTCCTCTTTGTCCCCCAAAAGCTTCTTGCCATGTATCTATCAGAATAAGTATCTTTTCTCGCACATTCAAATCAGGCTGCTCAATTTAACAAGAAGAAAAAATGAGATAGGAACGGGAGAAGAGAAGTCCGTAGCACTGGTAAAAGGAGAAGGCAGTACCTTCTTTTTTACTATTTTAACCATATCATGTAAGATATCACGTTCAATGATTTGCTGAAACACATAGTCGCCACAATTTTTACTGAGAGTCTCCAACGCCTGTATCATGAAACATATAAAGAGAGGCCCACAGCCATTCAACTTAACATCCATGCACAACCACAATTTTGGAAATGTTCGACAAACTAATTTAAAGGCCAATTGAAACAAAATTTAAAGAATTATAGAGCAATTACGTTGTCATATTGGGACATGTACAGCTCGTGATATAAAATTAAGAAAGAAAAAAAAAACATGAGCCAAGTCTAGAAAGTTTGAAAATACTAACAAAAAGAGCTAGGAGTTGGATTTTAGGATTTTTGCTGCCTAGTCGCTTCTTGAGTATTTTCAAGGCATCCTTTGATTGCCTGCAAGACAAATCCAGTTCGGATAGAAATCAAAATCAGCATAATTTAAGAGCAGAAATCAAAATGAGCGAACTTAAGAATAAATTTCAGTGCTCTAACATAAAGATCTTGACAGAATTAATATACTCATACCAGCTCTGACCAACCCCCAATAAACACACTACTTAACCAGTCTATTCCAATGAAGTATTGAACAATTCTAACAACCATGCAGGTTCAAGTTGCAAAATAAGCACAAGTCTTAAGTAAAAAGTTTGTACACAAACTATACCAAAACAAGAAATCGGAAAAGAGAAAAAACATATACCCAGGATCCATGTTGATGATATCACATAGCTCAATGTTTATAGCCCAGTCTGGACCAATTAACATATCACTGGTTGCCCTCTCCGCACAAGCCGCAGCATTATTGGCCATGATTATAAATAATCACAAGATGGTCCCTTTAACTTAAGCTCGGTATCCCTTGTTATCCTAAAAAGCACAATAATCAACCCGCGATCAATTGCAAAATTCAAACCTGAAACTGTACAAATATACATATATATCATTTACGAAATACGAAATTGAAGTGATACAAATAAATTGGAACATAGAGAAACACATGATCAGATATAAAACAGCAAATTATCTCCAACTGAATAGCTAAGACTTGATTCACCATCAAACCCATTGAAACACAACGAGAATACAAAAATCGCATACCAACTTCAACACGATCGCAGTGTATCAAAATCATCAAACAAAGTCCAATTTGACCCAAATGGATACAAGCAAAAAGAACCAAAAAAATCGAATTATATACAAGTAGATAAAAAAGCCCATTCAACCTTAAACCCAAACAAGGAAACAGTAAGAATCATTAAAAACAAACCCTGATTATCCAAATTTAAGACAAGTAAGAGAAAAATGCAAAAACCCCAGTTAACAAAAAGTAGGAAAAAAAGACAAGATGTAAGAATCAGAAGAGAAACTATAGTTGGGGGTTAAGGATCTTGAAGCTTACCTGTCAATGACAGAGAGAGAGAGAGAGAGTAAGAATTGAAATAGTAGTAGAGAGTTTATTATGTAAGAAAAAGAGATTAAGTTAGGAGAAGGAGAAGGAGAGGTCTTTTTGTTTGGGGGGAGGGGGAGAGACTGCTTTGTTTGTTTGGTGGTACTGCTCCTTTCTTTGGGTCAGCCAGCCTTTTGCCATAGGGATCAACTTTGGGTTTCCTATTTAGTCATATTTTTCCTTATATTTCTAGAAGAAAAAATTAGTCAAAAATGAATGATATTCGAAGTCTTGCACTGTACCTTCCTAATATATTATTATAAATAAAAGGTACCATTAACATTTGGGCAATGTGTTCCTCTCTCTTTCTTTTCTTTTTTTAATTTAACGTATCAAAATTGTTTTCTTTGTTCCTTTACTATGAGTTCTTGTTTCGTTATGTTTTGATGCAATTTTAATTTTTATAAGCTTTGTAGCCCTTTTCATTTGTTAAAGAAATAAAAAATAATAATAAAAGCATAGAAAATCATTTTTCCCCTGGGTTAAATGTTACCCATAAAAATCAAGTTTTCACAATTTATGGTAGATATTATACATGGTCTAACGACAAAAATTATCTCTAAACTATTACGATATAGCAATTTTGTATCTTTATTATCAGTTTAAGTTAATTGAATTTCAAATTATTATTTTTTGATAAATATAATCTTTATTTGTTATCTTTAATATCAAAAGATTTATTATATTTAAATAAAAAAATAAAAGTACAAAACCTCAACTAAAAATAAAATAAAATGTTTATGCTAATGTAATGAATATGCTCGATATGTCAATTTAATAGCTATGCCATAATAAATTTAAAAAAAATAAATTATTATAAAAAATTAAAAATGTACATTGACGATAATCCAGCTTAATACTTGGATTTAGATATTTTATTTCATTTCTAATTTAGCCAATTTAATGATTCTCGTCGACATGAATTTAGGATAAACACTTCATTAAAAAATTTTAAAAATTATATTAATGACAATCTAGTTAATACTAGATTTAAATGTTTTATTTTAATTTCAATATAGTCAATTTAATAGTTATGTCGGCGTGAATATAATAGAAACATTTGATTAAAAAAATATTGTAGTGTTATTTTTTATTTAAATAAATATAATTTTATTTTTTTCTATTTGATTATTTATACTTTTAAATTTTTTTATGAGAGTTATTAATTTTGAAACCTAACGAATAGCTACTATGTAATTTTATGCAAATCGTATTTTAATTAAGTTAGCTAATTTAAAAAAAAAAAAGAACAAAAATGTTAATTGTCAAAGGATTGACCGTTAAGGGTCAATTCTTTGATCATTAAAAATAATAGGTGAGAATCATATTTGTTAAAAAAAAAAAAAAAGATTTGAGATTCAATTAACCCGAGATCAACCATAAAAGCTTAAAATTGTCAAATGTGATGGTTTATGAATAATTTTTGCCATTAAACCTATCATCGACAATGTATAAGTTTTTCACCGTGCCATTAGAAAGTTTAATAGATGAAGTTAATTTTACATTTTGGTTATATATATATATATATATATATATATATATATATATATATATATATATATATATATATTCACATCGGTTGCACATTAAATCGATATTAATCTTTTTTTCAAATAATTTTAAAAGACAATTTCTACATTAAGTCGATGTATTCAAATGAACTAATTGTTTTAAGTATTGATTTTAAATTTTGAATTTATGAGATTAAAAGAGAAAGTGAATCTCTTTGATCATGGGGTCTATTATTTGAAAGTACAATTTTAATCTTATAAAAAATACATGTGAAAAAATATTTTTTTGCCCTATAAAAACATTGGACGGAAATCTTTAATGTGTCTCGATATAAAGTTAATTAGTTTTTTTATTTGTGTTGCAAGACAAATAATTCATGCAATATCTTACAATATGGAATCATCTAATTTTACGTCATCACGAGTCATCATTTTATCTGTGTAACTTGAATCTTGATGTCTTTTAGAAAGATACAAACATGTTAATTAAACAACTAGTTCATTGGATTTGACAAACAAAACACTATAATAACTAGTCGGCATGCTTTTATGTGGTTGTTGTGCAAAAGTGGTGCGGTTGCATTGAACATATTCTTGTGAGAAAAATTATGATCACCAATTAAAATGTGTTTTGGCAATAAGCTAAGATCTTTGCAAATGCAAATTTTATTATGGGAAACATATCCTTATATTTTGAGAATTGTAACCAATATATTGTTATATGTTTGAATGCATTTAATCTATTTTTGAAAAAATATTTTGTTTTCAATTTATCTTTTTTCAGATTTTTAATGTCAAAACTAATAAAACTACATCACACCACTTGCGCATAACCAAGTTTATGTTTTATATATCCAAAATGCCCTTTGTTAAGAAATGGAGAGTAAGAAAAAAAAATTTAGAATTCTAATCAGGATTTGATAAATTGACATTTAATACTCAGTTTCAATAAGTTATACACATTAGTTATTCCGCGTGTGCCAAATTACATGATGCATTTTCGTTTATTTTAACGGTAAACATCTGACAAATAATATATTAAAGACACAACAACTTTTCAATAATAAATTGAATACAAATAAATATATAAAAATAAATTTGACACGACTATTAAATTATAAGGATCCATAGAGTCATCCGACCTTTTATTATTGTCATCTTTACTTGACAAAAGAAAAAATCTACAATTAGTCTCGAAAAGATATATATATATATATATCTTCACCACCAAGTTTCTTTTTGCACATCTAAAAGATAACCAACGAGGCAACAACAATGGTAAATAACCTCGTTAAAGAAAAAAAAAAAAAAAGAGAGAACATTAAGAAAATGAAAATATAACAAAAAGCATTGCTCATTATTGGTCTGTCGCGAATTACATAACGGGTGTCATATACGTTACAGCGATTTCCGTTCCTTCATATTTTCTTTTCGGGAAAAGAGTAAATTTCTACTTCATTTCCAGTCACCAGCTACAGGAGGGTTACCAGTTTTGACTTTGCTCAAAGAACAGAAGAAGCTATAATAAACCAATGCCATAAACGCGTTTTTCTATCCAGGGTCTGACTCTGGACCCCACTAAAAGGGGTGTGAATAGAAGGATCTGGCATCTGGCTTAATTTTGATCTTTTTCCAAAAACCAAAAGTCAATGAACCCATGGCGGGACCCAAGCTCGCCATATTTGTTGACTGGTTCCTAGCGTGAGGAAGATGGACGACAACATGGCGAGAGACCAAATACAAGTCCAAACCCGCTGGTGTGGGTCAAACACCGTGATCATCATCCTCTGCATATCAAGGTTTACCATTCCGTTTCATATGCCTGTGCCTGTCATGACTGGACAGGATGATTGATGACCCATGTGGAAATCAAGGGTTGTGCGCATACATACGCATCCAAAATGATGCTGCAATGTTTGGCTGTAGGTGAGTTACATATGAGAAAAATGTAAGCGGAAATATTAATTTTAGAGGTTTTGTTTTTTTTTTTGAGAGGGACATAGGTGGGTTTTAAGCTATAATGATCAATTAAATTGAAAGTACTAGAACTCTAGCTTATTTCACTTCGAAAAATTATTAAATATTCAATCTTTATTTTATACCTGCTTGTTAGGTTTTATTTTAGAGGTGTATTTTAAGTTTATTAGGTGGTTATTACATCTGTTTTCGGTTTTACCATCTCAAAATCAAATTTAACGCGTGACTAAAACAAATTGAATTTAGTGGAGATTGGAGTTTTTTATTTTTAATGGTTTGAAAATATTCTCCAATAATTAAAACTAAACAATAACAAATTTTGAAGTTAATAAAAATAACATTAGATATACTCATTTATCATTATATATAATACTCAAAATCTCTCATATGTCTCTAAATTTTTAATTACATTTCATTTATTTTTTAAAACGTTTAAAATATTCAACATATTTTTCTTATCAATTTTTTCAACTAAATAATTTTTTTTGATCGAAATACTCTTGATTGAAATACAAGAAAAAAATAAAATAAAATTTTAAAGGCTTAAAAAATAAAATAAGTTGGTTATGTGACTTTAATTATTTTTACTTATTTATTTACTTTTTTTATTTCATATTTTGGTAAAGAGCATTTCGATTAACAAAAATTTATGATTAGAAAATTTGATCGGAATGATAAATTAAATATTTTTAATTTTATTCAAGAATAAATATGAAACAATTACAAATCTAAAAATAGATGTAAGATTTTGAGTATTATATAAGAATATATTGATATATTTATTCAAAAAATAAAGACTTATATTATTCGCCCTATACCCTTTAAATTCAATATTGGAATAAGCATTTAGAGAGATTTTTGTTTTTCTAACGGAAAATTTATTAAATTCTTATCTATATACAACGTGAGAAGTGTATTTTTTAGATTGTACGGATAACAAATTTAATCTCAATTGAAAATTAAACAACTATGAAAAAAAATCCTATTCAATCGAATAAAAAGAAATTATATAGCTTTTACCTGATCATCGCTTGTTTTACGATTCAATAACTCATCAGACTCGCGTCTGAGATCCTCATAGTACATTTTTTGCACAGTGGTTGGGTCAACATTCTCGGAGTTGAAATGGACGGGAATTGCCTATTGTCGAATGTCGACCCAGCTTCTTGGCTACCTAATTGTCCATGTAACCTCTCCAATTGTTTATGCACGATGTAAACATGATTGTTGCAGCGATCTACCAATCGGAAGGACTTGACCAAGAACAAACCTCCTCAAAAGGTCAACGACCCCATTTTATATATCCTGCCGCTAGGGTTATTAGCATCATATGTGGCATTCTTGTTTCCACAAGTGGGTTTAACTAGATTTTTTTCCTTACTACGCTACGTATTAGATAAAATATATAAAATCATTTTAATTTGATAATTCGTTTTATAGTTTGAATCTATAAAAATAAATAAAATCAAAGGTGAAAAAAATATATTTATAATTTTTTAATAAAAAATTTTATATTTAATTATTTTTTATTTTTGTTTTTCATAATTTTTCCTTTAGAAAAAGGATTTATTCTTGTTAATCCATAGATTATTAAGTAAAAAAAAATTAAAAAAAAGTTTTTTAAAAAGAACTTTAGTATTTCATAAGATTATATCGAAAAACAAAAATAACAATTATTAAAATCTTATATAAAATTGAACAGAGAATTATTTATTTATTTATTTAATATTGATGAGAATATCAATTTTTGAAAAAAAATATGAATTTAATTTTTATATATTTATTTACAAAAGAATGAATAATATTGAAATAAATCAAAACTTTTAGTAAATATAATTTTAAATTAATTGGATGAGAATTAAAAAAAAAGAAGAAGATAAGTTAAAGTAGTAAATTTAAAATAATAAAAATAATTAACAAAAAACACTAAAACAAAATGTGACCAAATCATAATACAATTAAAGTTTAAAATTGAAAAAAATATATAGAAAAATTGAGGACCATATAATTTTAAATTAATTGGATAAGAATTTTTTAAAAATGACAAATTAAAGTAATAAAATTTAAATAATAAAAATAATTAACAAAAAAACATTAAAACAAAACAGGATCAAATCACAATTCAATTAAAGTTTGAAATTAAAAAATATATATATATATATATATAAATTGAGGACTAAAGTGTTACAAAAATAACATAAATAATGAAAGGAATAATGATTCGTGAGTATCTGAATAGCGATTTATAAATATGTGAATAATATTATAAATAGGAAAATATCATTTTATTTTGGAGTTTTATATATATATAAGAAAAAAAAAAAAGAGGTCCTGTGCTGGAAAAAAAGAAAAGAAATAAGGCCAACCAAGGCCTTGGCTGCTGGGCTTATATATATATATATATATATATATAAGGAAAAAAGAAAAAAAAAAAAGAAATAAGGCCAGCCAAGGCCTTCAACCAAAAAGAAAAAATATATACATATTATTAGAAGGAAAAAAACAAAGGGCAGGCGCTGAAAAAAAAAAAAAAAAAAAAAGCAACCGAAGAAACACTGTTCATTGAACAGCGAAAGGAATAGTAACAATGAACAGTAAAAATTGTTTGCGTTTTAGAGTATTAGTAATCCTATGAAAATTAACTAATTTATTAATTACTATCATACACCCCAGCTTAGGTAACCAGCCTTCCGAGGTCAAACTCTGTCACCTAAATATTGGGCTCTAAAAATAGCCCAACAATTCCAAACAACTTGGATGCCTTGGGTTGCCAAAGCTTAGGAGAAAAAAGCAGCATTTATCTTATATTCTTTATTATATCCTCCACCAAATAAAATCTTTTAGCCAATCAAATGCACATATTACGTGTTAATATCTCAAATCTAACGCTCAAGTCTTTTTTTACAAACAGTAAACTTCACCCGCACAAAAAGGACATGTCTCCTTCGCATATAAATGCTTTGTAAAAAAGCTCTAAAACCCTTTGGTGTTTAAACTGGGTTCTTTATTGTACGTTTTGGAAGTGATTTTTAAACTGTTTGGAGTTAAACAAGTTTCTTTATCGATTTTTTTTATAAATATATTCTTTTCTACTGAGTAAATAATTATTTTTTATCGTTTTAGAGTTAATGGGTTTCATTTGTTTTTGTTTTATTTTAAGTAAATGATTATTTTTTTACCATAAATAATAAATGAAAATTTTGTAATATTTGAAGTAATTGTTATTTTATGTGACGGGGATATAGATGATGATTTTGTCAAAATATCATTTCTTAATAAACTATATGCAAGTCACATGTCAAAATCCATTAGTTTGGATGAAATTTTTTTTAATAAAAGGACCTATTGGAGATTATGCTTGTATTTTGGCTACAATTAAACATGCAAGATACACTAGAGATAACTCCTTAAGTGTAAAGACATGTCGTTATATATAATTCTCTTAAAATATTATTGTACATATACTATAAATACTGAAAAATATTAAAAATATGACATTATAACATATATAACCTTCTAAAGAGTTTTGTACAAAAACTCATCAAATTACCTAAAATAAAACTTTCAATACCAAAAAAATATAAATGGATCGGTGATATTAAGAGTTAAAAGATGCTTTTTTGTATGAAAAATTAATTTGTTTTGGGGTTTTATGGATATAAAAAAAATTAATAGGTTTTTTGGATTAAATATTTTTCCTCTGGCGGGTTTAATGATATTCCCTTAAAAAAAATATTATCTTTTTAACGTCTACGGATCTAAAGGTACGAACAAGAAAATATATTTTCCTATTGGCAACAACAACTCAATCCCGTTGAATAGAAAAATTCAAAGGACTTGTCCAATGGATCCTTGGAGCCCATTTTTAGATTTTAGAATGACTTGTTTGGAGGACAAAATCTGAACTTTCTAACGAGCCGAGATCAGACATGGCCAGAAAGAGTCCTCGTCGTTCTATTGGATCTTTGCTGACTTTAGGGGTCAAAGACAACCGTCTAGCAGGTAACTGGGCTTTGTTGACTACTTCATTGGGTTGTTCCCAGATGTCCCTTAACGTTTTCTGCTAAACGATTCTAATTGACAAGTAGCCTGATGGCACTATCAGATTTTTTTGTTATCAAAAAAAAAAATGATGGAAATAAAAATAAAAATAAAATTTTTATTCTTATTTTATAGTTGTTTGATTGAAAAAAATAAAGTGAGAATGAAAATTAGACATAATTTAATTTCATATGGAATGTGGAAATAAAAACAAAAAATAAGAATAATTTTTTTAAATAGTAATATATTATTTTTATTTGTTGCATAATTACTTCTATCACCACTACCACTTCTGCTAAGAGTAATGATAAAATTATTATTAGTCTTCCTACTACCACCACTTTCACTATTGACGGTTATAATAAAAAAAAATTTAAAAAAACTTTTATCATCATTATTATTTCATTATCACTTCTTTTCAACTATCATCATTATTATTATTACTCCATCAACACTCTTCCTCAACCACCACCACCATTAACGATAGTGAAAAAAATTATTATTATTATTATTATTCTATCATCACTATCATCGCTTTTATTGTATTATTACCACTACTATTATTTTTCTTCTACTCGCCACTTTATATAGCGATGATATCAAATTTTTTAAAAAATATATTATTATTACTACTACCTCCTTTTTCTTCTTTTTTACTCCATCATCGATGCTACAATCACTTTTATCATTTTTACGATCATCATAGTCAATGATTTTTTTTAAATCATTATTATTATTCAATTAAAAATCGGATATTAACAAATTTAAATTTTATTATAATTTATTATAATTATTTTAAATACAATATGAAAACACAAGCATCATTCTGATTTTTTAATTTTTATTTTAATTTCTACATTTTCATTACAAACCTTTTATTTTTTTGTAACCAAACAATTCCTTAATAATATTCTAACCTTAGCTTCATCTTTTGAATCTTTCAATTGGTCTCGGCAGTGAGACAAGGCAAAGAGCTGCTCATGAGCTTGCTAACTATCCTCGGACTACCAAGAGGAAAGGGTCTGGCTAGAAGAGCCTCCTCCTGGAATTAAAAATCTCCTATCCCTAGATGTTCTTTCAAATTCCTTGATTAATGGAAAGCACATTGTTTTGTCAATATATATATATATATATATATATATTGAAGCACCGAGAGTACTGTTTCATGTTAATGAATTAGGAGAGATAGATTAATGAATTCTAATGGAGAGAGAGAGAGAGTGACGTTTTACTGGTTTGTATTTTTTAATAACTTATTTGAATTATAATTTTATTAAACTTATGTTAAATATTTTAAATGGTATAAAATGAGATGGATTGGTTTTTTAAAAAGAAATGCCATGGATTTTTTTTCGTAGAGTTTACCTGATATAAAATGCATTGTTTTGAAAATAAAATTGAAAATATCTCATTTATAAATTAAAATTTAAAAATACTTTATTTTGAAAAAAAAAAAAAAGGCTCTCACAACTCATTCTCTTTAAATGGGAGAACAAGTGGAGGAAAAATATACTAAAAAAGCACTCCGTTACTTTGCAATTTTATCTTTGACTTGATAAAGCTCGTCTCATAAAAAGATAAAAGGATTATAGTTTTAATTTTAAAAGTAGGATATTTTTTTCCCCTTATGCTAATTTTCAATTACAAATGAAAATAGTTTTCCCTCAAAACTTATTCTTCCTACTTTCATGTCATCCAAACAGGATCGAACACAAGTGAGGAAAAACAAATTCCTCTCTTTTAACTTTCTTTACTCCCAATTTTCTCTCCTCCCTCCCAGACAAAATGCTAATGAAAAAGGCAAACCACAAATTGCTCGGCACAATTTCCTACGGGACAACATTACTAAAAAAAATAAAATAAAACTATGTTTGACTATGCATATCCATATTTTAAATATTATTCAAACACTCACAATTCACAATTCACAATTCACACACTCATAAATTATTATTTTTTTCACTATTCATATCACTTTTGTAACACTTTGGTCCTAAAATTTGTATACTTTTTTTTTTCAATTTCAAACTTTAATTGTATTGTGATTTAATTTCATTTAATTTTAATTATTTTAATTATTTAAAATTAACTAATTTAATTTGTCATTCTTTTTAAATTCTTTTTTTTCAATTTCAAACTTTAATTTGTTAATTATTTTTATTATTTAAAATTTACTACTTTAATTTATCTTCTTCTTCTTTTTTTAATTCTCTTTTCTTTTTCAATTTCAAACTTTAATTATATTGTGATTTAATCCTATTTTATTTTAGTATTTTTTTAATTATTTTAATTATTTAAAATTTACTACTTTGATTTGTCATTTTTTTTAAATTCTCATCCAATTAATTTAAAATTATATTTACTTGACAGCTTTGTTTTATTTTTCTATATGTATGGATTTTGAAATAAATTTTTAGAACATGATCATTATTTTATTTTTTTGAAAAATAGATTTAGATAATTTTTAAATTATAGTGGAATAATTAATATATATATATATATATATATATATATTTTTAGATTAAAAATGTATTCTAAATAATTTTTTCTTGATTTTTTTATATTATTTAAAATTTACTACGTTAATTTATCATTTTTTTATTTCAAAATTTAATTATATTGTGATTTGATCTTTTATTATTATTTTTATTATTTAAAATTTACTACTTTAATTTGTTATTTTTTTAAAATTCTCATTCAATTAATTTAAAATTATATATATTGATAGTTTTGACTTATTTTTTTATATTTATGGATTTTGGAATAAATTCTTAGAATGTGTTTTTTTTTCTTTTGAAATATAGATTTAGATAATTTTTAAATTAATATATATAATTTGTTTGAAATACATTTTCAGATTAAAAGTATATTTCAAATAATTTTTTCTCAATTTTCTTATATTATTTAAAATTTACTACATTAATTTGTCATTTTTAAAAATTTTTTTTTCAATTTCAAACTTTGATTATATTGTGATTTAGTCTCATTTTCTTTTAGTGTTTTTTGTTGATTATTTTTATTATTTAAAATTAATACTTTAATTTGTTATTTTTTTTTTGAATTCTCATCCAATTAATTTAAAATTATATTTACTGATAGTTTTGGTTTATTTTTCTATATGTATGAATTTTGGAATAAAGTTTTAGAACATCATTATTTTTTCTTTAAAAAATAGATTTCGATAATTTTAAAATTATAGTGGCATGATTAATATATATAATTTATCTAAAATACATTTTTAGATTAAAATTTTATTTTAAATAATTTTTTATTTTTATTTTTATTTAGAAAAAAAAACTCAAATTAATTAGTTAATAGTTGAAAGTAAAATGTGAAAAATAAAAAGAAGATGATTGCTTTGCGTGTGAGGCATGTATTCAAATACTAGCCATGCATAACATAAATATATATATAAGAAGGAGGAAAAAAAAATTCACATGTTTTATTAATTTTTTTCTTCTTTAAATAATCAAAATTAATCGAAATCAAATTTGTAATAATTTTTATTTTAGTCTATTAACTTCAAAATTAGTTAATAGATTCCTTGCAAGTTAATTGTTTTTTATAGTATTTTTTGTTTTAGACTGAAAAGTCTAAACTCGTTATGATGTATAAAAAATATTGAATCGTTGTTTTTTAGAAATTAACTGTGCAACTACTACTATACTAAGCATTTATTGTTTATTTATTTATTTTTGAATATTTTAAAATTAACTTATTTTAAACTAAATAATTAAAATTATGTTTTGGCTTAACCACTCAATGATTCAAATTAATATAATTTTTATTTTAATATTATTCGTTCTTTTGTAAATAAATATATAAAAATTAAATTCATATTTTTTCGAAAACCGATATTCTCATCAACATTAAATAAAAAAATAATTTGTTTAATTTTGTGTAGGCTTTTAATAATTGTTATTTATGTTTTTTGACACAATCTTATAAAATACTAATTTTTTTAAAAAAATTATTTAATTTTGTTTTTAGACAATGCTCCATGGATTAACGAGGATAAATACTTTTTCCAAAGAAAAAATTATAAAAAACACAAATAAGAAATAGTTAAATATAAATTTTTTTATTAAAAAATTATAAATAATTTTTTTCATCTTTGATTTCGTATATTTTTATAGATTCATATCATAAAATAAATTATTAAGCTGAAATGATTTTATATATTTTATCTAACCCCGAATGTAGTGCGGGCAAAAATAACCGTGGTCCTCCAAAGGAAAATTGCTTTACTGTAGAGCCTCCCGTGAAACAACAAATAACGTAACCAGCAAAAAGCGAAAAAGAAAAAAACACAAGAGACGGAACTCATACAGCAACGATTACAAACCTTAATTGGTTATCCAATGCTCGATAGGGTTGCGTTCTCTTTTCACTAACCAAGTTCGTTTTATAAACTTCCTCGTTATTACAATGTTGGATGATTTATTTTTGACGGGCTGGAAGGTTGAATTTGATTTGATTTTTTAATATTATGCAAAAGGCTTATTTGAGAAACCATGTATATCCCAATTTTGCAATCTTGTAGAATAAATAAATAAAAACAAAAACTGATTTCAACCACATGCATCCAGGGTCTTGCCACAGGTCCTGCTTGGAGTGAGCATTATTTAATTTGAATTGGAATACCAAACCAATCAATTTAAGTTTGGTTTTTAACTCAGAAATTAAAAATGAAAACAAACTGAATTTTTTTAATTTTTCGGCTTGGTTTTTAAATTTTTTTATTCAATTTACACCAAAAACTGATTTTTTTAAAAAAATAATTTAAATAATGCAAATAAGGCAAAAAAAAAAATCAATATCTTGACATTATTATAAATATGTAATAGATTGATGGTATTTTTGATCTATTTATATTATTTAAAAAATTAAAAAATTAAAATAAAAAATTGAATAATAATTCAATTCGGATTCGATTTTTGTTTTTATAAGTTTTGTTAATTGAAATCCGAATCAAAATAATTAAAAATCCAATCGAAAAAACTAATGACCCCTTTTAGTCCCAAAGTCATTACATATAATAGCTATTGAGTTTCCCTCCTAGTTAGAGGATGGTCAAAAGGTTTGCCTACGTGAGCTCAATTTTGAAACCTATATAGAGGAGGATTTTTTAATCATTTAAAGAGTAATTTTGGTATTTTCAAACAAACTCTATCTTCTCTTTTATTATGAAATCAGATTAGAGAAGAAGCAAGAGAGAAAAAGAAAAGAAAATGAGTGAGAGCCACAACTTTTGAGAGAAAGAAGGAATATAGTTTCAGCACAAATCAGTCGCGTTAAAATTGAGCGTCTGAGTTCGTTAACCGTTGGATTGAGCTCAAATTTGGTGGGCACGTGCAGGAGAGGCAGGCGCATATTCTGGACGGTGGAGATCTTGTTTTGCGTCCTAGAGAGGGAGATATTATGCTCGTAACAATACTATTTTCTAGTGAAATCTGAACTTGGTTTCTTCTACTTTCTTGTGTATCATCTTTTGATGTGGTTTGCCAAGGGTGTGTAACCTTTGATGTTTGCGTAGCCATCTAGTTTAATCTAGAGAGGACTCCTTGTACCTATTATTGTTGATAGTAGAAATTATAGTAGACTCCGATCCCGTGATTTTTTCCTTCTCAAATTGAAAAGGTTTTTCACGTAAAATTTGTGTGTGCTTTGTGTGATTGTGATTGGTTGCTTATTTTTCAGATTATTAATTACTTATTTAGCTTGAGTATTTAGTTGTAGCCCGTGGTTGATTATTCAAACAAGGACAAAAGGATTATGCTGTGTTATTTGTGTTTCTTTGCAAAACAATAACTTCTTACGTTGCATACATGACCTCACGGAAATCTAACAAGAAAAACCTGCACCGTCGGTAATTGAATACAAATATTATGTTGACAAAAGATGGACAGGACTCCTTCCATTTTATATTGATATAATATCAAGCACAAATTAACAAAGGTTGCCATCGCCAGCATCCATTCCCTGACTGCAGTTTGCGTAGTACTCAACAAATCAACTCTTGATTATTCTTATTAGGTAGTTAAAGGCTAAAACGACTATTAAAAAAAATATTGTAACAGTACGAACAAAAAGAGAGAGAAATTAATAAGTTAAAAGCTAGGAAATTTCTCATTTATAAATAATAATCTTCACCGAATTCTAGTGTAAACAGAACTTCTAAGTAGACTGTTAATGAATTAAAATGGATAATAAGAGCAACTAGCACCTAATTAATTACATGAAATGTTATTCTTACTTCTGAAGAATCCAACCAAATGAAGTGACATTGATATTAAAAAAGAAGAGCAAGGAACCTACCTAACCTAGTCTGGCGCCGGCCAACTGGAGTGCACATGCATTAATTATAAACATGCATGCAAGAGGGAAATTAATACATGCAAGAGGGAAATTAACAAGCGGTTTCCATATATTAAATATATATTCTCTCTTTATCATACGTGAGATAGATTCTCTAATATTTCTATTCATTTGCATTCTATATTTTATAATTTATTAAGCAGTTTGAATTTCAACATTTTTGTTAAATTATTAGGTCTTTAAAACTCTAATGTTTTATTAAATTTGATCATTTAGATTTAATTTTATTTAAAAAAAAACTTAAGTTTTATGACAGATTGGTCACTCAACTTTATATAATAGATATTTATAATTTATTTTTTCAATATAGGAGAGATTCTCTAATAATTATCGTTAGTAGTATATTTTTCGAAAGATATAATTCCTTAATTAATTTTAAAATTTTTTTGTTTTTGGAATTATATAGTGTTTCAAAATTATACTCTCTTCTCTCACATATAGTTGGAATCTATAAGTAATTTAAGTGACTTTTTTAGATAATGATATAAAACAATCAAACCATTATGAATTCGAATATCAATATCTTTATTTTTTTAATTAAAATTAAATAATTAAGCACAAATTAGTAGTGATCATGTGTAAATTTCATACCTAATTTATTTTCTTTTATTTTTATTTTTTTGAGGGGGTTTACACAGCTAATATCAAACTATTTTGATGCATCAACCCACAAGTTCTTTGGCAGAATTCGCAAAACCATCTATATAAATGTTAGAATTTAATCACAGCAATGCATTTATACAGACAGAGCCTTCCTTCTCTTTAATTACTGATCAATCAGTAATTCGTCTCCCACTCTCTCCACAAACTCATATATTGAGCATTATATGGCTCAAACATCTCCCTTGCTTACCCCAGTTACTTGTGAAAACACCAACATAACCTCTGTTCCCTTCTCCAATATCATTCCCGTGGATTCCATTATGGCAGTGGATGAAGAAATCCCAACCATTGACTTCTTCATGCTTTTCTCTGATGATCCCAGCCAACAATCCAAGGCCCTCGACCATCTAAGCAACGCATGCGAGGAGTACGGATTCTTCTATGTATGAACCCTCGGGACTTTCTTTTCTCTATCAATTATAATTGGTAAATTAAGGTATTGAAATATATATATATATATATATATATAAAAAGGTGGTGAAAGCAACCCAGGACGCCCCATTTCTCATTTTTGACGAATATATAGCTATAATATTTATTACTTTGATGCATGTACAAACGTGTCATGCATGGCTATCGATTGAGCTTTTGTGATCTTATTTGCAGCTGGTAAATCACGGCGTGCCTGATAGTGTGATTGAAGGTGCACTGAAGGGAATTACTGATTTTTTTGAAGTGACGAAGGAGCAGGAGAGGAAGGATTACAAGAAAAGCAACCCAACAGATAGGATCATGTGGGGTTCAAATTCCCACGCTGGGGAAAATAGGGAATATCTCAAGGTGGTCGCACATCCCCAATTCCATTGCCCTGCTAAACCAGCTAGCTTCAGGTACAGAACCGTGACGATTTCTATAAGAAACGAAATTAAACTGTGCTCAAAACATGCAATTTTGCTTCTTGCTATCAGAATCTATCTATGCATGCCCTAATTAAGGTAGGACCTTAATTTTCTGTTAATTATTACGTACAGTGAGGCCCTAGAAGAGTATTTCAAGAGATTTCAAGATGTTAAAATTGGTTTAGCGAGGGCGATATCGAAGATCTTGGGATTTGAAGAGTGCTACATCGAGAAGGTCTTCAATCTGAAGTCAGGATTTGATGTAGCTGCCATGAATGTCTATCCACCGAATTTCCAATCAAAAGGTTCTATTGGAGTGCCTTCTCATACCGACCCTGGCTTCTTTGTCTCTCTCATACAAGATGTGAATGGTGGTCTCCAAGTACTATCGCATAAAGGGAAGTGGATCAACGTATATATACCTAGAAATGCATTCCTTATTCAAATTGGAGATCATCTGGAGGTAAATGAACTCCTCTTTAATACTTTTTCCCCCTTCCAAGTACGTACTTACGATATAACCTAAATATTATTAGTGTTTAATTATTTTTCTTAGAAATTAACACGCGAGCATTATATATATCCTACAAAAAACATGAAATTATAGTTCATGTTTTTTTTATATATGTATATGATCTATGTAAGTTATGCATGCATCTATGAGTTTTTTTTTATTATTATTATTTCTTTACAATTTACCCTTACCAATATCTTAAATAAATGATTTTTGATAGAAATATAACCTAGAGTCTTATTTTTAACGGCAAAACCTCCAGTTGAATTGGCCCCCTTATTTTGACATAGCAGGAGTGATAAATTAATAGAATCAATTAATTAGTTTAATGCTCAAATATTTCAATATAGCCCTTCATAGTGAAAGGATGACCCTTCTATTGTCTTAATCAAAATCTATTACGCTTCCTCATCAACTAGTTGATTAGAAAACATAAATTCCTCTCAATTGCACATGTATTCACGATCACTAACTATTTAATTTGCATAAAAACAATGATCGACTGTAATCTAGTTTTCTTATGGACAATGATTGACCATAAATGTCTGTGTTGCTACAGGTTCTAACTAATGGCAAGTATAAGAGTCATATTCATCATGTTGTGGTGGATAACAATAAAGTTAGAAGGATTTCTCTGGCCACACTTCATGGACCATCTTTGGACACCTTTGTGATTCCGGCACCAAAGTTTGTGGATGATTTCACCCCACTGGCTTATCAAGGGATGACGTATAAAGAGTCCTTGGAGGTTAATGGTCATCACGAGATTGAAGTTCAATCATGCCTTGAACAACTTCGGCTCTAAACGAATTAATTAATTAATGGTCGTTTGTTCCTTGACCATATCAAACTATGATGAACTAGTCTCTGTGTGCTTTTTACCCATTTTGATTTTCTCTCCGAATGGTTGCTATATATGAATGTTGAATCTGAAGATGGGTTAATTAATTTCCCCAATCGTTGCAGGTCTATATGATGTATATTTTAATCCGAGATAAATCATACCAATGATGTTGTCAATTGCAAAATTCATTTCATAAAATTTCGTTGGGCTTGGGCTTAACCAATAAACCAATAATGGCTGTTTTCTTTTTCGTATAAAAATCACCGTACTAGGTCACATTTTCTTAATTTGCATGGGCTTAACCATTGAATTTAGCCCAGTGATAACTGGGGGATGTTAGAAGATAGAGCCTGTAATTGAGATGGGAAGGTAAGAAATACACTATTGGGTCCAAGTCTTGTTTTATTTTGGTAATAGAAGGGATCAAAGGCCCAAGACACACAACATACTCTAATTCACACCAACTCTAGGAATTGGGGTTATCCTAATTTAATCAACCCATAAACAGTGGCATGAGCCCTTATGTACCGTTTCGAAAGGGGTTTTCCATGCTCCATCTGTGATCCCAATCTAGCCAGCCCATTTGCACAAGTATTCCCCTCTACTTGTTTTTTCATAATAAATATTGATGCTCAAATAGGACTGATTGTGTACGCAAAGGAGAAAGACCAAGGGCGGGTATGTTAAGTGGCGAGGGCCATAGAACCTCCGAAATATAATATGTTTTACATTTTAGTCCTAACATTTTAAATTTTTTTAATCATACCCTTTAATTTAAAATGTTTTTCATCCAAAAATAAACTATTTTCTTATTCAAACCTCCAATCCTAAATTTTTTATTCCTCTCCTAGAAGAGACTGCCACGACATCTATATCAAAGACACAGGCTAATGTATTTCTGCCAGATATTACCCTCCTACACGCATGATTCAATATGATCTTTCATGGTTTTCACTCAACTCTCTTATTTTCCAAATGGAGAGTTGGGTCCAAATTTTCGAGTAAACAAAAAACAACTCTATTTTTATACATTACTAAAATTTGTCTATATTATTTTGTAACGGATGCATAGTTAATTATTTCATTTTATAATTATAAATATGCTATTAAATGCGAAAAATATTTACATTCTAGATGTAATTTACTAAATAGATGATTTGGAAAAATTTAATTATGTAAAAAAAATTTATTACTTTAATTCATAATCTTAAACGGTAGATTAAATCTGTCTAATAATTTCTTTCTATCATATTAAATATTATTTGACTTGGTTTAAGTATGGTTTTTGTCTAGCTCTATTTTACTTATTATAAGATAAGACAGCTGGACAAAGAATTTTTTAAAAAAAAATGCAGACATTTTATCTGGGAAAAGTAAGTAAAAACGGGTTGCAAAAGAAGCATGTGCCCCATGCTTTTACAATCAACTAGGGCAGGTGCTTATCCAAACAGACCCTATATGGCTCTGCAGTCCTCTGCTTCTTTTAATATCGGATGGTACTTCTTAAACCAAATACAATTTTTTTTTTCAAATTAGACTCTGCATCGCAGTGAAAATAAAAATACGGCAAGGCAACAACCTTAATTTGTATGGTTGAACCTTTGGCATGAAAATCATTAATTTTCTCAAATAAAATGTCCCGAATTCTTTTAAAGTCTCCGAGCAAACAAATTCCTAGCAGTGTAGATTCGTTAAGCTCACTTTTAGCAGCCACAAAATTATTTTCCCAGTAAATAAATGGAATCCTAAACCCAGTTTACGGAAGAAAAAAAGAAAAGAGAATAAGAAAAGGAGATTTTATATATATATACATTGCTTGAATTTTGCAACGTCACAAGGGTACGATTATCTAGAAGGTTCAAAACAGCTTCCCCAATTCACCAGATAATAAAAGAAAACACGTCATCAGAAAATGGAGAAACTCAAATTATGGTAAAAGGGGACCCATGACAATTATGATGGCAGGTATTTAGGCAAGCTCTTAGCTCGGGCAACCTTTTAAATCGAAGTGATTGTATTATTTTTCTTGGTCTAAGCCTATAGCCACTTTTTAAATAAACACAGCTTCTAGAACATGATATTGAAAAGGATAAAAAAAATAGAGGTAATGACGTCAGTGGCCACGTAAAGCCTTCAGATTCAATTCAATTCAATACAACAATTTCCCCAATCTGAAGCATTCGCAATATCAAAAATACGATTCATTACCTACACAGCTGTACTCACATATAGCAGGCAAATCGGTACAGAACTCAAATAACGGAAATTGAAATAAAAAAAAAGAAGGAATAGTAGCATATTCTTCAAGCATCAGCAAGGATATACATTAATTCTATACTGGAAATCTTAGCTGCCATTAATATCTTTTTATGTTCTGCCAGATATATCAACATTATCTGAAGAGGGGTAGCAAGAACATTTCGTGCAGCACATTCTAATTTATACATGAAGGATCATTCAGTCTGCTGCTTTCCCTTTCTTGGCGAAAATGAAAGACCAGCAACCACCTCTTCTGTGCCTGCATTAAAATTAAGAACACCAAGTTACAAACAAAACAATTAGAACATCATAGGTTCAAAATTAATCAGAAACATAACTTATTGCTCCCATTTAAATCTACTTGGCTTGAATGTTCCCTTGTAATATATCATAATTAATTTCTTTCCTCATCCACGGCTGCAAATTTTTCACATTCTCAAATTCGTAGTAATTGCTGAGTTAAGGATTTGGACAGATCAGCAAGTTACATAGAAAAATCGTGTGTAGAAAAATCGTGTGATTCATTTTTCTATTTTATGTTTCCTCAACAAAGACTTTTCGCTGCTGGATGACACAAGGAGAATTCAAAACAAAATTTAACTGTACAGTTCACATACTGATTTCAAAATCATTGGAAATTTTCTTTGTTTATTAAGAGGAGGATTCTATACAAGATTCTGTTCCTGGCATGATTTCCCCTGTTTCGTACTCTGTTTCATGTCAGAACAGCTCCACTGAAGTTTATCTAGATCCCACTAGTTCTCCAAAAAATTCTCCTGACATTGATCTAGGATTTTTAGACTAAATTAAGTGGAAAAATTAAGGAACTTGCAATAGGAAATATTAGATTTTTTTTTTTATACCCAGTTTAGTTGAAGTTTGGCCTTTTGTCTACTGAAAACCCCATCTTTAAATTAAATCTCCATAGGTAAAATCAGGAAAACTATGGACTATATCACTTGCTACGAGATTGTTAACAAACTAGAGGTTAAAAAAAAAAAAAATTATATCCATTGAATAAATACCTGCTGCTGTTCCTGCTGTTACTTCTACTGCTGCTGCTGCCACTGCTTTTTGAGCTTCCGCTATTACTGCTACTCAATACAGTACCGCTTTCACTGTCCCTAGATTCCGGGAGTTTATTCTTCCACCACTCTTCATCTACACTTTTTTCAGAACCATTATCAGATAGCAAAGGCCTTGGAGAAACCCTTCCATCTTTTAAAGTGTTATTGATGATCGGAGGATTATTATTATTCTTTTTCTTCTTTCTTGAACCAAAAGAAATTGGAAACACCATCTTCAGAAGAAACCCTTCATTTCTTATGCTTCCACTTCTATTAATTTGCACTTTCTTTTCAATCCTTTTCTTCTTCTCTTTTTCCCTTCTTAATATATGCACATCTTCTTGATTGCTTATGCTCCTATCTTCACTAAAGCTTTCTTCTTTAACATCTTTGACCACCGTTGGCTGGTCCACAAGATCTCTTAAAGATAGCTCATAACATCCTTCAGGCATTCTACTCACCATATCCATGAGCTCCTTTTGGCCTCTAGCAATAGCTTGAGCTCTTGATGATGGAGAAAGACTCCGGTAATGATTTCGGCGATGTTGGGGGCTTCTTGGTGGACTAGTCCTCCATAATGGAGGTGAACAAACCCCAGATTCCTCAGCTTGTTTGTCCTTTCTTTCAGCTCCAAACATTCCCATATCATTCCAACCCTTGTAGTTGCCATAGTTCTCGGCTGTTTTTCTTGATAAAACACCATAATTTAGGACGCTGTTAATATTATAACTATAACTGTCACCTGAATGGACTTGGTTACCAGGGAATTTTGTGCCAAGGTCTAGCATGATTTTTTTGGTAGTTGTTAGGGAAAATTGAATGAAAGAGAAGAGAGGAAAGCGTGTGATTGCGTTTTGTTTGTATTGTTTGTTTGGAGGGATTTGGGTATGGGGGTAATATCATCACCGACCCTTGATAGTCAATATGTCATTTTCTTTCCAGCCAAGTTTTAATAAATAAATGGGTGCAGATTCACGAGGGTATGGGTTAACCGGTTACGGCTTAAGGCTCACAAAAGTCAAGGTTTTCTAGATGATGGGGGTGTTTAATGTTGTTGGTAGGGTCCATTCCTTCTCCATTTTTCACAGTCTTGTCTTTTGAGGACCTTCACTTTGGTTTTTGTTTTCTTTTTATGCTGGAGGGAAAGACCATTTAAGAAGCCTTTTTCATGCAATTTGACATTTTCCTATGCCCATTATTTACTCATTTAGTCTTGGTTTGCACATTAAGAAAAATAATGGAGACAAAAAAAAAAAAAAAAAGTGTGACAGTGAGCAGGATTTTCATTTGATAATGTTGGTGATTTGATGTTCATTGTATCGTATCTTTGCGAAAGTAAACAAAGCAAAAAAAAAAAAAAAAAGCCAAAAAGACAAGAGCAAAAAGCACATGCGCTCCATTTCGCAATGATAATGTCTGAATAGGTCTCGACCGTTTGCAAGTTTGGAGGTATTGTTCTCTTATTTTATGCCTCGTTATCTTTAATAGTTACTCTTACATGCTCCTTTTGCTTTGCTTTTATGTATCTTTTACGCCTTGCATGAATTATTTCTGTAAAGTTCTGATTTGACCCTTCTTTATTTTATATAGATTTTTCACTAACATTCTACAGGAAACTGATCTGTATCGTGCAAATATCAGAATTTAATTTCCGATTTGCCTTTTTGCAAGAGGTCATCTACACACCTATATATCTGAAAAAAATATATATCTACATGCCTAAGAAAACTACATGGAATTCGTTAGCGTTAGTTGGCATCCCATTTTAATAAACGAGCACACCCCCGTGCTACCATTTAATATTGCTACATGCTTGGCAATTATGAATACCTTCTCTTCAACGGACAAAGTAATTTATTGGTTTTGTGCGCATCTTAGAAATTAAAATGACCAATGTATTTGAAGATCAGCTAATTCTGCAATGTCATCGTTTTATAATGTTGTTTTCTTTTTTAAAAGTCGTTGCTATTCGCAATGCCATACGTGGTATATGATTTATTAACAAACTGTAGTTAAACTGACTAAATGAGTTATAGTTAATATTAAGTGTTGGTTATGTGAATGAAAAGTTAATCAAATATTTGTGTGAAATGTTGATTATATATTTGAACTGTTGGTTATATATATATAAAACTGATTTTTTTTTTTTTTTAAGAACAAAAATGTAAACACAGTAAGAAAAAACAAAGGAGGATAAGTTACTTAGAAATGAATAAATAAAATAAGATAACAACAAAATATCAATATTTGAAATTAATTGAAAAATAGACTATTGACTAAAATTCTTGAACTAATTTTTTTAAAATCCTAATTAGAAGTGTGTTTATTTTGTAATATATATATATATATATTCCTAGAAGACAACCCGAGATGTGTTTGTTTTTCTAATACTAACTAAAGTTGCCACTTGCTAGACTTTTTAGCTTGCCACATGCTTTCACATAGTGCAAAATAAATAGACCGTATGAATATTTATAACGGGATAAAATAATATGTGATATGAATTAAATCATAGAGTAAATATATGTCTTGATAGTTAAACAATAAAATATATTATTTTTTGTTAGAGACTAATATAAATTATATTATGGGATCTCATTTATTAATTTAAGCTTTTAGGTGATATGATCTTTTAATATCAGTATCGTAGTTTAGTTGATCAAGAGATCATGAGTTCAAGTCTTACTCGTGCAAGTTTCAAGCCCAAATAGTGAGATTTTTCTTTAATATTTTTAAAAAAACAAATCATGTCATTAAAAGTAACAAATTGTATTTAGTGAAATGTTATTACCAATAAACAAATAACTAGATAACAAATCGATGAAATTATGAAACAAAGTTAACAAATTTAGCAACAGAGGAAGCAAATTAGTTAATAGTGATAACAAAACACGAAAACAAAATATTTAATTAGTTATACTTCTAAATTGCTAACTACCCAATAATTGTTGATAGCGTTTGGTAGAAAGACAAGTTGCAAGAGACGAAAATGTAAGTAAGAGACCTAGGACATTGAATGCTGAGGAGCGGACTGATTTGTGTTTGGTATTGTGGACCAAACATAACTTTTTGTTCCTATGTTTGTTTAGTGGTAAGAGATGACGAAACAAAATGTAAAAAATATTTGACTTACGAATGCAATTAATTTCTTGTGCATTTTAATATTTTATGCTTGACAAGCGGTTTAAACATTTTTTAAATATCTTTAGAATATTTTTTTAATAAATATCTTTTCTCTACTGAATAAAAAATATTTTAATTTCAAGTGTGTGTATATATATATACATTGTCTTTTGTATCTAGAAGTTGGAATACTAGATGAAAATATTTATATTTCATTATATCATATGTAATTATATTTTGTAATGATACTTTTTTTTAAAATATATATACACACACATATATATATATATATAACAGCTTAAAGTAAAAAAAAAAAAAAAAGAAGTCATGTAACCGTTTTTTTACACTAAATTCACATAAAAAATAGAGCTAGAAAAAAGAATCATAACATATTCTGTGGCATGTGTAAAAGTGATAAAATAAATGCGATAAAACTCAGAAGTGAAAAATATTAAAATATAAAAAAAACCAAACGAAAGGAAAAAGAAGAGAAATTGGGCTTGGAGGCTCAGGAAAAAAAAAGAATAGAAAATAGGATTGGAGTTCCTGGGCCTTAATCACATGCATAACCATGGAAATAAAAACTTGGACTACCCGTTTGCAAGGATGATGGGTCGTTCGAGCGCTCTTCTTCGTTGAAGATGCCGGATTCTGACTAGGACGACGACAACATAAAAAATTGTTATTTCTTTCAATTTGTTTATTTATCAAAAGATACTTGTAAACACTCCTATAATTCTTCTAAACTCAAATGTAATCTAAACAAAAACCAATAAGTACAAAAAAGCCATTCAAAAGTTTTTAGATCTAAAATTTCAAATCTCTTTACTCTTAATTTTCGAGATCAAATGGTCAATTTTGACGTCAAATTTCTAACAGCAGGAGCTTTCGTTTGATGGTAGTTTTGATTGAATCGATTGTCAGAAAGTTTTTCTCTTTTTGTTTTTCTTATTTTCAATGCAATCTTTAGTTGTTTTCAGTGCAAATCCTTTGAAGTCCTGGAAAAAAAAAACAAATCACCCATATTTAATTTCTTTTAAAATAATTAAATGGTTATATTAGTTTATATAATCTGTTTATTTTTTTAATCACATGGAAGAAAGATATTTAAAATGAAATCGGTATTATAATGCATCAACACTGTAATAGGCATCTTAAAGATAAATCTCACCAGGAACCTAACCTTTTGTGATCGAATTTGTTGATGACTTTGTCATTACTAGCTAGCAATTTTGTGTAGGTATTATACTTCAATTATACACGTATAGAATTTATAGTTTAAGGCTCCCATCCACCCTCACTGTCTTGTTTCATTCCGTTAGGAGGTCCACAAGATTTAGGCAGCCAGATGCCCAGAGCCAATAAGCACAGTGTGCCGCAACCCAAAATCCAACGGTGACATTCTTACATCATCTAGCAATCACCGGTGGACAATACGAAGGTCATCACCACAAAATTTATTAATTGCTCAAATACTAATCCAAAATATTTTTAAAATCCTCGTTTCAAAAATAATCTTTATAACGGCTTTTAATTACTAAAGTACTAGAATGCATTACAAGTTTTCAACAAAATTTATTAATTACTCAAATACTAATCCAAAATATTTTTAAAATCTTCATTTCAGAAATAATCTTTATAAAAGCATTTAATTACTAAAGTACTCGAATGAACTAATGTATAATCTCATTTAATCAAATGATAGATATATTACTCACTTTATACTAGAAAAATCAAATTTAAATCTTATATTCTTATTATCAATCTTGTCTTGGGTAAGCAGTAGAAACTTCTAGAGTTTCTCTGCTCTAAAGTATTATATTCTATAATTAGGGTAAATAAATTCACGCCATCTCTTTTATAACAAAACCCTATTCCATAATTTTATAATAAATCTAATGAGTTTAGTAATATTCTAACCCAATATAATTTGGACTGGGGTATCCCATAGGCCATAGTGGTTCTTACCAACTCGACATCTGTCTGTTTTGGTGTCTTGTTTCTTTTGCAGACGTTAACAAAATTTGATATGATAAGATAAAGTAATTAAAGCTTGATCATGACTGCCTTTTTCTGTGTCTTTTTATCTTCATTATATTCTTTCTTAATTTCGTCTTCTTCCTTCGTTCCTTTGTCTTCACTCTAGCGTAAAGAGAGCCTAATCAATTACTAGTGCTCGAACACGCAAAATCCAGCACTTATTACCAATCCATGGTCGTTGCGTAATAGTTACTCTTCAAACCTTTCACTGTACTCAGTATAGGTTAAATGATTAAATGATGTTAAAAAATATTTTTTATGTTCTAGAGAAATTACTAGTCAGTTACTCGCACTACACTACGGGTCTATAAAATAAAATTATCAAAACAATTTTTAATTATATTTTTTATTCAATTAGTTTTTCTAATTTTTTTTTATAATTTCTTTGTTTAAAAAAGCATAAATCATTCTTCTTTATAAATAATTTTAACTAAAATATTAATTGAGAATTTAAAAAACTTTAAAAATATATTTTTTATAATATTGTATTCAAAAAATAAAGTTATAATTGATTGATAGACTTTTATAAAAACTAACAAATGAAAAAAAATCTTATTTAATGATGATGAGAAAATTAATTTTTGAAATTATCCGCGCAATGTTACAAGTGAGATAAAGCAAAATTATTTCAATTATTACTATTTTTTTTTTGTTTTTCATAAAATTTATTCTTCAAGAATATGATTTATTGTTCTTTATTTAGGGATTCTCAAATAAAAACTTATAATAATTCAAATCTGAAATATTAATTAAGAATTCAAAAATAAATACTTAAAAAATATATTGTTTTATAAGAATATATCCAAAAAATAAAGTTACAATTAATGTATAGATTTACATAAAAATTAACTAATCAAAAAATAAAATTTTATTCTTATTTAATGTTGATGAGAATTTTTTTTTATGTATATGTATTTGATATATATATATATATATATATATATATAGAGAGAGAGAGAGAGAGAGAGAGAGAGAGATAATCAATAAATTTAGCATAAAAACAACATTTGAATAATTGATTGGTTCCCTTAAAAAATTATTTTATTTCAAATAAATTGGTTCTATAATGTTAAAAAATATTCATAGTAAATAATTTGTATTATGTTATAAGATATATAGTTAATTTTTAATAAAAATTCAATGCTTTTTTTATACATCTTGACCATACTTATTGACTTGATATAAATTATTTGAAATACAAAATTTTATTCTAAAATTCAAACATAAAGCAAAATAAATTGTATTTATTAGTAAATAAAATTATATATAAAAATATTAATTGGATGAGATTTTTTTAAAAAAATGATAAATTCAAAAAATAAATTTTTAATAATAATAATAATATAAGTTGAAGTATATGATAATTTTAAAACATAAAAAGATAGCGCGCGCACACACACACACACTACATGGAAAAAAAAAAAAAGAAAGAAAGAAAGCTAAAGATTGAAAAAAAATGTTACAGACATGAGGGATGAAAATAGAAAAAAAGTGTTAAATTTGTATTAATGCCTAAAAACACATAAAAATTACTTATCAAGGAAATAATATTTTTATACATATAAATAGTAAATTGATAGAAATTTTAAATATATGAACAATTTGAATTCTCGTACTACACTACAGATCGAACAAAACATATTTATTTTAGTTTGATAATATATATTACATTATCGGTTAACTAAAATATATTAGATTAAATATAAATATAAAATTTTATCTAATTTTATAATTTTTAATCAAAATTTGTATTTATATATATTTTTTATGTTTTGAATAAATTTTGGAGTAAAAAAATATGATTTGTTATTTCTTATGCATTTATTCCTAAACAAAAACCCATAATAAAAAAATTTTAATATAATTTTTTTTAAAAAAGTCTTAATATTTTTTTTTATAACATTCCATTGAAGAAATAAAGCAAAAATTAATATAAAAACTTGTATAAAAACTAATAAATGAAGTTTTTTTTACTAATGGGAAGATTATTATTATTTTTAAATATGTACAGTTGATTAATATATATTTATTTGTAAAATAATGAATAATATTATTATGCAAAATTATATTTGAATTGTTAAACGGCTATTGTAAAATATTAATTCAATTATTTTATTTGAAAAAATTAATTTTGAAATATAAAAAAATATTAGCAAATAGTTGGTGTTGTGTGTGTATATGTATAGTTGATTTCTAATAAAATCAATGACTCTAATATTATTATTTTGTATACTTTATGATTGTAGTCAGTGGATAAGAATGTATAGCATAAATAAAAAAAATATTTTAAAAAATTAAATTATAAAATATGTATCGAAGTCAATAGAGTGTAATAAAAACTATAAAATTGATCTTGATAAAATTTGATTATATAAAGAATAAGAAAATAAAATCTATATATTCTATTTTTAAAAGTTGATCACATAAGAATTAAGCAAATAAAATCCGGTATTAAAAGAACTTTTTCGAATCCATACATAAAGAAAATAAATGATATCTATCAATAAATAAAATTATATAGAAAATAAGAATAAAAATTAACTTCATGAGAATTTTGATAATAAATCAAAAAGATCAATTTTAAACAATAAAAGTAATATATATTTATTCTAAAATACAAAAACATATCGTATATATTATACAATCATCGAGTTTATGTGAAAAAAGTAACGATTGATTTTTTAAAATTATAACACACAATCAAATAAAAAAAGAACATAAATTGATGAAAAGAGCAAAGGAAAAAAACAAAGAAAAAAAAAGAGAAAAGGCATGTGGTGCATGGGCTAGTAATTAAATTTTTTATTTGAGAATTTTAGGGACCAAAATAAAATAATTTGAAAATTATATATAAAAAAAAAACTAAGAGTGAATAGTACATTGTGAGGTTAGCCTCTAATTTTTTTTTTTTAAAAAAAAACATAGATGGATGGATGGAAAAAAAAAAAAAACCAAAAAAAAAAAAAAAAGCCACGTACATTATGAGGTGTGAACAGTATTGCCATTTTTCAAAACCAGCATGCGCTTTAGTTTTGGTCCTTCAACATAAAATACGACAGAACTTGTCATGGATCTTTTGTTTGAATTATTATGGACAAAGGAAACCAAAGGAACAAAAAAAAAAAAAGAAGAGAAAAGAAAAAGTTAAATAGTGATTTATGAGTGGATAAATAATAAAATTTATTGTTCAAATACATGAAGAAACAGACAAAACAAGTGTAAAAAAACAAAAAGATGAATAGTGATTTGTGAGTGGATGAACATTTAATTTCACTTTTCAAACATCCAATGTGTTTTAGGTGTATCATAATATCCGTTTCTATTTATTTTTTTAAAAAATACTTTTTTAAAAAATAATTATATTTTATAATATATAATTAAATTAGATAGGTTTTCTATTTAAAAAATATTTTTAAAAATAGTGTTAAAAAATATTGATACGATTTTATAACCACCCCAACAACAAAAACATCTCTGGCTCCATCTTATCACATGCTACTTTAATTGTGTACGTTGAGATCTTCCTTGGACTATAAAAAAGGCAACAGATGCCTCTGGATAATATCAAAGTAACGCTACTTTATTTATTTCATTTTTAAAATACTCATATTATCAAATACTAAAACATCAGTTGCAACTTTTTAACATTTTGTCCAGTACCATCCCTGATTCAATACATAGTAACAATGATGTTTTTGTTCAACTATTTTTTTTTTTTTTTTTTAAGTGTTGAGAAAAGTTATGAAAGATACCTGTAGTGGTAATTTTCTCTCTCTACACACACGTACACACGTGTGTGTGACCGACTTTTCTTTTGATAGTTTAAATTTTTCCAATATTAGTCATGCAGTTTCCAGAAAATATAAATATTAATTTTTATGATTAAATAGCTATAATGAAATGAAATCTAAAGCTTTGCAGCATGGAAGAACACAACTATATAATCATGGTTTAATTTAATTTTGAAATAGGTTGGTAAAGAGTGAGAGAGCGATAGTTCATAGGACCGAGAAGATTTTTTTTTTTTTTTTTTTGGAGCGGCGGGACGGGAAGTTCATCAAGTTGCTTATTTTAAATATTATATATTTCAAGCTTAATTTCAGTTAGGATTAGGATTTAGGAAAGCGATAAGCTTTAAGCCCATCAACAATAAGAAACTAAAAACCCGTATCCAGGGACTCCCCAGTACCCTTGGGGCGCGGACTAGTCCCATTGAGCGGCTCGGCCCATGAATACATCTACCATTATTGTTTCCTTTTATTTTCAGTAAAGCTTATTTATTTTGAACCAAAATTTTCACTTCTTGAAATTCCTCGTGCTGGATGCATGGTTGTCTCCCAAACCCGGGGATGGTAATGGCCATGTACAAAATGAATATTTATTTTATTCGATCAGATAAATATTTATTAACAGCATTTAATATATATTCAAGTGGATAAAAATATAAAAATATTTAACTATTAATATGATTTTAAGATATATGTACTTATTTTTTACCTTATTAATATCTATCAATTTATTTTATTTTAATTTATTAATATATAGGGATTTAATTGCATAAATTTTAAAAATCAAGGATTAAAATATTTTAAAAAAACTTATAAATAAATGATCAAAATGCAAAAAAAAAAACTTTTTGTTGAAAATTATAAAGACTAAAATAAATATTTTTGAAATTTTATTTTAAGAGGTATTAAATATATACTAAATAGACCGATGAACTACTTTGAACCGGATATGGACTCGTATAAAAATTTATATGATAATTTATTAATAAATATAATATTTTTTTTATGAGTAGGATAAAAAATAGAATTAATTGATCGGATACTCATCCATTGAAATCTCTACACAAGCTACCATATGCAGACAATTTGTTTTTTCTTAAACAAAAATATTTTGTTTTGTCATATTATTTCTTAAACAAAATTAAATTTATATGATTATTTATTAATAAATATAAATATCTTTATCATGCATGCAAAAGTTTGATTTCAAAATATATTTGTGAAATTATAACTTTTTTTAACACATTATAAAAAAAACTAAAAGATCTGAACTTATTACTATTTATTTACTGTATACTCACACTCATTTACGTTGTGGACGACCATTCAGTTATACTGTGTTGTTTATCTTGCCTTTTCTCTGTTATATATTTTTTAAAGTTCGTTTGTTAATTGGTCTTGCTTTTTAACACAAATTTCTTTCTTGTCATTTTGCCTCACATGTTTTTTATTTCCTCTCCTAGGAGCATTTAATGCTCCTGTCTGCCACTATCTTTTTTCCTTTTCTTTTGATTTTTGATGGGTTTTTTTATTTATCTGGTTCGTCCAGTTGATTGTGTGTTGTATTTTCCTGCTTTTAGTTCCATCAAAACGGGATGGGTGCCTTTGTCTTTTTATTTTTCGGTTTCCTTGCTTTGCTTTTGGGGCCAGTATAATCATCATTTCTCCCATTTTTGGCGCTCTCCCTTCAGTGTCTGCTATTTTTTAATTATGCTTGGTTGTTCTTCTTCAAATTTCTTTCAAGTCATTTATTTCTCTGCTTCTCTACGCTTTTTATTTTCTTAGTAGAATCTAGAGGAAGTGATGCTTTTGGGTGCGAAATTTTGGATTTTTTGTTGGAAAAGGGAAGTGTTGTGAATCAGCAAAAACCACGTGCACTTGAACGGATTTAGATTCACTGTTTACTATCGAAATTTAGTACACGTTACTTAAATTTATTTCAATGATTTGAATTACATGGCAGAAATAAGGGTTGAGTTGTTAGTGTTTTTATTGTATTCTAAATTATATTTATTCCAAATGATTGGCTTGATGGTTAAGGAATTTTTTTTTTATCATTTGACCTTTTAGGTAGAATTAGCATTTAAAGAAATTTATTGTAAATTCTTTTTATTTGACCTTTTAAGTTCAAACTTCAAAGTTAGCACAAAAAAAAAAAAATAGCATTAATATATTTATATATTCTTATATAATGCATAAAGTTTCTAATTGCATCATGTTTATCTCTAAAAATATTTAAAATATTTAATTTGTTATTTTAATAAATTTTTTTGACAAATAATTTTTTTAATCGAAACGCTTCGATTAAAATATAATAAAAAAGCGAGATCATGTGATTTTAAATATTTTTTCTCGTTTTAGTAAAGGATATTTTGGTCAAAAGTTTTTTCATGATTGAAAAATTTAATCGGAATGATAGATTAAATATTTCAAAAAAAATTTAGAAACAAATGGAATGCTTTTAGTATTGTATAAAGAGAGATAGATATATTTATCAAAACATTTATTAAATTCCTTTAATTCATCATATAGGGGACAAATCCTTGACATCTTTAAAAAGATATTTAGTTACAATTGATACAAAGGAATTAAAAATATTCCCACCATTTAATAAAAAAAATATTAAAATATTACAAAGAAATTAAAAGAAGTGGGGGGTTACGAACAATGATTTTCATAGTTCATCCCCTCACAAACTCACAAATCACTATTCAGTTGATATAGTTTAGGTTTTTTTTTATAATTTTCAAGTTATTTCCTTTTGGTTCCTAAAAATTTAAATAAAATTTTTAATCTCCTAACGGATGCACTACACATGCTTTTTTTTTCTTTAATTTTTTTCATCAATTTATCACTACGAGCTAATTTATTTGAAATAAAATAATTAAAATAAAATTTTAAAGAAACCAACCAATTATTCAAATACAGTTTTTATGCTAATTTTATTGATTATTTTGTAAATATATAAAAATCATACGCATATACTTTTAAAAAATAAGCTTCTCACCAACATTAAATAAGAATAAAATTTAATTTTTTTCATTAATTAATTTTTATGCAAGTCTATACATTAATTATAAATTTATTTTTTGGATACATTATTATGAAAAAATATATTTTAAAAGTATTTATTTTTGAATTCTTAATTAATATTTCAGATTTAAATTATTATAAGTTTTTATTTAAGAATCTCCGAATAAAGAAGAATAAATCATATTTTTTAAGTAGAAATTTTATGAAAAAGAAAAAAAGAAGAAAAAGAAGTAATAATTAAATAAAAATTATAAAATTTAGAAATGATTTTGTTATATATGTCCGCAACGTTTCACAAATAATTTCAAATATTAATCTTGTTATAAGCATTACATGAGATTTTTTTTCATTTGTTAATTTTTATAAAAGTTTTTTCATTAATTATAATTTTATGTTTTGGAATAAAATATTATGAAAAATATGTTTTTAAAAGTTTTCTTTATTCCCGATTAACATTTTAGTTAAAATTATTAATTTTTTTATTTTAAAATCAATCCATAAAGAAAAATAATTTATATTTTTTTTAAACAGAAAATTTATGAAAAACATTAGAAAAAATTAATTAAATAAAAAACTATAATTATAAAATTTTAAAATAATTTTTTTTTACCGAACTCGCAGCGTAGTATGAGTAATTAGCTAGCAGTAGTCTAAAAAAATTGTCATTCGTTGAAGAAGAGGAATCAACGTTGTCTTTCATTTGTTTTTCAAAATAAGAGGTAAAATTTAAAAAAACAAAAGGGAAACTATTAAAATATGATATTGAGAAATATTAAAATACAGTAGTAGAATTGGAACATTGATAAATACATAAGAAAAATTTGCTTTAGACAAAATATTGTTTATAGGAAAGAAGAGTTTATTATAAGTCAAATCACTATTAATTTAGTGAAATTAATTAATTAGCTCTCATGGTTTTAAAAACTATATATTTAATCTTTATGTTTCAAAATTAATTTATAATTGAGTCTTTTTCATCGTTTTTTATTTTTTTCAGTTTATTTAGTTTTTGTATTTAAAAAAAAAAAACAGAGTAGAGGAAACAGCAGAGGTAAGATATGAAAATTCAATTAGGAAAGAAAGCATTTTGTGGATATAAAACCAATAATTTGTGGTCAGTGCTGATCAATAAATTACTCGGTATGTTTTGATTTATTAGAGACTAAATCAAGGACTAAGTTACAGTTAACTTTTAAAAGGAAATCACGAAACCACGTCGAAAGAGAAGAAGAATCAGAAAGAAATGATTAGCGTTCAGCATTACTCTTCGTCTGGCTACTTAGAAATGTAAAGTTCGAAATAAAAATTAGCAAATCAAAATTGAATTTGCATTCCTATTCTGTAATTGGAATAGTAAAAAATCAAAATAAAATTTAATTTTTTTAATATCTAATTTTTAAGATGAATAAAAATAACGATTAAAAAAAATAATTTTATTAATTATTATGATATTAAAAATGATAAAAATGATTGTGAAAACGGTGATCGAAAAAGACGAAGAGGTAGTAACAATAACCATATAATAATAATAATAATATATTTTAAAAAAATTCATACAACTACCATAAGAGATGATAATATAAGAAAAATGGTGATGGTTGATGAAAAAGGATGATGGATAATAATACTAATAATAATAGCAATAATAGATTTTTTTAGATTTTTTTTATCACCATCACTAGTGGTGGCGGCGGTAAATATGATTGTAGTAAAAATAATTCATACAAAATAAATTAATAAAAACATATCATTGTTTTTAAGAAAAAAATATCATTTACATTATTTGTTTTTATTCATTTCTCATTTATATAAATAAAACTATATTTAATTTTAATTTTTATTTTTATAACTAAATATTTTTCAGATAAAAATAAAACTGTAATTTTCATTCTCCGTCAATTTTTTACTGCCAAACATCATCTTAATAGGATTATCATGGCATGTAAGTTGTAACTGTTAAATTTGAATTTTATGAAAACCATCCGTTACTTTTTTTCCCCCATGGCTGGCGGTTCTATACTCGGCGGCCTCCTCTCCAACAAAACCCGATACACAGACGTCAAAGCCTTAACCAGACAAATCCTAACTCACCTCAAAGCCAATCGCCTTAAAGAAGCAGTTTCTATTCTCTTTGCATCTCCTGATTGCTTCTCTTATTCCCTTTACGCCCATCTCTTCCAGCTTTGCTCGTCCAATCTCGATATCATAGAGGCTCGAAAGGTTGAATCACAGCTATTTGGTGCCTGTCCAACGCCTCCAACCTTCCTTTCGAATAGAGCCATAGAGGCTTTCGGGAAATGCGGGTGTTTGCCGGATGCTAACGAACTGTTTGATGAAATGCCTCTAAGAGATGGTGGATCTTGGAACGCCATGATTAAGGCTTGCTTGCAATGTGAGAGCTCCGAGAAAGCGTTGAGTTTTTTTCAGGGTATGCATAAGGAAGGGGTTTGTGCGAATGAAGTTACTTTTGCTAGTGCTTTGGGAGCATGTGGTGATGTACTGGAACTATGTCTTTCGAGGCAACTTCATGGGCTTGTTGTGAAATATGGGTTTCGTGGGAATGTGATTTTAGAGAGTTCGCTTGTTGATGTGTATGGTAAGTGTGAAACCATGAGTGAATCAAGGAGGATTTTTGATGAGATTGAGAGTCCTAATAATGTCACTTGGAATATTATTGTTAGAAGGTATCTTGAGATGGGTAATAAAAATGAGGCAGTGATCATGTTTTTTAAGATGTTTCGTGCGGAAGTTAGGCCATTGAGTTATACCTTTTCTAATGCACTTGTTGCATGTTCGGATATGCGTGCAGTGAAGGTGGGAATGCAGATCCATGGAGTTGCAATTAAGATTAAATTTGATGAGGAAGAGGTAGTTTTGGGTTCACTTATTGATATGTATGTAAAGTGTGGGAACATAGAAAGTGCTCGTAGAGTTTTTGACCTGCCCGGTTCAAGAGATTTGATCTCTTGGACTTCAATGGTGTCGGCTTACGCAATGAGTGGGAGACTGAGAGAGGCAAGAGAACTTTTTGATGAGATGTCTGAACGGAATGTGATCTCATGGAATGCATTATTGGCAGGATACACTCGTTTCCTGCAATGGAAAGAGGCATCGGAGTTTGTTTATCTGATGGGTAGGACAGCTGAAAACATTAATCGCATCACCTTTCAATTGATGCTTAATGTATGTGGTGGCCTATCAGATGTTGACACGGGGAGGCAGATACATGGGTCCATTTATCGACATGGTCTAAGTTCCAACATTGTTATTGGAAATGCCCTTCTTGACATGTACGTCAAATGTGGAAACTTGAGAAGTGCTGCAGTTTGGTTGCGTCAGATGAAACAGTCACGTGGAGCGGCTCGGCCCATGAATTCATCTGGCATTATCGTTTCCGAGTAAATTATAAATCAATCCCTCTTGTTTTGAGAAATAAATTAATTAATCTTTTTGATTGTCAAAATTAATTATTTAGTTTTTTTAACCAACATTAATCAAGATAATTTTTAATCAAGAAAAATTTAATATTTTTTATTTTATAAAATGTCTTCTTTTCTCATAATTTTTTCATATATTTATTTATTTTTTATTTATTTTCTATTTCTTAAAACAAAAGAATCAAAATAAATTGGAAAATAGAAAAAATACTAAATAATTAGTTTTTAAAACTGAAAAAACTAATTAATTTGTTTCTTAAAACAAGAGGTACTAATTTATAATTTACTCTATCGTTTCCTTTTGTTTTCAGCAAAGCATATTTATTTTGAACCAAAATTTCCAGTTCTTGGAATTCCTCCTGCTCGATACATGGTAGTCTCTCAAGCTACCATGTGCAAATAACACTAGTTGATTTTTGTGTTTTCTTAAACAAAAATATTTTGTTGTCATAATTTTTTGTTTAAAAGGGACCTTATATTTTTATCATACGTGCACAATTTTGATTTCAAATATATTTGTGAAATTATAGCATTTTTTTTAACACATAGCAGTCTAAAAAAATTGTCATGTGTCGAAGAAGAGGAATCAATGTTGTCTTTTATTTATTTTTGAAAATAAGAGGTAAAATTAAAAAAAAAAATTGGAAGCTATTGGAATATGATATTGAGAAATATTAAAATACACCAGCAGAATTGGAATATTGATAAATATATAAGAAAAGTTTGCTTGGGACAAAATATTGTTTACCCGAAAGAAGTGTTTATTATAACTCCATCACTAATAATTTAGTGACATTAATTAATTAGCTCTCATGGTTTAAAGAACTATATATTTGATATTTATATTTTCAAATTTATTTATAATTGAGTCTTTTTATCATTTTTTTTATTTTTGTTCAATTCATTTGGTTTTTATCTTTTTTTTAAAAAACGGAAAAGAGGAAAAAAAAGAAGTAAGATAGGAAAATTCATGTAGAAAAAAAAGCATTTTGTGGATATAAAACTAGTAACTTGAAGATGGTCAATGCTGATCAAAGAATTGCTCAATAGCTTTTGATATTTTAGAGTCCCAATGAAAGACTAAGTTACGATTAACTTTTAAAAGGAAATCACGCCAAAAAAGAAGAAGAAAGAAAGAAATGATTAAAGTTTCGCATTACTCTGGATGTTTTTTTGATATGAGAATGAAATGATTGGAATGGAATAAAATAAGTTTTATTCCTTAAAAAGTTATTAATATTATTATTATTTCATCACCATTTCTTCTCAACAACTATCGTCATATTAATTATACTGTCATCATTATTATTTCAATGACACGAAAATAAAAATTATTATTATCATCATCATCACCATCGTGTCACTATTTCTTTGTTACTATCATCTTTTTTTTACGGACATGAATGTTACTATAATCAGCTTCTCTTAATACTCCACTACTATCACAATCTTTATTATTTTTATTATTTTTATTATCATAGTTAATAAAATTATTTTTTAATTACTATTATTATTAGTTTTAAAAAATAAATATTAATTTTTTAAAATTTTTATTATGATTCTTTATTACTACTCTCCAAGCTTGTATGATAACGTAAACATCATTTTGATTTCTGCAGTAGTAACTAAACCTACACTATGTAGAATTCCCGGCAAGCATAGCTCGTAAGTTATAACTGTCAAATTTGAATTTTACCAAAACCATCCGTTACGTTTTTTTTCCCCTATGAGTGGCGCTTCTATACTCAGGGGCCTCCGCTCGAACAAAACCCTCAACCTCCGAACCCGACACACGGACGTCAAAGACTTAACCAAACAAATCCTAACTCACCTCAACGCCAATCGCCTTAAACAAGCCGTTTCTATTCTCTTTACATCTCCTGATTGCTTCTCTTATTCCCTTTACGTCCATCTCTTCCAGCTTTGCTCTTCCAATCTCGCTATCATCGAGGCTCGAAAGGTTGAATCACAGTTACTTGGTGCCTGTAGAAAACCTCCAACCTTCCTTTTGAATAGAGCCATAGAGACTTTTGGGAAATGCGGGTGTTTGCAAGCTGCTAAGGAACTGTTTGATGAAATGCCTCTAAGAGATGGTGGAACTTGGAACGCCATGATTAGGGCTTGTTTGCAATGTGGTAGCTCCGATAAAGCGTTGAGTTTTTTTCAGGATATGCATAAGGAAGGGCTTTATGCGAATGAGATTACCTTTGCTAGTGCTTTGGGAGCATGTGGTGATGTCCTGGAACTATGTCTTGCGAGGCAAATTCATGGGCTTATTATGAAATATGGGTTTTGTGGGAATGTGATTTTAGGGAGTTCGCTTGTTGATGTGTATGGTAAGTGTGAAGCTATGAGTGAATCAAGGAGGATTTTTGATGAGATTGAGAGTCCTAATAATGTCACTTGGAATATTATTGTTAGACGGTATCTTGAGATGGGTGATGAAAACGAGGCAGTGATCATGTTTTTTAAGATGTTCCGTTCGAAAGTTAGGCCATTGAGTTATACCTTTTCTAACGCCCTTGTTGCATGTTCGGGTATGCGTGCAGTCAAGGAGGGAATGCAAATCCATGGAGTTGCAATTAAGATTAATTTTGAGGAGGAAGAGGTAGTTTTGAGTTCACTCAGTGATATGTATGTAAAATGTGGGAAAATAGAAAGTGCTCGTAGGGTTTTTGACCTGCCTGGTTCTAGAGATTTGATCTCTTGGACTTCAATGGTGACAGCTTATGCAATGAGTGGGAGACTGAGAGAAGCAAGGGAACTTTTTGATGAGATGCCTGAACGGAATGTGATCTCATGGAATGCATTATTGGCAGGTTACACTCGTTTCCTGCAATGGGAAGAGGCCTTAGAGTTTGTTTATCTGATGTGTAGGAAAGCTGAAAAAATTGATCACAACACTTTTCAATTGATGCTTAATGTATGTGCTGGCGTATCAGATGTTGACATGGGGAAGCAGATACATGGGTTCATTTATCGACTTGGTCTCAGTTCCAACATTGTTATTGGAAATGCCCTTCTTGACATGTACAGCAAGTGTGGAAACTTGAGAAGTGCTGGAGTTTGGTTTCGACAAATTAAACAGTCACGGGATAGCGTTTCTTGGAACATTTTGTTGACCAGCTATGCTCGTCATCAAATGAGCGAACAAGCTATGTCCATTTTCCGGGGAATGCAATGGGAGACAAAACCACATAAATTTATATTTGCTACTCTTTTGGCAGCTTGTGCAAATACTTTTGCACTTGATCAAGGCAAACAAATTCACGGTTTCATGATCAGAAATGGTTATGAACTAGACACTGTGATCACAGGAGTTTTAGTTGACATGTACTCTAAATGCCGATGCCTTGAATATGCTCTAATTGTTTTTAGAGAGGCTGATGGACGGGATTTGGTTCTTTGGAACTCCGTGATTTTGGGTTGTTGTCACCTTGGAAGGGGTAAAATGACACTTCAATTATTTGGATTTATGGAGGAGGAAGGAATTAAGCCAGATAAAGTCACCTTTCAAGGTATCTTGCTTGCTTGTGTATATGAGGGTCATGTTGATTTGGCTAGGCATTATTTCAATTCAATGAGCAGTAAATATTGTATTATACCGAGGCTGGAGCACTACGAGTCCATGATTGAACTCTTTAGTCGGTATGGGTGCATGAATGAGCTTGGGAATTTTATCAAGGAAATGCCTTTTGATCCCACAGTCCCCATGTTGACAAGAATTGTAGCTGCATGTAAAGAGCATCAGTGTTTGAGATTGGGAGAATGGGCTGCTAAACGACTCAATGAATTGAATCCTTCAGCTTCTTTGCCCTTTGAAATCGCAGACAGAACCAAATTCACTTAGTTGGTGATTACCTAATTGAGATTGGAAGGAGCGATAATCCACATTTGCCCCTCCTGGTCGGCAAAAATCTGCTTTTGGTAGTCCCGAAGTCATAACTGAATAAAGCAAATATATTACTATTAGACTTCAGGTTAAGAATTCATCTAGATATACATGCCTCGTGGTGAGATACCAAGCTTACGCAGGTTTCTAAAAAAGCATCAAATGGTGCATTCTATCATCATCTGAAGTGATCTAAAGGAACGCAGAAAGCTTGGGCTTTATGTTTTCACAGTTTAAGTGATTCGGGTATTAAGAAGTATCACAGGCTTGTCAGATGGTGATTGGGTTGGCGTTTGTACACAGTACTGGTGGACTTGGTTATATAGCAAAGCCTGATGATTGGTCCACCGCCAAAGTCAAACGATATCTAGCATAACTCAAGCGATCCTCATGAAATTAGCACATTTATGATGCGACTCGAATAGTTTATCAAGTGGTTAAGGAAATCCAATAGTAGTTTTGTTTCGGGGAAATTCCTGGAGGGATGCCTGTTGCCATGCACTCTTCTATCTGCTAACTTTTCGTGTCTGCTTTTTCATTTTCTTTTTATAATACTTTTCATGTCTCCTCAATCGTGTAATAAATAAACTTAAAATTTTCTTATTTTTTTTAAAAATATTTAGAAGTACATTAATTCCAAGAAAAAATGATGCTATCCAATAGCTCCGTTAAGCCTATTGGCACAAATTTAAATTTTATGATAGTTTTTATATAAAATTTAAAAACTTTCATATAGTTAATAACTAGACTATAAATAAAGACTTAATTTATTTTAAAAAATAATATGTGATGACTAGTGATTAGGATCAGACAATCAACACCCCGTTGAAACATCCTGTCCTAAACCCAATTTGATCTCAACCGGTCCGGGAGGCCTAAACCTCCCGGTTCAGGGTAGTTTGGTTATGTTATGTCTTCTTATCTGCCGCCACAAATAAATAAAATCAAATACCTAAAAACCTGATTCTGCATCTTCAACTGTAAACTGCAAAATGAAAAAACATACGAAATCCCTCTTCTCATTCTTTCTTTGAACTATAAAATCATCGTCTTTATATAGTAAACTAGAAAAATCATTTTCTATTAATAACACCATGGATCTTGAATTCCAACATTTTGCTCGCTCTCTCCAATCCCTTAGCAGCCACCATTCACTACACCAAGGAAAACAGCTCCACCTCCTCTTCTTCAAAAAGGGTATCTTAAATTCCACTCTTTCACTAGCGAACCGCCTTCTGCAAATGTATAGTAGGTGTGGCAACATGAGTGATGCACTTAAACTGTTCGATGAAATGCCGTACAAAAACTGTTTTTCTTGGAATACCATGATAGAGGGCTACATGAAGTCCGGAAACAAAGAAAGATCAATTCGGTTGTTTGATTTGATGCCAAATAAGAATGATTATTCATGGAACGTGGTTTTGTCAGGGTTTGCAAAAGCTGGTGAAATGGAAATTGCTAGGAGGTTATTCAATGAGATGCCTAGCAGAAATGCGGTTGTCTGGAATGCGATGATCCACAGTTATGCTCGAAATGGGTCACCAAGAGAAGCTGTTAGGCTATTTATGGAATTGAATTCGGACCCTTTGGATAAATCATGTTGTGATACATTTGTATTGGCTACAGTTACTGGGGCCTACGCTGATTTGGGTGCAATTCAATGTGGCAAGCAAATACATGGCCGGATGTTGATTCATAATGTGCAATTTGATTCAGTGTTAACTAGCTCGTTAGTTAATTTGTATGGAAAGTGTGGTGATTTGGATAGTGCAAATTATGTTTTGAATATGATGGAGGAGCCAGATGACTTTTCCTTATCAGCATTGATCACAGGCTATGCAAACCTTGGTAGAATGAATGACGCTCGAAGAGCATTTAATAGGAAAAGTAATCCATGTGTCGTGGTATGGAATTCATTGATTTCAGGATATGTTGCCAATAACGAGGAAATTGAAGCATTTTTACTCTTCAATCACATGCAAAAAAGGGGACTCCAAGTAGACTTCTCTACACTCGCAACTATTTTGAGTGCCTGCAGTAGCTTATGCAATTCTCTAAATGGTAAACAAATGCATGCTTATGCTTGTAAAGTTGGATTAATTTATGACATTGTTGTTGCTTGTGCTTTCATTGACGCCTACTCCAAGTGCGGAAGCCCAAATGATGCTTGTAAATTATTTAGTGAGCTCAAAACCTATGACACAATTTTGCTCAACTCTATGATCACAGTGTATAGCAATTCTGGTAGAATCGAGGATGCTAAACAGATCTTTAATACAATGCCTAGTAAAAGTTTGATATCATGGAATTCAATGATAGTAGGTCTTAGTCAAAATGGTTGCCCAGTTGAGGCATTGAATCTTTTTGGCATTATGAATAAGCTAGATTTGAGGATGGACAGGTTTAACCTTGGTAGCGTGATTAGTGCTTGTGGTAGTATCTCTTCACTTGAACTTGGTGAACAGATTTTTGCTAGAGCAACTGCCATTGGCCTTGATTCTGACGAGGTCATCTCAACTTCCTTAGTTGATTTTTATTGCAAGTGTGGATTTGTTGACAAAGGAAGAAAACTATTTGACACAATGACAAAATCTGATGAGATTTCTTGGAATTCAATGTTGATGGGGTATGCTACAAATGGTCATGGATTGGAAGCACTAACATTGTTTAATGAAATGAGGCATTCTGGTGTCAGGCCAACAGAAATTACATTTACAGGGGTTCTCTCTGCCTGTGATCATTGTGGATTGGTTGAAGAGGGACGGAAATGGTTTAATATAATGCAATATGACTATCATATTGATCCAGGGATTGAGCACTATTCTTGCATGGTTGATCTTTTTGCTCGTGCTGGTTGCCTGGAAGAAGCAATGAATCTAATAAGACGTATGCCTTCTGAGGCAGATGCTAGCATGTGGTCGTCAGTGCTGAGAGGTTGTGTGGCCTATGGAGATAAAGATCTTGGAGAAAAGGTGGCACAGCAGATCATTGAGCTCGATCCTGAGAACTCTGGTGCTTATGTGCAGTTATCTAGCATATTTGCCACTTCTGGAGACTGGGAAAGCTCAGCACTGGTCAGAAAGGTAATGCGAGAGAAGCAAGTTCAAAAAAACCCTGGTTACAGTTGGGCTAATTGTTGAAGACATTATTCAGATGATAGTACATAATCATGGGACTTTCATCTTCATGAGGAGAAACAGGCTATCTTTTCAGATTTTTTGGGTACTTTTATGAATTCAACCACACAGAATTGATGCTTCTTCTTCTTTTCTTTTTGCCAACTTGCATTGAGTTATTCTGAATTTGAGGAAAAATTATGTCGTTCTGGAGCTGCCATAGTTTCACAGTTTCTATACATCAAGATCCTTCATCTGTATTGGCAGGAGTATTGGTCATGTCTAATGTTTATCTACTGATGCTAAAGTCTCATAGCTTATTCAGAGTGTCGAATGGATTTGGCCCAGTGCCAGGATTGCAGAAATGGTTGAAATGCAGAGTGCTGTTTGTGAATTATTCTCCCTAAAGTTGAACAAGAAGATAAAGTTACTTGGGAAGCCCTCTGCTAACGGCGTCTTGTCATCAGGAGCAAGAGTAGATTGGCATCACTCATATGGGGGTCTTGGCATTTATCAAAGATTTAGTTTCATTATAACAAGTCTAGGCAAGTTAAGATCTATGTTCACAGTGAGAATGCATGTAATAATTGAAGTTCAAATTAGTAGTTCTTGGAGATGAAAGGAAAGGACTAAGGAGAGGAAAGTCCTTGCAATTCGGAGAACCATACAACTAGAAGGCCAATTAAGAACTATGTAGAGGACGCATTTGTTATTCGTGAGGAAATTAAAATATCTTATGGAAGTGCTCTTGCAATTACCCATATGATGTTTAACCCCCTCTCATGTTTCATTCGCCCAGAATATCAAAATCCGTTGTGGTTGAGGAAAATGAAGCAAAGTTGAGACCAATGGCCGATATAAAGGCCATTTTGATAGTTTGTCAATATATATATGTGTGTGTGTGTAAAATATTTGACATCTGATATGACTGAAGCTTATGCTTGAATTCCAATTTAATATATGTATTTACCGGGTTAATTTTCGTGCATAAAAAACTAAGTATCCTCCTAATTGGATCTTGGATAAGCTATCGGTAACAAAATTTTCACTTTCCGACTACCTTTAGCATTTGACCCTTCGATGTGTGACCAATTTGAGAAGATAAAAAATTTACCATGACAAGTACACTAGGTGAGACAGACGTGGCGAGAATGTATTGGTTAATTTGCCGAACCGAAGCCCATGCGCCGCATACAACAAAAGCATGCTCAGCTTGAAGTGGAGGGAAATCATGCTTAAATCGCTCAAAGCCTCAGCAATCAGCATTAAACCCCACACCTCTCATTCTTAAGCGCTGCAGAGACATAACTACAAGAAGAAGAAAGAGAAGAGAAGCAGTGCCAAAACCTTATTTATAAGGCAATCTTTATACTTTCCCTACTAAATAAATTACATGATAGGAGAAAGAAAGTACACCCTTGATGTTTCAATACAGCACTCAGCATTTGTATGTACCTTTTAGTAAAGCAAAGTCATAGAATTTCAAGATCCTCACTTTCTTATTACTCCTACCTTATAGACCACTGTTTCTCATTAAAGTCATTGAGTTTTGCAAGAATTACTCATGCCCAGTTGATAAAAGTTGGGTTTAATAGACATACTTTTCTGGGTAATCGGTGCCTTGATTTATACTCAAAGTTTGGCAATTTTAATGATGCTTTGAAAGTGTTTGATGATATAAGTGCTAAGAATATTATATCTTGGAATATCTGCTTAAAGGCGTTGTTAAAGTTTGATCATTTGGATTTGGCGTGTTCGGTGTTCGATGAAATGCCTGAACGAGATGTTGTTGGTTGGAATTCGATGATTTCAGGCTATGCTTCGTGCGGATATTTTGATTGTGCATTGGGAACTTTTTGGGAAATGCAAAATTGGGGTGTGAGACCGAGTGGGTTCACATACTCAATTCTAATGTCTCTGGTGTTTGGTGTTCGACATGGAAAGGAAATTCATGGTAGCATTACTCGGAGTGGTCTGGGTGCATTGAATGTGGTGCTTGGGAATTCTTTAATTGACATGTATGGGAAGCTTGGTTCTTTAGATTATGCTCTTGGTGTGTTTTTGACAATGGAAGAGTTGGATGTTATCTCTTGGAATTCATTGATTTCAGTATGTTGTAAATCAGGATATCCGGAGCTGGCATTGGATAAGTTTTGTTTAATGAGATCCTTCGGGTATTCACCTGATGAGTTTTCAGTTTCTGTTGTGATTACTTCCTGTTCGAATTTGCGAAATTTGGAGAAGGGTAAGCAGATTTTTGCTCTTTGTGTCAAAGTGGGATTTCTTTGTAATACCATTATATCAAGTGCCACTATTGACCTGTTTTCCAAATGCAACAGATTGAAGGATTCAGTTCGGCTTTTTGAAGAACAAGATCAATGGGATTCTGCACTCTGCAATTCCATGATTTCAAGTTATGCTTGGTGCGGCTTCGAGGAGGATGGTCTCCGACTTTTTTGCTCACCTTGAGGGAGGATATTAAGCCTACTGAGTTCACAGTAAGCAGTGTTCTACATTGCATTTCCATTCTTCAGTTGGACCAAGGAACTCAGGTCCATTCCTTGGCGGTGAAGTCAGGTTTGGAATTGGATGCTATTGTTGCCAGCTCACTGGTAGAGATGTACAGTGAATTGGGTTTCATTGATTGTGCTATGAGAATCTTTAATAAGATGATTGTAAGAGATTTGATAACCTGGAATACCATGATTATGGGTTTGACTCACAATGGTAGTGTGTTTGAGGCCCTGCAAACCTTTAAGGAACTACTTTGGAGAGGTCTGCCACCAGATCGAATAACACTAGCTGGGGTTCTGTTAGCCTGCAGCTTTGGGGTTTTTATCAAGGAAGGAATGGCCATATTTTCTTCCATGGAGGAAAGATATGGGGTTACACCTAGCAATGAGCATTATGCTTGCCTTGTGAACTTGTTGTGTCGAGCTGGTATGCTTGATGAAGCATTGGATGTTGCAGGATCAATGCCTTATGAGCCTGGTTCTTTAATCTGGGAATCAATACTTCATGCTTGTTTGATTCATGGAGACCTGAAACTCTCTGAAAGAGTAGCAGAGAGGTTGATAGAATTGGAGCCACATTCATCTCTGCCTTATTTGGTATTGGCTCGGATGTATGAAGTAAAGGGTCAATGGGAGGGTGTGGTTCGAGTTAAGAAAGCCATGAAAAGGGAAAGGGTGGAGAAGGTGATTGGATGCAGTTGGATTGGAGTAAAAAACCAAGTACATACTTTTAAGGCAGACCAATTACAGCATCATGGAGGCAAAGAGATATATTTAGTACTGAGATTACTCAATTGGGAGATGGAGGCTAACTCTAAAGGTTATTTTTGGTAGCATGATGAAATGAGTCATGAGGAGTTCTCTTCCATGGAGACATGGTGTGGTTAGAATTGTGAGATTCTTTAGAGGTACGGCTGTACCTGTATGTGTCTGTCTTAAACCTATGTATGCTCGCCTGACATCGATTCTTCTGGATTCTGGTATGGTTAACTTCGCACTAAAATTGCTCTTATCAGTTGCTCTTTTTCTTGGATGCAAGTAAAACCACCACACGTAAACAATGCGTTCCCTGAAGAGCTATTGAACTCCTGATCTCAAATGGAGCCTACCTGATGTAATGGCATCGACTAACCATGTCTCTTCCCAACTGGTAACATTGTTCGTCACCATACAGACGCTGTCGTTTACTCCCTATTTGCAACTAAAACTAAAAAAAAAGTTTGAACCCCAATTCCACCTAGCAAGTAGGTTGCCCGTTGCCACTAGGAAGTAACTTTAACCGGTTGAGTTATAATGGTTAGTCCCGGAAGGGGCCGGTGAAGTGCTACTGCTGCATAGCAAAGCTATCACTTAAATAATGAAGTTTTCTTTTATTTTCTTATTTTTTATTCTATTATAAATAAAAACTCCACTTTTGTAATTCACTTATATCTTTCATAAATATCGTTTCTTTTTATTTCATTGCCATTCCTGTAGCATGAGTACATTGTAAGATCGTGGTTAGGGATGGCAATGGCCATCTTCGTCCCCGCCTCGCTTCTAAAAATTTTTTCTCATCCTCGCCCCGCCCCTAAAAAATTTTCTCCGTCCCCATCTCCGCCCCAAACGGGGCGTAAACGAGGCAAAAATTATTATTATTTTTTCTTCTCATTTTATCCAATTTTATCACCAAATTTTAAATTGTAGCAAAAAAAATGATAATTTATATAGAAAATAAACCCTAAAAGTCACTAATTATAGATTTATGTAGGGTATAATTATAATTTTAATGAAAAAGAAATAGGACAAACGGGACGAGGCAGGCAAATTCCATCCCCGCCCTGTCCCGTTTCTCGATCAATGCGGAGAATCCCCACGTTGATCGGGGAAAATTGACACGGGGTGAGGTAGGGCTCCGTTAGGGCGGGAAATTGTCATCCCTAATCGTGGTGATTGGTGATGGTTAATTTTTTGTTTAATAACTTGAATTTACCTATTTTTTATGGAAAATATAATTTCAAAAAGTTAAGTGGGCCCCGTTTGATCTGGATTTAAGGGGGGAAAAAAAGGCTTTTAATATGATGCACTTGGTTGACCTCTGCCCGTCTAGCTTACTTAAAGCTAGAGTTTAGAATACAGAATGTTGGGCTGTTTAGAAATATAACTTTTGGCAGGGCTTAGTCCCTCCCTGGTAGAGTCAATATGGGCTGTGCCTCTGAAATGGGCTAAGGCCTTTTAACGAACTTATTTTCTTGTTATTGAAAGACGCCTTATCTCAAACGACATCCTTTCAAAAAGCTAACAATAGCTTAGAGAGAGTATTTCAGAGCACCTCAATTTTTTTTTTTTTTTGGGCTAAAAGGTTTGAGCCTGTCTTGAATTATAGGTTAAAATATCATTATTTTTTTAGAAGAAATTATGTATAGCTAGTCCTCCTTAAACAAATTATTTGATTTAATTTAACGGGTTTTTCTAACAAATACATATGGAAACACATGGCAGCCACGAACATTTCTTTTTAGCTTTTTGAACTTATATTGGATAATGGAATTATTTTAGCCTTTTTAAAATACGAATTTTAAAAAAGAAGAAGAAAGAATCCAATTTGCTCTATCAACTAAACCTGACAATTTCTTTAATATGTGTTTGGTGGAAAAGGAAGGAAAAAAAACTTCGATGAATGAATTTTTTCATTAATCAAAAGCAACTAAATAGGAGCCTAACCCTACTGCTAGTATTTTGACTATATATCAAAAATCTTTTGAGTGAAGCAAAACTTGTACGTGAACAACGGAGTTTACGCACGAGCCTTCAATGTTAATGGTGTCTGGTGTTCAACGTGCAAATGAAATTCATATATGGTAAATCATACAAGAAGCTTGGCCCTTTATAAGTTCCATTTTATCTCTTAAAACATAAAATTCGTATTTCTCTTCGTTAAAATACAATTCTAATGACATAAGTTTTGATCCTTTCGGGTTTTGAACTCTTTCCGCAAAACAATACTGACTACGTACAGGGTTCTTCTAGAGTGCAAGCATTATGTTGTGAAGATAGATATCTTTCAATGCCTTTGCTCCTATGAGAGTGTCACATATCAAAAGTGAATTTAAGGATCGCGATGTTTTATGTGTTCTACTAAACACAAATATGCTCTTCTCTTCTATTCTAATTACTATACTGCCCTCATTTTGAAAAAACAAAGGGGGAAAATTGGCACCGGAATCCGACATTAGCCGGAGAATCAGTCGTTGGCACTTGTCAAAAACACAATTAAACGAAACACTTTCTTACAAACGATTTATAAACACGAAAGCTATATTATTTCGTCACCAAAATTAAAAAATATGTGGTTTTGAAGTTTTAGATATAAAAAATATGAAATTAAATTTTAATCTAAAATAAATATTTGGAGATGATTTTTCAGCCTTCATTTGAGTTTATGAGGTTTTGGGGAGTACGTGGATGTGCTTTTTGGCGAAAAATAAAGGGAAAAGATGAATTTTTTCTGGCGGCCGGCGGTATTTGGCCAGGATTCGACAATATTTTCCAGATTCTAATTCCGACAATATTTTCCAGAATCTGGCGAGCAATGAACAAAATGCAGTTTGGTACGTAAACGTTTTGATCCTCTCATTTTCCACTCTTTATTATGGTCCTTAAAGTCTTAATCCAATTTTTTATGCGCCTGGTGTAAAATTGATTGCTTTAACTTGTATGTGTCATATTTATGCTTGTTATTTATGGTACATGTTGATTTGAAGTGACAAGTGTGAAGTTTGAGCAGTTATTTAAAATTAATCAGAAATGGTTTTGATTGCCCTATAGATATGAGAACTGTTTTGATTTTAACGTGATTAGCATATGATTTTGATTTGATTTTTAGCTGAATTTTTATTATGTGCTGGATATTTTTATTTTCAATTTTTATTTATGTTTTTTATATTTTCAATATTATTTTAGATTTATTTATATTTTTAAATTTCTTTTGAAAATGATTTATTTAGTTAGTTTATTTTTCAACTTTGGTTGTTTCATGTAAGTTAGTATATTTTCTAGATATGTGAATTTTTTTATATAAAAAAAACTAGTTTAGATTTAAATTAGTATTTTAAAATTTAATCATGGCTTTTATTATATATTTTTTGTAAAATTATATTGTCATCCCGATTATAGATTATCACATCACTTTCTTTATTGTCGAGTTTGGTTTCAAATCTATTTTACAAGTTATGGCATAGTTATTAATATCTATTTTGTTCAAACTGACTATTAATAGTAATATCCATTTTAGATTATTTTATATTTTAATATAAAGCGTATTGTTAATTATTTTAATTAAAAATATTTTAACATTAATCTGGTTGAAATAATCTAACCGAATATATTGTATCTTTTATGTATTTAATAAGAGGTGTATATAAAAAAAGAAGGATCAAAATTATAAAAAACAGAAAAGAAAATGTAAGACAAAATGTTAAAATTAAACACATATATAGGACTTAAGAAGATGAAAGTTTAAGGACAAAACTTCATCTGGTCCGTTTGTCACCGGATTTTGCAAAATATGCCGAAATGTGTGTGTGTGTTTTTGGATTTTGACAAATACAACCGACCATTGCATAAAATTCATATTTTTTGGTTTTTCTTAAAAAAAAAAAACGCATCCCCACCTTACAAAAACCTCATAAAATAAATAAAAAACCTAAAAATTCATTATGAAACAATTATTTTAGACTAAAATTCTATTTTTTATATCTAAAATCTTTAAATTTATATATTTCCTAATTTTTTTTAGTAAAATTATCTAATTTTGATGTCTATAAATTTTGTTGTGACGAAGTCTTTTATTTGATTGTGTTTTTAACGGATGTAATGGCCAGAATTCTTTCTTCTGTCTCTGGTAAAGATGGTTTTTGAGGTAATAGCTTTGTTTTGTTTTTTTTATAATTAAGGAAAAAAATTAATTGGAATTAGAGAGTATAATTGAATGTGGCAGAACACATAATAATATAAATTATTTGAACCCTTCAGACTTATTTTGTCACGTGTCGTTTAATTTTAAATAGGAGCAAAGACATCGATCTTCCCACGTAATACAGGAGTTGTAATTCCTAAACAACGTGGCAATCACAATGGTTCATTTTTTTGTAAATCATTTTTTTTAAGGTTAAATGAATTTCCTATAGCGGTCACTCTCATTGATGGGCAATAGCCAAAGACAGCATTTCTTCATCGTAATTCGCGTAATGAATGATGGCATTTCCACATCCTGATTCGCGTAATTGTTGTACTGCAAGAAAAAACCTTGAATGAATTCTGAGTGCAGTCTCAAGCATGGTGATCGTTAATTTGTTTCTTCTTTTCGTATAACGGGATTACTTGCGATCAATATAAAAAGATTTTCTTCACCATAAAAAAGAGAAAAAGCTTTTTTTAATAGCTAAAAATACAAATATTATTAAATTTTCTAACTTAATACCATGAGTTCAAATGGCTGATTTAACTGTAAAAAAGGAGAAGCCGATTGAATATAGAACTCCTTATGTCTTCACTCTTCGTGTAAAACAAGAAAAACAAACAATTTTTCCTAGAATAGTTCACATATTTCGTTTATATATATTTACTTATGATGAATTAATTGTTTGAAAATCTAATTGTGAACACGAAACCATCAGGAGAAAAAAGATGACCTGCACACTTCATATACGGACTTGAAAAATTGCAAATAATCCAAATTTGTCAAATGAAAGATAGACTATCGAAATTCTTAGCCGTATATGGTAGTAGATTATCGAAGGATTTCACTCATTGATGGTTATATTAATTTAACTGCCAAATTCGTTTTAATAATGTAAAGTGTAAAATCACGGGGCATCGAATATAATTTCTTGAAATTAGAAAATTTATAAGAAATTTCGTCTCGGGGCTGAACAGCAAATGTGCTTCCTCCCCAAACCGAGACTACACGCAAAATAGATGGGACGCCGTTTTGTTTTGATTTTATCATTGTCTTGAATTTTATAATATTAAAAAAATAACTAATGATACGTAGAATAAATATTTATAGATCTATTTTGAAGAAAGAGATAAACACATAAAATTATATCAAAAAAATAAAAAAATTTCTATATTTGTTTAATTTTTTAATTTTTTCTTGTTTTTCTCTTTCTATCTATCCTTTTCTTTCAAATAGATTCATAAAATAAATATTATATATATCCTTAAGTACTTCTTCAATATTATAAAAAATTTTACCATTGCCTAACAGGCTAATACTATCAACAAGAAAATGATATATGATAAAAAAATGGACCAGTATCCTTGATTGTGGGAAAATAAAATCAACAACGTTAAATTCGAAGCGGGGGCAAGAATTTTGGACGCGGTGGGGCTTGTTGGCCAGGTTTAAAGAGGGCAAATATGGAACGAACCAGTAGAAAAGAAGGGAGGGTACTTTGGTCATTTAAAATACAAAAATTTGAAAAGTCACGACAATAACAAATGTAGCTTGTCAATAGCCATTTTCCAAAGAGTAGCACAAACACGTCAAGCGAAGGCCGTATGGTTCATTCTGAGCCACGTGGTTCACACAACCTGCCAATGGATTTACCATGAATGAATTTATCCCATAACCTGCCAATTAAAAATCAATTGTTAATAAAGGGATTTCTTTTATATTTTTTAAATTTCTGAAATGTTTTAAATATTGAATTTCATTTTCAATCATTTCTTTCTCTAAATAAATTTATTTACTAATAATTTTTTGAATGTCATTTCAGAAGGGTCAATTTATTTTTTCTACATTTTTTCTAATTTTAAAAATTTTAAAATGAAATTTCATTTTTGAAAGCTATTTTCACTATAAAAATTTTAAAATCATATCAAATTGGGTGCATAGATGCAACATAATATATTATTAAAAAATTATGTTAATCACATTAGCTGTAGAGAGATCCAATTAATCCAACCCTTGTAATAGATGAATGTTGATGTAACTAACCTCAATTTCTCAAATGTAAAGCTAAAAATACGAAATTTTTTTTATAATATTGTTGGATTCATCAATGAAAACAATAAAATTATCCAAAAATAGTTAAATACTGCAGGACGACAAATGGCTCTTTATTTTGTATTTTCATTAAAAATATATTTTCAAACGAAATAAAAAAGAATCCCATTTAGAAATAAAACTTATTTATTTTTTATTCTGAAGCTCAGGTAAAAAGCGGAAAACACTTAAGAGCATAGCAAAATTTTGCAGTTTTGGGAAAAAAATCGACGAGGGTATACCGAGATAATGAATAATTACGAACGCAACAAACAAGAAAAAATTGCTCAATAAATGAATAGAAAAAAATATTCTCTAGATAGAATTTCTCCCTTGTTATAGAAAAGAAGGAGGAGGAGGAGGAGGAGGAGGACGGTTCAGCTATATCTATGTCGGAACTGAATTTTAAGATGCCTGAATAAATGGAAGTAATTGAAAGTATATATGCTATCTCCCCGATAAAAAGAGAAAAAAGTGATGGGACTAAAAAACGTAAGCCTTCGGACTGAACTAATCTTCCCAAAAGTAACCAGACCCGACTCATTGGGGGTAAAAAGGAGAAAAAGAGACGGAGATGGTAGGCTGCGATAATACCATGCAGGATTGGAACAAGTGATCTGTCACATCCAGCAAAGCAAAGACATACATATCTTCCCATCCGAAGGGACTGAGGATTTAATTTCTGGCCCAATTCATCCGAGACTGAGATAGACACCAGCAAGTATTTCTCCACCTCCAGCGTCAGGACATGTCTCCAAATCATAATTGATTGCATTCCCTTCTTTCTCTTGTTCTTCTTATTACCAGCAGTTCTAAACAGTGAAAATAAAAAAACAACATACAGATTTCATCTTTTCCATAATTACCATGCCTGTTTGGTTCACTAAATCAAGAACCATTACCCATCACTTAAACAGAAAGGTGGGTTTCATGGGAATTATCCACCAAAATTTTTGGATTTCTTCTTCTTCTTCTATGCAACCGAGTTCTTTATCATCAATATTTATCCCAGGGATTGATGAGGATCATTCAACTCCACATATATTTCCATTCAACTCATCGATTATCTCCCGTTTCTCCCTCCAGCGATTCAAATCCACCAAAGCTGCAAGCCAACTTGCACAGCTCTACTCTACTGATGACGATGATCATGATAATAGTCAGGTAAATCTAATATTCAAACCAACCTTTATAGTGGAGTTGTTTATTTATGATTTTTTTTCCCTTTTGATCATGAATTGGTTTATTTTACCCAATTATTGTGATCAGCAGTGTAACTGCTGGTTGCTTCTTTCTATCTTGCTATTATTCCGGTAGGAAAAGAAAAAATAGTCCCAAAAAAAAAAAAAAACTCCGATTATCTAAAAGGACAAAAACGATCGATACCTGCCTTCTTCTGAATTAGAAAAAGGTTTCCTAATTAGCCCATTTATCGATAAGAGTAATCATAAATTAGCTTCTTCTTTCTTTCTTTTTTTTTTTCCTGAGAAAGCAGAATAAGGATATGGGCGACCTTGTCGTTTTCGATAAATGAAAATCTTCTGATTCATGAAAAAAGAGAACCAGTGATAAATAAATTATGTCGATGACCACCTATGACCTACCTACTGCGGCATCGACCGTAAAAAAAATAAAAAGAAAATCCCATATACAGCCCCACAAAACCGGGTCACTGAACATTATTAGCTTAATGATATTTACCCAAAATATCTGTCTCAACAGGGAGGATATTTCCCATCTTTTCTTAGGGGAGGGGCAGTAGTATCATTCTGTTTCTTATCATAATCATCCAGTACGGTCTTTTCCTAAACCTTATCCTTCAAGTTTGTCCAATTCTTGCAAGAGATAACTCTGGCCTCTTCCCCTAAATAGGTTACATAGGTTACGATTCGAAAGCGCTTTTAATCCCTATATTTCAGCTATCAAATTCACTGTCAAAATACTTTTGTGCTATATTTTGTAAAATATTTTAGTACTGAAAAAAAAAAAGAAGGGAGGATAAGGTTAACACGTGAGATTCTTGCATTTTCTCTGTTCTATGTAGATTAATTAATATTGTAAGCTAAAACTAATGCTATTTCAAGATAGCACGACAAGGTACGTACCAACTATTCATCCATGTGTCTTTGTAGTTGAAGTATTTAAGAAAAGCAGATAGGCCTTAGTACACTTGGTTAGGATTCACTGGTTGGCACTCACTCAGTTAATAGCTTTTTCAATTCTGGATTCACCAAATAAGGTGAGATAATACCTTAGGATTGATTGGGAGATGTAAGGTTTTCTATACCAGAAGAACTAGCACTGTCTATATTGCTGTCATGGGTCCCCCAACTGGGTGGTCTTTTTATAGAAAATTGGTACCATGTAGGGAAACTACGACAGGGTCTGAGTCTCATATCGTTATCTCCAAGCCCTCATTTTCCATTATCACTTGAATCCAGCAGCCTAGGTGGCACCTCAGTATGGAATTCTGTTTCCATGGACGTTGACTGATTTGGGCTTGACCTCTTAAGAAATTATTGACTGGCTGAGCTCAATTCAAGGTAACATGCCCGCACCGTCGTCAAAATAACGACCTTTTTTTATTTTCTCCTATTATTTGGAGTTTGGAGAAGCAAAAGCAAAAGGGCAAAACAAATAAATAAATGAAAGAAGGCCTGTATTAGTGGTGCTGATGGTTGAAAATTGAAATAGGGTTCCAGCTAAATTGGGCGTGGGCTTTAGCTTGTGGTACGAGCTCCCCTAACTGAAGTTCATCTTCGTTGGGTTTGGCCTTTTAGGTTATGACTCTGATTCGAAGTATATTATTTAAGTTTCCAAAACGTTGTACCCAGTTAGCACAGTAGATGCATTAGCTCCACTTCTTCGACCATCAAAGTTCAAATCTCATGACAGCTTCATGAGGAGTAAAACATCCATAATTTTTTTTTAATTCTCTCTATTATAGAAGAAGAATTACTCCAAATAAATTTCTTGCATTCCTACATACATATAACTTTCTGTAAACTCAAGACAATTTTTTTTTTGGTTTTTAGAGTGCGTGTCAAATGGATGATGGTTATTTAATTAAATCTTTCCTTTTCTCTTGTATTAGTTCATGTGAGACCTTTATGGATTTTGAAAATGGACTCATGTTTCAATGATTACAAAATTGAAAAAAATATCTTGTCGTTTTAGGTCCTGGACTTTCCTGGAGGCAAGGTTACGTACATATCTGAAATGAGATTCTTATCAGAGTCCAACGTGAAGAGAATACCCTGTTACCGTGTTCTTGATGACAATGGAGAAATAATCATAGGCAGTGATTATGAACAGGTATCGTTTTCCATCTAAAGAAAGTAATCCACGACCGTTAAATCTGGCAAAAACTAGTCTCAACAGCATTACCAGTTGTTTATGTAGTTGCTTGTGTATGAATTTTTGTTAGTTGAGCGAGGAAATTGCAGTGAAGATGTATAGTAACATGGTCACCCTTCAAATGATGGATACCATATTCTATGAGGCACAGCGCCAAGGAAGAATTTCCTTCTACCTGACCTCAACTGGTGAAGAAGCAATAAACATTGCATCAGCAGCTGCACTAAGTGCAGATGATATTATCTTGCCTCAGGTACAGCATTTGTTACATTAGATGTTCAAATTTCCAGTTTCAGGCCAAATTGTTATGTCATTCTTATTGAAGCAAGACATTGATCCATCGGTTGTAATGTCAGTACCGAGAACCTGGGATTCTACTATGGCGAGGATTCACAATTCAAGAATTTGCCAACCAATGCTTTGGAAACAAGGATGATTATGGGAAAGGCAGGCAGATGCCCATACATTATGGGTCTAAGAAGCACAATTTTGTAACAATTTCATCACCTATAGCGTAATACATTCATCCCAGAAGCAATTGCAAATATTTTCCTCGTATGATCTTTTATTGTTAATCAATGTTACGTTTGTAACATAATATAATGTTCTTGATTACTATTTATGCTGCTTGTCAGAACGCAACTTCCTCAAGCTGTAGGTATTGCTTATTCTCTTAAGATGGACAAAAAGGATGCATGTGTTGTAACATATACTGGAGATGGTGGCACCAGCGAGGTAATAACACAATAAGCTCTTTAGCTTTTTTACTTCTTCCTCTAGGATTTGGTGATTTTGTAGTCCAAGTTTTAATTGGTAGCTAATTTTTCAGGGAGATTTTCATGCTGCTTTGAACTTTGCAGCAGTGACAGAAGCTCCTGTGGTCTTTATCTGTCGCAACAATGGCTGGGCCATCAGTACTCATATATCAGAGCAATTTCGAAGTACTATTTTGATCACTTTTCTTCCTCCGCTTCCAATTTTATTTTCCAGTGCAAGATCACCTTTTGCTGCAACTTACTAGTAACTCTACAGACTTGGTCTGCGTCCACATAGACCAAACCAACACCTTATCTGGACCTGAGTACACTAACCATTCAGTTTTTTTTTATTGGTCTAAGTAAACTAGTGTGTATGACAGTTTCTTCTTAGTTTAAGATGTTTACCTCTCATGTCACTTGTATTAGGCATATACTCATGGTCATGTCTACCAAGAGTCCTGAAAGAGAAACTGGGAGCATCTTCTGATCTTGAATTGTTATAGTGTATAATATCTGATAAACAGTTTTCCTGTTTACTTATGTAACATATGTTTTGCAGGCGATGGGATTGTTGTCAGGGGTCGAGCTTATGGAATCCGAAGCATCCGGGTGGATGGAAATGATGCTCTTGCTGTTTACAGTGCAATTCACGCGGCTCGCAAAATGGCCATAAGTGAGCAAAGGCCTGTATTAGTTGAGGTGAGATTGAACTTCTTCGTTTTATTTTCTTGCCATCATCCGAGAAATTGATCCCTTCTGAAATTTACGATTGCCAAAATACCTTTTATATCATCCTGGTAAATTAATAAGCATTGTGAATCTTCAGGCCCTTTCATATAGAGTAGGACACCACTCCACGTCTGATGATTCCACAAAGTATCGGCCAGTAGATGAAATTGACTACTGGAAAGTGGAACGGAATCCTGTAAATAGATTCAGAAAATGGGTCGAAAGATATGGCTGGTGGAGTGAGGAGGAAGAATCAGAGCTCAGGGGCAGCATCAAGAAGCAGGTGAGAGTTAGAATTTCTCATATAAGCACCTTCTTCATTTTTCAAAATATTTTTCTTGGCCAAAGTTTATCATGTTCTCTTTAATTTTATCGCAGCTTCTGCAAGCGATTCAAGTAGCAGAGAAAACAGAGAAACCTCCACTCAAGAACTTGTTCTCTGATGTCTATGATATTCCACCTCCAAATCTTCGCGAGCAAGAGAAAGAACTCAGAGAAACCATCAATAGACATCCTCAGGACTATCCCTCTGATATCCCACAGTAGAATATCTGAGATACGCTGAGAAGACGAGAGAGAGTTTCGTCCATATCACAATAATGGAGCAGTGAGCCTGTACCAAGCAACACCTAATCAATAATCATAATCACATAAACAGAAAATATAAAAATAAAGAGAGAATGATGCAGCTGTAAGTTTCGAACTGTTATGTTGACAATAATGTAAATAATTTCTCCATTTTAACTTGTGTTTTTGCTTTATTAATCGCAAGAAAGAAAGAAGATTCTGAGCACATTACGAGAAACGAAGCTCTAGGGTTGCTCAATAACAGTTAAGCTGAATGCAGCTAAAGATCGTTTGTCAATTAATTACCAAACATTTCCTAGAAATTCAATTGCTTGCTTTTGTCAAAAACTAATGAAATAACACATGAAAACAAATTAAGGAGTAAAACCTCATTTTTATAAAGTAATTAAAGAGAAAGCCACTTCAAATGAAATTAGGAAGAAAAATAACTGAAGCTACCACACTTAAAATCACAATCAAGAAAAAAACGCAGAGACAATATAACATACTCAAAATGAGGGTAAATTTCAATTAAGCACATAGAATGATGATTTTTCATGAATTAGGTCTATCTAAATGAAATTACAAAAAAGAAGAAGAAGAAGATGGAAGTGGTAGTAAAAATTTACCCAATGACCTCCAAATGAAATTAAAAAGAAAAGCAGCAATAAGAATTTATGGTGTAAATAGCTCAATATATTATTATTTAATAACTTGAGTTTTTAATATATATTTTTTATTTTTTAAATTACATCTATTATATTTTCTAACAATATTTAAGTTTTCAATATATCTTTTCGATTTATTTTTTAGACTATGGATAATTATTTTTTTATCAAAATGCTTTTGAATATGAAAAAAATTATTTAAAATCATATGATATGTATGTTTTATTTTTAAGTTTTTTAGAATTTTTTTTTGCATTTCAGTTGAAGGTATTTTGGTTAAAAAATTTTGTTTACAATTAAAAAAATTGATTATAAAAATAGATTAAAAACTTAAATATTATTTAAAAATATAATTAAAAACCATAAAACAAATCGAAAACTTAAGTTATTATATAAGAATAAATTCAACAATTTATCAAAATTTATCCCTTAAAAAACAATGTCCGGAAGTAACGCTGTTACATGGAAATAAATTGAACTATTTGTCCAAATTTACCCCCTAAAAGACCAAGTCCGGAAGTAACGCTATTACATAAAAATTAATAATAAATTGAAAAGACCATGGCCGGGTAAGAATACCAAAAAAAAAAAAAAAGTTCGGAACAATCAAGAAGGAAGAGGGATATCCGGTTCTGTATTCGCTACTTCGCAATCTGCTCTTTGTAACTTTCTTCGACGGCCAATGTTTCTTCCGCGCATTTTTGGATATTCGAAGGGATATTTCTCTGGTATTCCCAGGAATCTTGTCTATTCTCCAATGGAACACAGTCAGTTTCTCACAGATCAGAAACTCTCAGAAACACAACAAAACATCATCATCGGCTCACCGATCTCAATCTCAAAACCAGTTTTGACATTTTTCGTGATAAACCCTTTTGTGATACCTGTCCATTCTTTCAAGCCATTCACAATTACACATCACCAAGTACCTTAAATACTAGGTGTAATTAAAAAAAATAAAAAATCAACTTGAGTTTTCATGCATGGAGGGTCCTCTTTCGCCCTCTCACGTCGTGATAGCTTATGATGCTACTAAGGATCGCGGATTCCACGAGCTTAAGCTCACTGTTGATGCAGTGAGAATGAGAGGTGACATTCTTCGTGGAGGTGATACGCTTGTTGTTCTTGGGGTTCTTCATAGAGTGCTTCATCCTTGTAAGTGTTTGATTTTTTGTCTCAGCTGGTGTTATATTACTCATTGGCTTTTCAATCACTTTCACTGTTTGTAAATGAGGTATCCTTTTCTGAGATGGGAAAGTTTTTCATATTACCTAGCACTTCCTTCCTCTGGTATTGCATTATCCATAATACAAAAATGCCTAGCAGAATGCTCTGATGTTGTTTGCAATTTTTTTTGCTAGTATGACAAGAGAGAACGAAATTTTTTTTATTTGCCTTCCATTTTCTTTTATTTGTGTTGGCATAGTGGGCTATCAACTCAAAGCACGTCCCGATTCTTTTACTGGAGCAAGCAAAAAGCACATAGAAGAGGAAATCACAAAGAAAGTTGATGCTTATGTCAACATGCTCCTGCGAAGTGCTGAAGTCTGTGAAGATGAAGGGGTAATTAGTACATGCTCTTTATCTTTAGGATATATATATTATAGTCTTTTCTTTATTGGAAAATGATGATTTTTTTTATTGCTTTGTCATTTATTTATAAAGGAGTGGTGATTTCTTAATAAGAGCGCTATCTATGCTTTCAACAAATGCTCAGCATATTGAATTTCTTGCTTATTGCATCTTTATCAACCATAAAATTACATAATCTGCACCTTTACTGTGAGTTCCTACTACAGCTTCACTCAATTATTCTTATGTATCTATTTGTAAGTGTTCCTGATATATGTCTGATTTCCTCATGGAGAAGCACTCAGTTTTCAAAGCTTATCATCTTCATTTCTAGGGATGAATACTTGATTGTCTCTCAAACAGGTCAGCATCGAAGTTAAAATTACTGCTGGAACTCCCACAAAGCAGGTTGTTTTGCAAGAAGTTGTATCGTTTAGTGCAACATGGGTTGTGCTTGACAGGTAATTATTATCTTTAACTGTTGCGTTCACCTCTTAATTCCATCTCCAGTGCTTTTCTGTTTTGATTCCCTCATACTGTGCCTTACAATTAAGAGTAAAATATAATTTAGTCTCTCTCATTTCGAGTAACGAATTATTTAGCCTCTCTTGTTTTAAAAACAAATCATTTAGTCCCCTGTTGTTAAATTCTTAACTGATCCATCAAATTTATGTCTAATACCTAAAATAATCATTTAACATGTAAACCTATCCCAAAACTGAAAAGACCTCGCTCTCTCTTCTCTTCTTTGTTATCTCTGTCATAGTGCTCTCTTTCACTCTCTGTCAATATTCTCGTTTTCTTTAGTTTAATCTTCATACCTCTTAATAAATGGATGATGGATTTGTTCCCATAAATAAAACAAACCCCATTCTCTCTTTCTGTTTCTTGCTATCTTTGTTATGGTTTCTGAATAATGGCACTCTCTCTCCCTCTCTCTATCTTTTTGTTTTTCTCTATAATTTGTTCTTAGTCATGAAATTGACTTGTTAAGGTTAATTTGAATTTGCTTTTGTTAGTTTTAGCATATTTTCAAGTTTTATGTTAGGTGTGTTGAATTTGGGTTGTTGGTCAGGGTTTTTCAGATTTTTTAAGGAATGAGTTTGAAAATAAAATGGGGTTTTCATGTTATATAGTGTGTTAATGTTGATAGAATGTGTCAAATTTCTGAATTATTTATTGCAATTTGTGGTTTGTAAATCTAGGATTTGTAAAATTAGGGTTTATTCATTTATTTTTTGTAATGGGTCTTGTTGGGTCTCAATCTACGGGTTTAAGAAATAAAAATAAAAGATTGGATTTAAGAAATACAAATAAGAGAAGTAGAAAAAAGAAAATAGAAGAAGACAATGAAGGAAAAAAGAAGATAAGAGAAGCTGGAAGATAGAAGATAGTGAGTAGAAGAAAAGAATTGTAGCGGCAGAGTTAAAGAGGAGAAATGGGAAAGTAAAAGAAGAAGAGAAGCACAACTTTAGGGTTTGACATGAGTTTTATATATCACTAGAAGGGCTATTTGGGAATACAACCTATTTAAGTAAGGACACCTCATCACTTTACTAATACAAAACTGACAAAAGGACTAAATTTTTAACGGAATTAAAAAGCAAGTGACTAAATGATTGGTTTTTGAAACGAGAGGGACTAAATTATATTTTACTCTTACAATTAATAATACAGGAACTGAAAGTTTTTTTTTTAAAAAAAAACAAAGTTCTTATACGAGACACTGTTTTCGTTTTATACCTTTTGAACTTCAGTCACAAACTTATGGACACTGATTCAAGATAACTTATCAGTGATTAATAGAATGAATTAACGGCATCAATAGATGTTTTCTAATATTCTTCTAAACAATTTTAAGCGAGTTTTGAAAAATGAAGTATTCCGTAACTTATGGACACTCTCATCTTTTATCCCCAAAATGCTTATGGGAATCTCAAACAATGAAATATGCATCTTTTTTCCTACTCAGTTCTTTGGTTATACAATTTTTTTTCCCCGCTCATGATAGTTCACTTTCATGACAACTGCAGAACTAATCTTCAAGGAGTTCCCTGAACTCATGTTCTATGGAATTCCTATTACCTTTTATTTCTTCATCAATTTCCAAAAAATTTCTTGATGTTTATGCATAATTTTCACAACATATATGGATGCTATTATCAGTTGCTTGAATTTTTTATGTTTTCCTTTTCATTCTCCTATTGGCTTCAGTAGTAACTTGCATACCTGGACAGGCATCTTAGAAAAGATTTGAGGTTTTACCTTAAACAGATTCCCTGCAAGGTTGCACTGATTCAAGATAACTTATCGGTGGTAATTGAAAAACCTCACACTACAGCTGAGACAGATGTTATAGAGCAAAAGCTGTTCTATTCCATGTCCAGACCTGTTCCAATTTTGAGTTCTCCAACCAACGAAAGCTACGGGCTGTCTGTAGTCTCTTGCAGAAGCTATTCATTCAATTCGCATGAAAGCTCTGACATGCACGCCGGCTTGCTACCTTCTTCTTCATATAAATCACACGAGCACAAAAATTTTCTTGATTTTGGCTCTTCTTCTGAGCAAGAAAAATCAGGTTAGCACATGACTAAACATTTTGAATCCATGTCTACTCCTTGTGGTTTCAATGTGCAATGCAACCATTTTTTTATGCCATTAAATGTTATCTTCATCTTAGAAATCTGATATGCTTCTTGCCATTTCTTTTGTATGGTGGCTTGCTATATTCTTTGTATAAGTTCTGGGAATGTTGAAGCACACATTTTGGTCTTTTCATGGTTTCTACTTGGTGTTAGATTAGATCTTTCATTTAATGATCATTTGTGGATGAATCTTCATTAAGCAGGCTCATGAATCTCTAATATATTTTTTATACTAATTTAGCATTACAATCTCATTTAAAAAAATGTGAGAGCAATTAAAATATCTCTCATAAATCATTTCTGCTGATGATGTTACTGGAGTAACAAAGAAGATTCCTGATATCTCAGAAAACTGATCGAGAGCGAATTGTTCTGGATGTGAGATAGCATAGTGGTAAATCAGCAATCACAACCGTTATTAAATTCTCATGTTGTTGGGGTGTTTGCCTTTAGTATTTGCATTCTTTAGTGGGTATAGGGTAGTTCTCAAACAAGTTCCAGAAACTCCAGGGAGATTGGATTTTGAATGAACAATTCAGTGGTAAGAAGAGATACTCTGCTTGAAAATCTGCAGCCTTAAATCTGACATGGGGTCTTCAGAATGAAAGTATTAGTCTCCTAATAGGAGAAAGGGCAGCCTTTATAGAAGTTCTAGTTTATATTTAGAGTATTTCATATTCCCTGTGGAGCTTCTGGCTCATTTTAATAAGCAAAACAGAGGCCAGCTTGCCAATCAAATTGTGAGAAGCTACAAAAAGCTTTCTGATATGCGTATATGTTTGTCTTACACCCTATATAAGTTGCATTACCTATGTAATGTAGAGATATGTGTTAATATAGTATAGATTATAGTGTAGCATGTCAAGAATCTAGTGTAACAACCGCCTGAATTGGGTGACAAGAATGTACGTAGAAACAGCATCCTGAATATCAGTTCCTAGAAGAGGGTTGAGAGCAGCGCAAAAAAAAAAAAATAGTTTGTTTTGCTATAGAGAATCATGGATATCCCTAAACAAAGGGGAAAAAAAATCAAGAATTTTTTATGCTTATCAACAACGTGCACCCAAAAACAAGCTAGAAAATGGTGGGCCATTAAGCTAATTTACTGGAGATGATTCTGTAAAGAAAGTTCATATGGTAGAGGTATTTTTTATGTATTGTGTTTACTATGTGTAGTATTCCAAAGGCTGTTCTCTGTGTTTAATAGATTCTCAACTTTTCTGCATCCCTAAGTAAACTGGTCTGCCAAGCACCGTGCTTTCTGAAACCTCTCGAAAATCAAACTTTTTCACCAGAAACAAACAAGAATGGTTTTTGGATATGTTTCTAATGGTGAATAAGTAACAAAATATGATCATTAGTTTGAAAAGATGAGATAAATGTATGGAACCACAATTATTTGGGTAGACTGAAAATACCAGATCAAACCATACTTCTTGCAACAAACAGAAAAATCATTCAGTTACAGTTTGAAGTGGTCGTGTTAAGTTCAATATGTTAGTTACTGAAGTGGAACTTATTTATTTTATGCTATCAAAGTTTATTGCCATGCAGCTACTGCAGTAAAATTTTTTATAATTTCTGTGTTTACTCTGTCATGACTCATGTATCTGCAGATATGAGAAGTATAGACAGTGACCAGGAAGATATTTGTGATGCTTGATTGATAGTTTACTTTCTTTTCCTCGTTCCTAAGCAAGTATTGATAGTTACAGCTGCCTATTGACACCAGTGTGCTTCTTTAGTTCGTAGTTAGTTCTTCAGAAAAAGATATTATTGCTTGCATTTTGACTCTAGATCCCTTGGTATTTAATAAAATTTGTTATAATGCCTTCCAGCTCCATCTTCTTCTAATAAAACGATCCAAAAGAAGCAGAAATATGTCTCACGATATAAATCCTCAGAAGCGCCGATTCTTTGTTCTGGCTGTGGGGCAAGGACTGAACTGTATATCAAGGATTCAACGAGCTTCACTTTTTCTGAGATTCAGTTTGCAACACAAGATTTTTTGAAGGATAACTTGTTAGGAGAAGGGGGTTATGGCCATGTATATAAAGGTGAGCTAAGAGATGGGCAGCTAATTGCAGCAAAGGTACACAAAGAAGCAAGCACACAAGGATTTGCAGAATTTCAATCTGAGGTATATGTGTTAAATTTTGCCCGTCACAAGAACATTGTAATGCTATTGGGTTTTTGCTGCAAGGAGAACCTTAACATTTTGGTTTACGAGTATATTTGCAACAAGTCATTATACTGGCATTTATTTGGTAAGTCATTATTGATCCTATAGGCCCAAAATCATTCATTTCAATCTTTATTAGTTCTTTGAATGACTTTTCTTCTACTCCATACTGATCTAAACTTGAGCTTACTACTTGTATCATTCTTATAGATACGACTGCAGATATTCTTGAGTGGCACCAAAGGCTTGCTATTGCTGTTGGAACTGCAAAAGGGTTGCGTTTTCTGCATGAAGAATGTCGTGGTGGTCCTATCATACATCGAGACATGCGACCAAGCAATATACTTCTCACACATGACTTTGTCCCAATGGTGACATCCTATTCCACATTCTATTATCTATGTTTATTGTTCTTTCCATTTTCCTCTTAATATGCGTCTTTATCTTATTTATGGAGAATCTGGATGCATGCAAATAGAGAAGTAGGAAAAAATACTCTTCATGTAAAATGTTAATTTAGGGTGAATATTGAAGGAACTTATCTGTTTGTAATTGAAAGCAGTATAGCTAGATTTTATGTATAATTTCCCAGTACTCCTGGCTGTCACTTCACTGCACAATAGCTTTGCTCGTTGTTTCATTGGTTGCAGTCTTGCATGTGGACTGACATGAAATGTCTGTGCTTAAATTAACTAGTTTTATCTGTTCTGTAACTTTAATCGATTTCAAATTGGACAAACTTATGTGTGCTACAACTGGAAAGCTGGTATTTTATCAGGTTCCTGAACGTAACTATGCTGGAGAAGTTCAACTATGTTTGTTCTTTTTACAAAATTATGAGATTTTATGTGCTCTGTGTAAGATGTTAACTAGAAGGAGGCAGAGGGAATGTATGATAAATGCATTGATGATAGAAATCTTTGAGTTTGTTGTATTGGTTTGAAATGCAGTTTATAGATGAGTGTCGGAGGTTCAATTTGGGGTATTTAATGAAATGATTGTCTACACAGCTTGGAGACTTTGGCCTTGCAAGATGGAAAACTGGCAATGACCCGGTGCAGACAAGGGTGCTTGGAACACTAGGGTAGACCTTCTGTAATCTTTCTTTTCTTCAGCACTTCATATTCTACCATCGAGGTGCATATTTTATGCCTAATTTTACCAGTTAAACAATGTGAAGCTGGCTTTTGGTTCATGTAGATACCTTGCTCCAGAATATGCAGAGAATGGTATTGTTTCTGTAAGAACAGATGTCTATGCATTTGGCATTGTTCTCTTGCAACTAATATCAGGACGCAAGGTAGTTGATGAGAAAAGGGAGGAAGGACAACAATCCATTAGACAGTGGGTACGCCAGTGGTCTGTTTCTGTTGCTTCTGACGACGATCAAGTTTTTGTGCTTCTTTGTTTCAACCGCTATCCAATTCCAATACATTCTTGTATGCTACATTACCTCTTACTTTTTTTGTCTGACTTGTGTCTATTCTTTGTTTGATGGATTTAGGCAGAACCACTGATTGAGCGCCTTGCATTACATGAACTCATTGACCCTAGTATTGGAGAGACATATGATACATATGAATTGTACCTCTTGGCTAAAACAGCTTACTTATGTGTGCAAAGAAGCCCTGAAATGCGACCATCGATGGGAGAGGTATTTGAATTTTGATACCTCAAATTTTAGTTTGTCAAATGTTTTGAGCAGGAAATCTTTATGAACTATTGAATGTTTAGGGGTATTCATGGAAACATCTTTACTAGGATGTAGTTTTTCTTTATAGTAAAACATGCTGTACACACAGTTCATGCACCTCCTATCTCTATGCATATTTTCGATCTTTCTAATAAGTAATTTTTGAATGGTCCTGTCAAGGTGGTGCGCCTTCTTGAAGCAGAAAGTGACCATGCCCAGCATTTAGGGGAGCGATTTGCACGTCTTTATGCAAAGTGATGAGGATGATGATGGTACACATATTTTCTGCTCACTTATTTTCACTATCTGTGATTTAGTCTGTCTTGTATGGATGTTTTGGTAGTTGCGAGTCATCATTAGGATCTTTTATCAATTCCAATACAATAAATGTCAACATTAAGATTGATATGGTTCATATAGTATGCAATCGGGTGCTTTCTATCCTATGGAACTAGTGAACTGAAAGTTTGCTTGTCATACAGTAAATTGAGAAATAAACTTTTATGGCTTAAATATATCATATGCCGAGTATAAACTGGTTTCAGGCTTCCAGCTCTTTATAACTAATTTGTCTGCTAAAACGATAATTTGCATAACTCAAGCAGAAGTTCATTTTTAATCTTGTTATTGCACACAACTTACTCTATCATTTCATTCCATTTGTTCAACGCATTTAGAAGTCAATCAAACTTAATGAAGTTGCAAAGAGGCAGGAGGACAGAAAATAGCATGACAGAAGCCACTTGGTATGTATGGAAAACAGTCAAAACAACTACGAAAATTTCAAGATTCCTGACTGCGAACCTTAACATGTCACCTAGGCACCAGCTCAATGCACCGAAGCAGACAGAAGATAGACCTAATATAAGTTAGACTATGCAACAGTACCTACCGCAATGTTTGATATTGACTGTAGACTGTTGAGGGAATCCTTAGATTTTTGGCTGCTCCATTCATCAAAACCACGAGAGGTTCTAAGATTGAGGTGGACCTTAATTTTTGAAGGATCCCATCTCAGGGTCGTTTAAAGTGTCTGCTCCCTTCTTTTGTGTCTCTCTTTCTACTCTTATCACAAGTTGATCTTTGATGTTACTGTCACTCTTATGCTCACCAAGAAAAAATGATAAGGGTTCTGATTACAATAAGACTATCGTATTTCCTTTTGGTCAACGCTGATTTACATCTCCGGGCCTTATATGCTCATCATATCTTGCTGTTTGCATGATATCACCTCTGAATATTGCTAGCAATTAGCTAGTGGACTAAAACCCAAAAAGCACCCAAGAAGTGGGGAGCAAGGAAAAAAAAAAAAAAACGAACTAGTGAAGACGCATGAGCATACAAGGCACTGGATTCTAGAAAGTAAAACAATTTTCGTTAGAATTCCATCAGCCTTTCGATTATAGTCTTTCTTACCAGATAAATTGGCCACTTTCACCTTGAATTTAGCCTGAAGCTATTAAAATAATCGAAGTGCGTAGATTTTTGTGTGGATCTATTAATCTATTTTACAGGGTCCTTTGTGAACCAGAGGAAGCCATGTTTGTGGAACTAATCATGCAGATATAGTGTTATCAATTCTATAATAACTGGAATCTTTAGTACTGCATTCCAGTTTAATAAAAAGTGAATGAAATCTTGCAGTATCTCTATCCACTTCAATTGTTTCCCTGCTAAAAGACACCCATAATTTTTCATTTCCCTTGTTATTGGACGATACGGTTGTATTGAGGAGGGAAAGAATAATACCATAGTTACATGAACACCTCAATCGGAATCAGTAATCAAATTCATGTCAACTTGACAGGCACCTTCCGTTGTCGCGGACATGCATGATTCCAGCATTCCACACTTCCTTTTGAAATTGAATCTTCCACGGCCTTTACTTTCATTACCATCACTTCCCTCCTTTTCCTTTTCCGTACTAAAAATTACTTCTACAACTTAATTACTGAATTCGAGGTGAATTAACAAATATATGGTAATAAGTAAATTTATTGTCATACCTACAAACAATTAAAGTGTACCTATTTTTTTTATTAAAAAAGTGGAGTGATTACGGACTTGAAATTGTTGTGCCAAAATACCTAAACAACAAAACAAAATGATGTGCGTTTTATATAATCTTTTTGGTGTTGTTCGTGGGTTGATGCTACAGATTTTGTATCCGGCGCACTGAATATGTATATATATATACACACACAAAAATTAGTCAACTCCTTCTCCCCCGTTAGATATAGCGTCACAATCAATTTATTTTATAATAATCATCAATCATCAAGTGCGGTGCTAAATGGTACATGTACATTCGATCCACCAAAAAATATCATTGCCAAGTTGCCTCTATAATTAAACCTGATGATAGATTTATTTAATAATAAGCATTTGGGTCATCTTTTGGACATTTCAGCAGGTAAAACTAAGAAACTTGTATTGAAGTTCAAACCTTGTCGGAGAAAGGTGGAGTTAAGAGATCCCAGTACGGCATTACCAACTGGGAAAAATAGAAGTAGTTCCCATGCGTCCACGTAAAGGTGTGGTGGACGGCTAAGATCCAACAAACATAGCACGATACGGAATCCTAGCAACTTGAGTCGCGCGTCTTGAGCTGTCGCTGTATATGCTATCTTCTACAGTCCTCTTTTTTCCTCTTGTCGTTCTTGCAAATAGTTTTCTTTCTCATTAATGGATTCTCCGTCGTGAGTCTACCTTAAACTCATGACTTCTCCATCAAAGTTTTACTTCTGTATTAAAAAAATTATTGACTCAAAAATTAAAATGCTGGATCAGATTTTAAGAATGTTTATATATATTAGAAATCAAATTAATTATCTAATGATTATTATTATCAAACATAAAACTCGTATAGTACAGATAATTCTACTATTTAGTTACTTATTTGAAATTTATTGAATAAAAATCTTGAAAAAATAGCTGTATGTATGCATACATATTCTCTACCTATAAGGCTATGATCTTATTTTTTCCCAGATAAGTTTAATTTTTTTGTTATTAAAAACAGTTTGTGCTTCTTCTTCTTCTTCTTTTTAATTACTAGTGTTGATGTTGAATTAAATCCAGAAATTTTAATAAATTAAAATTATTGGTTTTAATAATAAACCACAACAACGTTTGAATAATGAAACTAGGTACTTCATAAAAAAAATAAAAAAAAAGAGTTTTATATTGATATTTACTGGCAAAATCTGTTAGGACCTAGTAGAAAATAAAAAGCCCGGGTCAAAGCGATCCAAATTCGAAAGTCAAGTGTAACACAAAGGTGGTTGATTTTGGACAGGAGTTGATCAGATAAGCGTTGGTGACTTTGAACCAATCACAATTTTGTAAAGCCAGCAGCATATTAGCACGCCTTTCGGCTCGTTTGTGAAAGGCTCTGGGCCGTGAATGGCAAAATCCATAGACAGCCATTAAATACGTCGGAAGAAGTATATTAACTCATACCTGCGAGAGTAAGGATTGGAACCATACATAAGCAAACCAACTTGGTTGATCAGGTTAAGCCACTTGGATTCTAATTTATTTCGTGGGACAAGAAAGTGAGAAATTTTATAATACATCAAGAGTAGCTCAGTGGTGTGTACGAGTAGCTTACTTCATGGGTTCATTTTAAGCAAAGAAAGACACATAAAAAAGATAGAAATTACATCTATACCCATCAAAAATGTTAAGAAGTTTTTTACGTCCGTTCAAATTTTTTGATTTTCTCTTTCTTGTTTCTCTCTTTCTCTCTCTTTATATGTCTATCTCTCTCTTCAAAGTGAGTCATAGAGTAACTCAGTAACATGTAAAGTAGCTTACTCCTGTGTATTATAAAATTACCGTGGAGGTTTTTTTTCTCTTTTAAATAAGGTATTTTTAATCTATTTTTTCAAAATAAAACATTTTAAATTTTATTTATTAAAAATTATATATAGGTCTTTCTATGTAAACTACCATTTCATCTTTCTTTTTTTAAAAAAAAAGCAAAATATCATTTTTACCCTGATTAAATTAAAATATTTATATATTATAAAACCAAATCAAAATTTCACTATTATCTGCAACCTCCAACAACAAATAACATTTGAAGCATTTTTTTTGCATTTTTTTTAATCACAAACTCATGATCAAGAAGCAACGATCATGAAAGAAGGAAAAAATCAAAGCAACCCACGATGTCTTCAAAACAAAGAACCAAAAAAGGATCCCATTGAAGAAGAAATTGATGAGCCTGGCTACTGAAAGTTGATGTTTGGTTGTACCTGACAAACTGCTTCTGCAAGATTCAAATCTCAAATACGAACTTTCGTATAATTTTTCAACATAAAAAAAAAAAAAAAAAGAGAGAGAGAAGAAAAAATAATCATTCAAGTATCTAGATCAAATACCAGAGGATCATTTGGTGGTGTCTAAGAGATGAACTTGAAGTAAACAGAGCCATTGAAGCACCAACCACGATCACACACTGCAAGCTTCCCTATTGGTCGATTCTTCCTTCGGATAATGACGCCAATTTGTGAGGACAAGCATCATCAAAGACTTTCCATGTACTCTCGTTCCTATCCCACCACACCACAATATCAAGAAGCATCATGCTTCTTCCATGTGGCACCCTCCTGTCCAGATCACAAACTAGCATAACCGGATATCATTGTGCATACCAATCAAATTTCTTTCCTTAAGAGTCAACTTCAAGTTCTGGCTCGTGTGTTCCTGTAGAAACAGAGGATGGAGATAATGACATGGTTGTGAAAAGGTTGGATTTTGATGATGCTTTCCTGTGAATTCTCAAGAAAAATGAACCGGATATTGGATAAAATAGAAAATTCAAGAATTTAGATTCGGTGAAATCTGTCCTGATTTTGCACAGGAGATAGCAATTTCTTCTTCAATGGATCTGTTTTGGTCCTTTGTTTCGGAGACATCATGGGTTTCTTCGATTTAAGCATGGGATATTGTCTCAACAATTTTCATTACCATTAGAATCGAATTAACTCATTTCTCTCGTATGCAACGTTATCTCAATCAAAGCTTTGCTTGAAAAAAATATAATGCCTAAACTCAATTGTTTCCTTTAAATATTTTTAAAGAAAAAGATTCACATGCAAGTTAAATTTTTTTGAAGGACCACATCAATTTTATATATATATATAACAAGAATTGAAAAGACAGTTCCGACAAAACTTAATTTCTTCTTATTATAGGTAATTGCTACTAACCACTAACTGTTAAGCCCGCCAAAACTAAATTTTTCTCGGTTGGAGGCCAATAACTAACTTCAACAAAAACTGTTAACTCTCAGTTTTCTTTCTACAATAATATCGTTAAATCTAGAAAGAGATAAATTAATGAAATGAGGTTAATCTCCAAAAAAAGAAATCACACCAGTTTTTTTTTTTTTTCTGTCACAGGAAATACTATTAAAACCTCAAGGATAAAGATGCTAAGAAATTTGTAATATCTCTTGATTTTTTAATTCAAAATCTAAAATTAACATTCCAGAAAATTTTATTATTTTAAATACATTAAATTAGTTCAATAATATTCTGAGAGTCGAATAAAAAAAAAAACTAACGATTTTTGGAGGGCAAAAAATCATAAATTGAGCTAATAAATTTGGATCAAACAATATACAAACATTATTCGTTCAAACAAATGTGAGGCTATTAACCCGAATTCTTTGCATATAGTAATATCCTGACAGAATGTACTATCAACTGGGAAAGTAAGCCAATGATTAATTGCCGTACTCGAACTTTATAACTCTCCACTCGATTCTATATATATATCTTTATAAAAATTTTCGAGTTGATACCCATGGGTCACTATCTTTAGTGACTAATTTAATTATGAAATGCCAATATTTGTTAATAACGAGAGATCTCACTTACTTTTCAATTCAACCGAACAAGTGTGTGCCGCATTATTAATTAAGAATGCAAAGCACCATCGCTAATGCAGATTATTGAAAAGTTAAGAGCATGGGATGCGAAATTCTTTGATGACTTTGGAAACCTATGAAATTGTGAAAATCCACCAGCACTTGCAAACTCGGAATTGGATTCCACCATCTCCTCCTTTAAACCATGCAAAGCTTGCATCATTCACCACAGACCTGTAGTGGAAGCACGGAACTCTAATCAATTGTCCATTTCTTTTGTGGTTTTATGTACCTAATAGATTTTTTTATGTAAGTACTAATGATTTGTCAATCAGATAATTTTCAATCATCGAGTATCGCCATACATGTCTGGGCCTCAAATTCGAGAAATGTAGTATTGGAGTAGCTAGATTGGAATCTCCACGTATAAATATATATATTAGAAATCGAATTTATATATTTTTTTAAAAAGTCATGAGAAAAGAAATCTGATATATATATATATATATATATATATATATATATAGAACAGCTTTAATTAGATGCAATTCTTAATGGACAAAAGCAAATGAAAAACTACATCTGATCCATGATTCTCCATCACATTTGGCCTACTCATTATTTTTTCTTGTTATTTTGCAAAGGGCATCCCCACGCCCACGATGACCAAACAGCCTAACGTTTTTATTCCCAGTTATTTTGAAGCATATATATTTTATCATAGCAGTCCCATCAGCATTATCTATAATAGTATTAAGAATACAGACGATTCAACGGTGGATATTGATCCATGTTGCTTTAAGGCAACAAAGAATTATGTTTCGGTCGTTCCATTAAATCCACTTGTACTTTCTCATAAAGCCTTTTTAATACTGTCCAGATGTATTGTCCTTTATATACTCCTATGTTGTGTTCCGCTGTAATAAGTTAAAGGCAGTAGGAATAAAATAGCAATTTACTTTTTTTATATAGGTCATGTGCTTTGCTTTCAAATTTTGAAAAAAAGAAAAAACAAGTAAAATTAGTTGTGTTTTAAAAGCATAACTATATCAATTAATAACTTAATTTTCTAATAAAATATGACAGAACCTTAAGAGGATGTGCTTTTTTATATAAAAATAAATAAATAAATAAATCAAACGGCTTTCCAAAAATGCTTTTACAAGAGTGCAGTTTTGTGGATGTAAAAAAAGAAAAAAAAATTAATTGGGCAGGACCGCAGCACTAACAAGATGTTACATTCACGCTCTTAAATAAGGATATGACAAATATTTGGTCATCACACCAAAATTAAGGATTAAGATGTTTGGTCGCCGCGTCATGTCTGTGTAGCAAATGATTTGTTAATTAATATTAGAGGGTTAAGCTCCTCAAGGACACGGCATATCTCAAGTGTCTGTCGGTCTCTGATTCCTTTCCTCCTCATCCTCAGAAAGAAAAGAAAGAATTTCACTGCCCACTTCCATTCACTAGAGGGAGAGGAGGAATAGCGAGTTGCGGGCGGTGTCCAAGTGCTATTCCAACGTAGAAAGCAGACAGTTAAATATAAAAAACAACGCTTTTTTAGACTCACTTTCTTCCTCTTCCTTGTTGGGTTTTAAGGATGTGAACTGGCTTTGCTTTTCTCTTGTGTTGGAATTTTGGAAGGAACCATCAAAGGTCAGTAAGTTACACCTTGGAAATCCTTTCCTTTAATCTTTCAGTTCTGCTTTGGGGACTTTAATAAACTATTTCTCTGCTTAGAAATTCGAAATCCCACAAAGCTCCAGAATTTTGAAGTTTTCTTGAATGAATTGTCTACTGTGTTTCTTCCAGTTATTTGGGCCGCAGATCTCCATTCAGCGAAAACTCTCGATATTTTAAACACTATCTTTGTTTCCACGTGAAAATTGGCAGGTTCCGGTTCCAAATTTTCTCACCATTTCTCTCATCTGGAGACTAATCATCAAGTTTCAAGAAATCTGCTCGTCTTTGGTAAGTTCTTATTAATTATATACTAGTTTCTCGTCAAATTCTATAGAATTTTAGTGAATCTTGCTTCTAACGTACCGATAGTCCATGTTGATCGGTGTCAGAATCCGTAGTCATCTTTTCTTTTTTTTTTCGAGAAAAAAATTTCGTCTGCTTGCGTAGTTAAAGACCAATTGAAGGTTGAAACTTTTCACTGCATCTAGCGCAGCAAATTTCCGTTGACTTTTGTTTTAACGAGAATTAATTTCAGAAAAAAAGGCAAGATCAAACAGATGCTAACTTCTGTTTCAACAGTTGGTATACTATTGTTCATGTGCACCATAAGATATACGATTCAAATTAATACATAAAGTGGAGGATAGTGATGGAGGAAGTTTGGGTGGTCAAATGGAGTATAAGGATACCGATACGGTTGCTAAAGTTGGCGAATCTAATTCTTTTCTTTTGTATCGAAAAGAAAGAGATTTTTATTCTGCTGAATCTGCTTGGCTGGTTCACGAACCCCAGAGTTAATATTCTTAACAAATCTTTTGTTCTGTTAAATGTTAACCTCTGTCTCAATTACAATGCCAGCCACTGCCGTTGTCCGACTTCTTTTGTTTTGTGATATTTATTCTCTCTTGTCTTGATTCAGTTAAACGTCGATACTTGTATTTCCAAAACTTGAATCTTAATTTCTACTATATTCTTCACACACACAACACTTACACAAGTCCCGAAACTCGGGTTTAATATTTTGAATATGAAACTTGAAGAAAACTTGTCTAGGTTTTACTAATACAGGATAATTTAGAGCAAACTAACACTTTCAAGAGGGTAATGATGGAGTTTAACTTTGCTTTTCCTTGCAAAAAAAAAAAAAAGAAAGAAAAAAGAAAAAAGGTTTCTCTAGGCTGATTGAAAACTCCTTGGATGGGCTGGGCTGGGCTTGGGTGGACTAGAAATTAATCCCAGTATGGACAATTACAAAATCTCCGGAGTATCCTTAGAAGATCCTCGGATAAGGTTTAGGCTCTGTATGAATGAAATTTCTCAGCATTCAGTTTGAAACAAAAGAGAACAACAACCAGAAAAATTACAATCTCAAAAAACAGAAAAAGGAAAAAAATAAGATAAGGATAGACTAGAGGAAAAAAAACCAACCCTAATCGGAACTAGGCATCCGACAATTAGCAGTCTGTTGGGTTTTCCAGTACCACATGTCCACATTCTTACATAAATCAAACTTTTAGTAGCACAATAATAACAGCCCCCACCTACTTGTCATTCCTTAATTCAGTGGAAGACGGTTCTCAAATCTCAAATGGTCACATAAGATTTAGAGGTCAAGATTAAAATTGTACCTGTTAGGCATGCTACGATGTTGTTGCTTTGTAAATTGTAACTGGCTAGGAAATTAAATTTCCTTGCAAGAAACAATTCTCTCATGGGATTCAAGCCCTTACAAACGTGAGGTTGAGTAACCAATATAAATAAGGCCTTCTTAAGAAGCGAGCATTCATTTAGTCGTTACTTTTGCCGGTGAGTTTTGCTAAATGGTTCGTGCTTCTACGAGTTCAAAGTGTTGGATTGCTCGCTTCTTTGCAGATATTAGTGCTACCATGTAATTAAGGATATTTTGTCAACAAGAAAAGGGATATTGTTGAACTGCACTGACTTGAGCTCTTAGCTGGCGAAATCATCAAGAAACCTTTTTCTTGTCAGCCTTGGACTGGGTATTGCTCTAATGATTTGATGAAAAGTCCTTATTTTTTAGCTCCTTCAAGTGGCTATTCTTGCCATTAAATTACACCATAAACATGAAATCATTATGGTTCTCGTGCTATTCAATTCGCAAAGTCCTACCTAGCAAGACCTATATGCCGGTGTTAACTGGTAATGAAATTAGTGCTGTCTCTTGAAAAAGGCATGACATGGCTACTGATAATAGGATGTGTACCTTATAACTTATCAAATGTTAATAGTTAATACTGCTGTGACAGGTGGAGAGACTCTCTTGTTGGTTGGAGAAAGTAATTACTGCTTAAATGGCTAAAATTTGTTGGCCATACTTTGATCCTGAGTATGAGAACTTGAGCACTAGGATTAATCCTCCAAGGTACTTACCAGAATGAATTAAATAAAACCGCACCAAGATTCTACTTCATTTTTTTCTTTGTACAGGCCCACATCATTAACTACCTCTCATCTTTTCTTTTCTTTTGTTTGTTTGTTTGTTTTTTGGACAGGGTATCTGTAGACAACACTAGTTGCAGTGACAATACTGTTATTAAGGTAATCTTTGTTCTTGTCATTGCATGACCATCAAGGTCAGTGATACTCTACGTAGAGCCAAGTCCTTCTAGAGTTGTTCAGTCGAATAACACTGCTGGTTGAAGTTTGAATATTATTAGTTGGAGCTTCAGGTGTTGTAGCAGACTAGCACCAATCATTAATAGACATGAAAACAAAACTTAATAATGTATGGGTGGGTTAAAATTTCACCATAGGCTATTGGGATTTGGGAGTCATTTTTTGATGTATGAACGGCCAAATTGCCAATTAGTTTGGGATGTATCACTTTCTCTCGAGTACTTTAATGCTTGAGGGGCCTCTGCTGAAATGATGTTTGTTCTTAAATTTTCCTCCATCCAAGCATATTGCCTTGTTGGAAATAAACAGAGACCAGGATCTTGTGTCTTTTACCAAATTCCTTACATGTGTGCTCTAATTTATTAACTGGAGAGCAAATTGTTATGCTTGCTACAACTTTCTTTTCGATAGTCACACAGCAATGGTAAACTAAAATGCATGAGTTGGAATGTATTAGGTTGACAGCATGAACAAACCAGGAATTCTCCTAGAAGTTGTGCAAATCCTAACCGACCTTGACCTCATTATCTCCAAAGCTTATATCTCCTCAGATGGTGGATGGTTCATGGACGGTATGTGCATGCTCTTATCGACTTCCCTTGTTTGCTTCTCACTTAATGGCTATGCAAGGGCAGTGCTCTTCGTATGCTTACCAAGGTTCTCTCTGTAATTAGCACATGATTCACCTAATTACGAATTTACTGTATCCCATGTTTTGATTTTAAGTCTAAAGAATAGGCTTTAAAACAAGTGGTCAAAAGAAGGCACCATCTTACTATAGGCTTCTGGTGAATTTTCTTTCTCCCTTTCTCACACTGAACAAGTTGGTATTTCTGATCCTCAGTATTTCATGTCACCGACCAACAAGGAAAGAAGATTACGGATTTTAAAACCATTGCCTACGTAGAGAAGGTATGCAATTCCTTTTTTCTCCCCCTCTTATTTGCTTTCCTGTGATATAAATTCAAACCAATATAGTATGGATGTTCACTGCTGATTGAAAAAGAGTTGACCATATTAGCACCAGTGTTAACTGATAGTTTCTTCAATACAATAGGCTCTAGGACCTAAAGGTCAAGAAGCAGTGACTACTTGGCCAGGCAAACGGGTTGGAGTGCACTCTGTTGGTGATCATACTGCCATTGAACTCATTGGCAAGGATCGCCCAGGTCTCTTATCTGAAATCTCAGCTGTACTTGCCAACCTTCACTTCAATGTGGTTGCTGCTGAAGTTTGGACCCATAATAGGCGGATAGCATGTGTTGTCTATGTCAATGATGACACCACATCTCGTGCTGTAGATGACCCAACTCGACTGTCAATAATGGAGGACCAGCTTAAGAACATCCTACGCGGGTGCGAGGATGATGAGAAGATGGGTCGTACTAGTTTCTCCATGGGATTCACTCATGTTGACCGTAGGCTGCACCAAATGTTGTTTGCCGATAGGGATTATGAAGGTGGAATAGTGGCAACTGAGATTGATTATCCTCCCTCTTTCAAGCCTAAGATCACAGTTGAGCGTTGTGAAGAAAAAGGATACTCCGTGGTCAATGTTATATGCAAAGACCGCGCCAAGTTAATGTTTGATATAGTGTGCACTCTCACAGATATGCAATATGTTGTTTTTCATGCTAGTATCTCATCTGATGGCCCCCATGCATCACAGGTACCTTTTTCCCCACCGAAGGAATGCCATATTTTCACTAACTTCAAGAAAAATTAAGAAACGTTTCTCTTTTCCGGAAGGCATTTTTTAGTTATGATGATGCGAGGCATGCATTATGAAGCTCAATGCTTCCAACTTTTTTCATTGACAATAGAGTGCCAGTGTGCGTGGGTTCGTGCTTAAGATTAGTTAAGCTCATAACTCTTCTGATGATATTTTACTGGGACTGCTCTGATCATTAGAGTCATCTAGCTGCTAGAAACAGAATGTTTTAAGCATTTGACACTCCACAAATCAATGTCAAATTTACACGGTTTTTCTACTTCATTCCATCTTCCTTTTATCTTTGTCAAAACAGCGTTATGCTTGTGTTTTGCAGAATTTTAATTAGAATTCACAAAAATTCACTTCATTTGCGTAGTAGGCCATTTGTTGACTCAAATGATTGAAATGACTCCACTATCTTTGTAACATTAATGGTAAAACTCATTGCCTCTGTAGGATTTTATTGAAGTAACTGACCTAGTATACTAACTCGTAGGAGTACTATATTCGTCACATGGATGGTTGCGTACTTGATACTGAAGGAGAGAAAGAAAGAGTTATCAAATGCCTTGAAGCTGCAATTAGAAGAAGAGTGAGTGAGGTGAGTAAACTGTCTACCTTAAAGTTTTTGGTTGGTGCTGTATGAAATTGTAGATAAAGACTTCATTGTGCTTTGTGTTCTAACATTGGGGTCTGCTTGTATGATTCAGCAAAAAGTAGTGACTTTTTTTTTTCTCTCTCTGTTTTCCCCTTTATATTAGTCTAGAACAGAGTCATGTTTTGCGCTCCGGGTGATGCTGTACTCTTTCTTTAATGCTCAGCTAAAATAACAGAATCTTTGAGTTGTTGGCCTTGAAACAGTTTCATGATAGAATCATATATAATGACATAAAACAAAGAACATGTTTCAGTTATAGGCTTTTAGCAGAATATAATGTAACAGAGATAACAGCAAGAAAATATAGCTTTAGTTTATGTTCAATGCTTATGAAAGTCTATAACTGGAATTCTCACATGTATCACCCCGTATTGATACTTAACTTCATGGTTAATTTAACGTTCGTCTATAACCAATTCTGAAATCGCTTTTGCTTCTTAACCATGTCAGTTAGGTTCACTAAGTTGGGAATGAAAACAGTGTGAAGATGGCATCTAATGATTTGTAGCAACAGTATAGCATCAATAACAGATACTAACCTTGTTTGTCATCTATTGCAACCTGACCTATAGCACTACACAAAATACTTGTAGCATTCCTAAGTCTTGTCAGCCTTTTATTTCTTTTTCTTTTTCTTTCTTTTTTCTGATGAATCCGAAATTAGTATTGTTAATCAACGAAGAAACTTACTAGAGTCAAGAGATGCTAATTGCTTTGGATATTGGGTCAACTTTAAAGAGGAAGTAAGAGAGGAAAAGAGATTGAAATTATATCCAATATCCAGGACTGTATAACGTCCATCCGGAGACCTTATACTGGTTTCAAATTAATATGGCATTTGATAAATTCTTTGCTTCTAAGAGCATGGAGTTAAGAGAAAGGGATTAATTCAAACAAAGAGAATATAATTTCTGAATCGCTTTGTTTGCAATTGTTAAGAAGGGCAGCCGTATTTTCTCCTTTCTCCTCTCTCTGTCTTTTTGCGCCAGTTAGGATTCATTTCATTTCATCATACGCCAACTAGATGATTGTGCTTGCATTGAGACACATTTCACACAAGTTTTTCTTTCAGGGGTGTGGTCCTTCGATTACAAATATGTATTATCTCGCAACTTGGTACCACCTAATTTTTTCACCGTGACCTCAGGGTCTGAGCCTTGAGCTCTGTGCAAAGGATAGAGTAGGCTTGCTATCTGAAGTCACAAGGATTCTGCGAGAGAATGGATTATCAGTTTCAAGAGCGGGTGTCATGACAATAGGAGAGCAAGCAATGAATGTTTTCTATGTGAGAGATGCTTCTGGGAACCCAGTGGATATGAAGATTATCGAAGCACTGCGTAAAGAAATCGGGCACACAATGATGCTTAATGTGAAGAAACCACCTATTAGTTCCAGAGAACCTGAAGCTAGAGGATGGGCCAAAACAAGTTTCTTCTTTGGGAACTTGCTGGAAAGGTTCTTGGCGTGAGAATATTTCTGCATTGCTGTGACAGAAACAATGCACTGTACAGGACAATAAACCTGTTCAGTACTAAGTATGGACAGGGCTTGTAACATAGTTCGTTCAGGGAATAAATCTTGCAATTTGATGAAGTTGAAACTTTTTGAATAGTACTCTATTTCTTCTTTCGCTCTTTTTTTTTCTTCCTCGAGAATCTAGGAATCTGATTGTGGTTTAGTAACATGCTTAGCCCATCAGGTTGGCTACTTTGCTCAGAAAATGTTATTAAACCAGGAGTAAAGTGTAAAAGAAGATAAAGAAAGATCAAGTAATTAAATAGGTTACTTGCTTATACATCTCACTTGATTCTTGGCTCCAAACATGCGATCCAACACGAATATGAAGTTTAAACACATTTCTGTATCGATTTACAAAGCAAGTAAAGGAAATCACAGTGCATAAGCAATGACCTGTTCAAGCTGACCTTGAGTGGATCACTAAAATTGATCTGTTCTATATAATTTCATTATTTGATGCATACACGCATAAGCAACTCTCAAATATGAGCTGGTCTTCGTCCAGCTGTTTGTCGTCACAACAAAGTAGCATTCCAAGTAAAAAATTTTGCCCTTTTTGACGAAGGGTACGTTGACCAACAGAATAGAAGTGTTGAGTACATCCCTCAAGAACAATTAGGTGTACTGAATTTGGAACAAGCCGCGATAGTAAAGAACCCATGTTTGAATACTTGGAATTGGGAGCCAATTATTTTACCAAGTCATATGGGGGAGGGGAATTGAAATCCAAGGAAACCTTCCATCCCTGTATCTTACTCTTTGGCAAAAACAGAAAATTGAAAAACAAAAGAAAGCAGAATGCAGTACACTCTTTGGCCCTTTGTAATGCGTTGCTCTCTACAACTTTCTTATCGAGATGCATTCAAAACTCTCCGAGTAGGGGCACGAATATGGAATATTTATATGATCTGACATGAATATATAAATTAATACGTAAATTTTTGAAATTTTAAGCGATCCGCAAAGGATACGTTAATAAAAATAATATTTAACATATTTTTTATAAATATTAATGATAAAAATAATAAGTATCAAAACGTTGTATTTAGAGGAACTATCAATATAGGAATTAATAACAAATGTAAGCTATTAAAATACGTGAAACTACATATTATTAAAAAAATATTATATTTACATTTTCATTATCCTTTATTTTACTCATCAATTATTATCATTAAAGCAAATTATATTGTTTTAATTCTCAAAAAAATATATATATATTGTTGTAATTTGATATTGTAAAATTAAATGCGCACAAGCTAATAAGGTATTTGTGAGGTTCATAACAACTTTTTCAAAGGATCTTCAAACATCCAAAATAGTGTGTTTTTATACGTGTGAAAAATAACATTAGATAGTATTATATCAAGTATCACATTAGAAACAAATGCCTGAAGGTTTTTGCAGCATAATTGGTTTTAGAGACTCCTAATCAAACCATATTATAATCTTTATGGACAAACTTTTGAAGGTCTAATGCGGATGGTAAATGAGTTTACGTACCCTCTCAAACCATCATTCATAATTTGAATTCTAGGAGAGGCTGAGAGAAAATGAAGGCAGTCGTTTAAGTAAATGAATATACCTTCTCAAACTACATATTATCCACAATTCGCATAGGAAATGAGTTTACCTTTCGTTGTTCTAAGTTTTTGTATAGAGTTTATGCAATATTCAAGTTGCATTCATTCAACATTCATTCTAAATTGTGGGAAATTAAGCTTCCGCAACTAAGTATATTTAACTTAGTATAATAATAATATTTTCAAGAAAAAAAAACTAGTATAATAATAATAATAATAATGTTTTAACTTTCATTTTTAAATAAACAAAATCGACTTCCAATATTGGACTTTTTTTTATATATCTATATAAAAATTAATCTTTAATTATTTATATCAACTTATCATGACTCTTGGTTGAGAGTATAACCATACTATCGGTCTAATTTTTTCCTTGTTTTTAAGTATGTTAAATTAATTGTCAGAATTTTATCTTATTTTTAAATGTGTATTAATTATTAGAGAATCTATCTCAATGAATAATATATTTAATAACTAAATAATAAATAAAGTTAAGAAAGTAACCGCCATCATAAAACTTCTTTTTATATATATAAAACTCAATCTTTAAGTGTATAATTTAACACCATATTATCAAATAAATAAAGAATAGTGGAATAAAAGACGGAATTCAATTATACAAAGAATAGCATGATGAAAAAGACATCCATAAACGACATAAACGACAACCTATGCACTTAATTCGACAATGTCTACGAAGCACAGGCACCCAAGGACATCACATAAAGGTTAAAGCTGCATAAAAGTGGTCAATTTGAATCGACAGAATTTGATTAATTTCATTCGTGGGTATGCATTTCAGTCCATCAAGCAACATGATAGAAAAAGCAAATAGTACAGAATTCACTCTGATCCATTTTAAAGTTTCCTCAAAATGTTCTTTTGGTTGAGAGAGGGAGAGAAAGAGAGAGTTAAAAGGAAAATTTTATAATCTAAGAAATAATTAGTGAGATATATAATAGTTATTATATGAATTCACTTTAAAAAAAAAGAGATAAATAAAAAAAGAGAGAAAATTAAAAAAAAAGTTGAGCAAACATATAAATCTTTTTATCATTTTTGATGAATTCGTATGTAATTTGACGTATTTATCTCTTTCTTTAAAGTAAATCCATAGAATAATTATTATACATATCATTAATTATTTTTTGTGTATTATAAAATTTTTCAGAGTTAAAGTTTGCTCAAAATGTTTTTTTTGATTGAGGAGAGAGAGAGAGACAAGTTAAAAGGAAAATTTTATAATACAAGAAGTAATTAGTGACATATATAGTAGTTATTATATGAATTTACTTTAAAAAAAAGAGATAAACACAAAAAATAAGAGAGAAAATTGAAAAACAAGTTGAGCAAAAATAGAAATTTTTTTATCACTTTTTATGAGTTCAAAATATAATTTAACGTATTTATCTATTTCTTTAAAGTAAATCTATAAAATAATTATTATACATATCATTAATTATTTTTTGTGTATTATAAAATTTTTGAGAGTTAAAGTTTGCTCAAAATGTTTTTTTTTTTATTCAGAGAGAGAGAGAGAGAGAGTCTGGTTCCCCTAGTGGAAGAAGATACATCGGCACAAAGATATGATAGCAAAAGCTATCTAGTAAGCATAGAGACAAGATAAGCACGTAGTATTGGTTACTGATCACCGCATAGAGCATCTTTAGGACCCACTACTACTGCTAATGCATTTTGGAAGCTGACGAAGAAGGGAGATAAGACCTTTTCTGTACATCAACTTTGTCATGCCCACGGTTTTTGCTGCATTGATTTGCTGCAATTGTGACACCAAAGTTATGCTTATCAATCAATCAATCAAATTATTTGATCAGCTCCTCTTCATTCTTATTGATTTTTTTTTTTTTACTTAACCCCTTTTACTTTAAAATAGACTCTGAGTTTGTTTAATCCTACTGTACTTTTAAATTAAGTAATATTTTTTAATTGATTATAATAAAAAAAAGGAAAATACATATTTTTTACATAATCATCTTTTACCTTTTTTTTTAAAGATAATATATCTCTAGAAGCAAAATCTTTACGAGTCACTTATATTTCAAAAACTCGCATAAAAAAAATGCTGAAAAGCACATCGGAGCTAAATAGAGTTTTGATGCAATTTTGAAAGCACTTAAAAGATTAAATAAAACTGGCTTTATAAATAATAAATTATTTAAAAAAAATCATACGTTGACCCATTATTCTCTTAAGTTTATCCAATTAGAATTGATGATTGGCTTTGCTATAAGAACACGTTGTGGTTGTAGAAATGCATTAATTGACACTCGGTATTGTTATCAACAAGCAATTGAGGGTTTCAGAATGGTTGCTATATTTGGTGTTTGCTGAGTATTCAAAGAAAAGGGTCAAGTTGCGAATTATCAACGTAATAGCATATTAGTTGCCAAGTGTATTCCTTGCCGTGCATTAGAGGAGAAAGGTTGAACCATAGAATTTATCATTTTATACCTGCATCATGATTTTTTGTTTCCTTTAATCGACAGGGTAATATTTTAGCACGTATAGAATGTACTCTACGGCATTTGGTATATTGTTGGGATCTTAAGGGTTGAACCGTTATTTAACTTTTTTTCCCTTGCAGACAAGGATTAACTTTGTATCCTTAGAATGAATCATAAGGAATATTTTCTCTTTTATGTTTTTACAAGACTAGAATGTTCTAACCATTTATAAACTTTAAATCATTTGAAATAATTGAGTTTTTGAATTTTTTTATTGATTCTAAAAATTTTTGAACTTTAGAACTTTTAAAATTAAGTTCATCTAATATTTTTTTCATAAAAAATAACGAGTTGTATACGTAAAATTTATGTGACTAACTTTTCTATCCACAAAAATAAATAAATAAATAAATAAAAATTCAATCTTCTTTACTCTCTCTCTCTCTCTCTCTCTCTCAAGACAATCGAGCTAGAACACCAATCCATAGCCCCTACTTCCAAAAATCTTCCATCTCCTTTCTCATTTCGATCCAAACCTTTCTTTGCCCGTTTCACCACCCCCTCCCTAGATTCTCTTAACTCGAATACTCCTCTCATATCCATCTAGCAAACTATGAACATGCGTATTACAAACAACCAACTTATTGCTCTAAGAAAAAGGTAAAAAAATCAAAATATTGGTTGGGGGCTAATTTCGGAAATCAAAACACAAGTAAGGAATTGCCATATGGACACTTGTTTCATTGGATGTGCATCTTGCCATAACCAAAGAGGACAAATACTTACTCGCGTTGCGAGTTCTAACTTCTCACTAAATATGTTTTTGATGAGATCGAACGATTATGGAGTGTTCGATCAAGATTGGTGATGAGATCCTTAGTGGGAAATCCCTTGATGGATGT